ATCGTTTAACTATATGTAAACTAAGATGCTCAAATGTAAAATGTCCTGTCGAAACAGGTAGATGGGTTGGTACATCCATGGAACACAGTATTTGTCATTTGTGTAACTTGAATGAAATAGGTAATGAATACCACTACTTTTTTGTATGTAACCATGTTAAAGTAACATCTCTTAGAAATTTGTATATTCCAACATATTATACACGTTATCCATCTGTATATAAAATGTATGGACTATTCTCATTATGTAATATAAAGGTCTTAAAGAATATATTTTTGAGGAATGTAGAAAAAATATTGTAAGTAACTGTACTGCTCATAATTAATTTAATGATACGCATTTGTATATTTAAGCTGTCATTTCCATTTGAAAATATACACTGAATTCCTCTTGTAACACTATATGTGTCTGAGAGTTTACAATAAAGAATTTGAACTTGAACTTGAACAGAAAAAGTAAGTACTATGAAACTTGGAAAGGATTTTCAAGCAATTTGATTGGACGAGAAGTTGTAAATATGTCACGGCTAAATTGGCATACGGTGTGGGCGCCTTTCATTGTTGGGGGTCTTGAGTTGACCTCCAGATTGCTTTTTTTATATAAATGTGTGCTGTTCGGTTTCTTTATCGTGAACGTTAATCCAACATCTTCTTTCGTTTAATGAAGAACCAGGAGGATCGAAGCAAAATTCCTTTGATGAAAAATAAAACCTAATAGTATGATTTTCCAGCGTCTATCTATATACTCTAAACATACTCGGTTACCTCAGATTACTCACCGATAACAGTTGTCCTTGTCCAAGTCACTTATAGTAAAATTATAACCTTATCGTGACTGTGATATATATACTTATTTCTCGAACTCTTGGTGCATTTACACCGGTTCTTGTCAGTACTTTTGTTTATAAACCACACGTTGATTGAACTGTCGCTGAGACTGTGTTATAGTAATCTCAGATTGTCGCGAGTGATCTTCCACGATTCCGAATATTATATATTCGAGCATATTCAATTAAATGTTAGACATTTTACAGATTATACCACATTAATTATAATGATGTCAACTCTACGTAGTTAAATAACAGATTTTAAATGCTCGGCAAGCCTCGCATCTTACATTTTGCAAATTTAACTATCTCCAACTCTCGTAAGTCTTAAATGTTCACACTTCTTTCCTTAAACACTTAGAATAAAAGAAACAACCAGCGATAGGACTCAAAGCTTAGAACCACATGGAAGGATTAAATTAGTAGTTAAAGAACATTATAAAAGCATATACTTCATGAAAGAGGGTGTGGATGGGGTTTACAGAATAGACAATAATTGGCAAAATGTGCAAAGCAAAGGGCAAAAAAAACATAATAGAGAAAAATAGGTAAAAAAGATAAAGAATAGAAAATAATGGGGTGCTAAAATATAAAGAATAGACAATAACAGGCAAAGTTTATAAAGAATGTAGAAAAATGGTCTAAATAAATGGGGAATGTGTCCATGGGACACCGATGATGCCCCCGCTTGCATATCATATAAAGCTATAAAGGGACATAACTGAAAAACGGTAAAAGTGACGCTACCCAAATTTGTACTTGATCTGAGTATTGTGGTAGTAAGTATTATGTATTAGTTTCATAACATTTAGTTGAGGCAAACTTAAGTTAGAGAACGGAAACGAAAAATTCAGCAATTTTTCCATTTGTAAAGGGGCATAACTCTAGAACAGTAAAAGTGACACCACCAAAATTCCAACTTGATCTGTATTTTGTGGTAATAAGCCTTGTGTATAAGTATCATAACATGTGGTTGAGGCAAACTAAAGTTAGAGAACGGGAAACGAAAAATCCATCAATTTTTCCATTTGTTCAAGAGCATAAATCTAGAACAGTTAAGGTGACACCACCAAATTTCAAACTTGATCTGTATTTTGTGGTAATAAGCATTGTATATAAGTTTCATAACATTTAGTTGAGGTAAACTAAAGTTAGAGAACGGAAACGAAAAATTCAGCAATTTTTCCATTTGTAAAGGGGCATAACTCTAGAACGGTTAAAGTGAAGCCACCGAAATTCAAACTTGATCTGTGTTTTGTGGTAATAAGCATTGTGTATAAGTTTTATAACATTTGGTTGAGGCAAACTAAAGTTAGAGAACGGAAACGAAAAATTCAGCAATTTTTCCATTTGTTCAAGAGCATAAATCTAGAACGGTTAACCACCAAAATTCAAACTTGATCTGTATTTTGTGGTTATAAGCATTGTATATAAGTTTCATAACATTTAGTTGAGGTAAACTAAAGTTAGAGAACGGAAACGAAAAATTCAGCAATTTTTCCATTTGTAAAGGGGCATAACTCTAGAACGGTGAAAGTGAAGCCACCGAAATTCAAACTTGATCTGTGTTTTGTGGTAATAAGCATTGTGTATAAGTTTTATAACATTTGGTTGAGGCAAACTAAAGTTAGAGAACGGAAACGAAAAATTCAGCAATTTTTCCATTTGTTCAAGAGCATAAATCTAGAACGGTTAACCACCAAAATTCAAACTTGATCTGTATTTTGTGGTAATAAGCATTGTATATAAGTTTCATAACATTTAGTTGAGGTAAACTAAAGTTAGAGAACGGAAACGAAAAATTCAGCAATTTTTCCATTTGTAAAGGGGCATAACTCTAGAACGGTTAAAGTGAAGCCACCAAAATTCAAACTTGATCTGTGTTTTGTGGTAATAAGCATTGTGTATAAGTTTTATAACATTTGGTTGAGGCAAACTAAAGTTAGAGAACGGAAACCAACTTTGGGATGTACGTACAGACGGACGTACAGACGGACAAGGGTAAAAATTAATGCCCCCTCCACTACGGCGGGGGCATAAAAATTTAAGAATACAAAAATGGACAAACCCCCATTCAGACCCTCATGAAGATCAGCACTGGAGATAAAAAAAAAAGAAATCAAGATTTTGATACGAGTTGCTCAATTTGACGCCATTAGATCATGCGTTCTTTCACTCAGATACAAGAAACTTTCAGAATTATGATTTTGGTGATGGTTTTAATTTCGTTCCATTAATTAAAGAATTAAAAAAAACATCTCAGTGATCTACACTTATTTGCATCCCAGTTGTCCAAAACAAAAACAAAAAACATTTGTGTATTTATATTGAAGATTTTTTTTGTAATCACCATGATGTAATTTCTTTCATTAGACACCAATCTTAGAAGATACTTTTATAGTACCAAAGCAACTATGCTGCAATAAAAAAGATTGAAACGAATATCAGATCGTTTCTGTCAACAACAAAAAAGAAAGGCAGGTAGTTCAACATTAACAAATAACAACAATTAAAACAAAAACCACTCCCATATAGACATGAAAGTGATTATAACATTTCTTTCTCTATTTAAAATGAAGATTATTTCAATATTTTCATCTGAAGCAGCTGAGTTTCAATTTCAAACAAAGGTATACAAATTTTCTTTTTTTAAACATCTACAATCAAAGTTGTGAAACTAACCAACCACAGCAATTTCGCCTTAAGCTTTTCATACAATGTTGGCGTGCTTATCAATCACTGAGGACCGTGTGATGACCTCAAGATGAAATTTTGAGTTGTTTGATTGCTGTCTCATATACGTTTAAGGGACAGCAAATGTAAAAAGAAGGTATGTGGGATAGAGACAGAATATTTGTCATTCAACAGGTCACGGAGAAAGTGCAAATAACATTTTACATTCTGATTTTGTGTTTTTATCACTGGCAATACTAGTAGCATGAAATTTCTCTGGATTTGCTCTCACCTGATTATCAAAAAAAAATAATTAATAAGATAGGAACTTCCCTACTCAATCAATGTATCAAAATCTGGTCTTGAGCATGACAATGTATTATCGTCAACATAATTTAACAGAACACTTTTCTTGAAAAATATAAGAGCTTTGGATATCTATCTAAGTATTGGATAACTAGCTATATATTGGATAACTATCATTGGATATATATATAGATATGGGTAACTAGCATTGGATAATTATCGAGATGTTGGGTAACTAGCATTGGATAACTATCTGGATGTTGGATAACTATCTGGATGTTGGATAACTATCTAGATATTTGATAACTTGCATTGGATAATTATCTAGATATTGGATAATAAGCATTGGATATCTATCTACATATTGGATAACTAACATTAGATAACTAACTATCTAGATCTTGCATAACTAGCATTGGATAACTAACTATCTAGATCTTGCATAACTAGCATTGGATAACTATCTAGATATTGGATAAGTAGCATTGGATAATTATCTAGATGTTGGATAACTATCTAGATGCTGGATAACTAGCATTGGAAAATTATCTAGATGTTAGATAACAAGTTTTGAATAACCATCTAGATGTTGGATAACTAGCATTTATAAAGTCATTATTATAAATTAACTGTTTACAAAACTTAGAATTTTTCGAAATACTAAGGATTTTCTACCCCAGGAATAGATTACCTTACCTGTATTTGGAAAACTTTTAAGAATTTTGGGTCCTCAATGATCTTCAACTTAGTTCTTTGTTTGGTCTTTTTTTAACTTTTTGATTCCAGCATTGCTGACGAGTCTTTTCAAGACGAAACACACGTCTGGCATACAAAATTTCAATCCTGGTATCGATGATGAGTTTATTAATAACTATGTAGATGTTGAGTAACATTGGATTACTATCAAGATGTTGTAGTCAGTTCAAATCAATTTCTGACAATTTATGTACCAGTATATTGTTTTTATCCTGCAAATTAACATTGATGCTTAATGTTCAGTTTTTTCTTTTCCTAGTCATTTAGTTAAGAAAGCAACATTGATTAGACACAGACTGTGAAAAAAAGAAAAAAACCAAAATGAACTGTACACCAGTATTTTTATAGTAAAATGGTCGATTGCAGGATAAAAAGTAATAACTAAAGATCTTAAAGTGTGATATCTTTATGACACACACTGATGATAAAAGTAAACATAACCAGTTGATTATTTTATTTTAAACCAATACAATTAAAGACAAATAATTTTTTTATAATTATACATGTAACAGTAAACTGCATAGTTTCTTTTTTCAACCTGACAGTTTTTCTGAAATGTGACTCATGAGAAATACAATGGCTAAGATAGGAAATACATACCACTTGAACATTCTCATTGTATGGACATGGTGAGATTCTCATATAAACAAATCAAATATAAAACACATGTCTTTCTATTAAAAAAATGATGCATAGTATGACAAACATTTTCTTACTCTTGGCAGTATCCTGTTCAAAAAATGATTTTATGCTGATTTTCATGCAACAAGTCCAAATGCAATTGAAGAACAATAAAACAGATAGAAAAATACCAGCAATTAAATTTGTTTTTAGCCACTTATCAACTATCTATTTTTAAAACTACTATAAGCTGTCATAGGCAAAACATAAAATAAAATGGTCCCAAAAATTAAATGTAAAAAAAAAGAAAGTACATAACAAAGAACATCAAAGAAAAATATATAATTATAACATATATTCAACATAAGCATTACCAACAAAAATTAAAAAAAAAACTCCTTTTCACACAAAAAAAGCTATAATATATAATTGTATTAAAATAATATTATGATAATAAAATGCCTATCCTTAGTCCACAGTATCTTGATATTTTTTGTCATTTGAAGAATTTGGGTGTTGATAACAGATCTTTTATAGTCTCTGTAAAATTTGAAAACTCTGGACGATTTTGAGAATGACCTGTAGTTTGAATGAGCCTATTTATTGACCCAAAGATACATCTTTAAAAAATTCATCTTGTTAAATCAAGGTGGCTGTAAAATGAGGTCAAATATGATGAAAAACAAATGAAAGCTTCAGACTTTTTATGTATCATATGAACTCAGAGGAGTAAAGTTACGGTGGGAATCAAAAAGAGATTTTAAACATTAATGAGGCACATGTCCTAGAAAACACAGCAACAGTGAATACTTTGAGGTCACCATGGAGAAATCTCTACAGAGCATTTACAAATGGCAAGTTGCAAGCCACAAAATAAACTAAAAATAAATGGGGAATGTGTCAATGGGACACAGATGATGCCCCCACTTGCATATAACGTTATAAAGGGATATAACATAAGAAAGGTAAAAGTGACACTACCCAAATTTGTACTCGATCTTAGTTTTTTGGTAATAAGCATTGTGAATAAGTTTCATACATTTGGTTGAGGCAAACTTAAGTTAGAGAACAGAAACGGAAAAAATTAGCAATTTTTCCATTTGTAAAGGGACATAACTCTAGAACAGTAAAAGTGACGCCAAAAAAATTCACACTTGATCTGTATTTTGTGGTAATAAGCATTGTGTATAAGTTTCATAACATTTGGTTGAGGTAAACTAAGGCTAAAGAACGGAAACCAATTTTGGGACGTACGTACGGTCGGACGGAGGGACATACAGACGGAAAAGGGTAAAACTTAATGCCCCCTCCGCTACAGCGGGGGCATAAAAAAGTTTGTTATACCAATCAAATCTACATTTTCAATTTCTCATTACAATATTATATTAATATTAACAATATAATAATATAGTTACATACATAATAATTGTTTAAGTGAAATTCACATAATATAAAAGTTATAACTATACAATTTAATGAATGCTGCACACTTTTAAAACTATTTATTGTGAAGTATTTCAATCACCAGTTGCAAATCTTCTAGGGCTTTTGAGGTTTTCAAAATAACCATTTTTTCATATACAAATAAATAAATACACTAAAATAAATAATAACTGCTGTCCATAAAAAATGACATCCTGTGGGTAAAATTAACTAGTAACTACAAGACTAGTACCAATAACACAATATAATATATAAACAGGACTAGACAAAACAAAAACACCTACTTACAAGCAACTTTAAAGTGCATGTCATCATAATTTGATAAACAAAATAGTATAATCTACAAACCAGAGATTACTTTGATATAAGTTTAAAATGGTTGGTTACAATTTTTCACAAGAACATTTAAAAAATTATTTACTGAATCTTGACTTTACCTGAAAAATAGGCTCTGGTTTCACAAAAAATCTTATGACTAAAATTGAATGTAAATCAGGAGCAATTAAGTAGACTCACAACCAATTTTACTGGCAAAGATAAATAATTTTACATGGCCTTTATTTTATTCATAGGTAGTTAATGTGACGGTATTGTTTCCCTTCTTTAGTAGATACTTAGTCAGCCGTAAGCGGTTGATCTAAGGAAGTACTTCTTTAGCTCAGTTGGTTAACGCGCTGCCTTATAACACAGAGGTCCCGGGTTCAAGTCCCGGTGGAGACATGCGATTTTGCAAGTAGAATCATGCTCTCCGGTTACATTAGTAACAATTCCTGTCATCACACTGATAGTCTGTCTAGTGCTGCTATGAAATGCGAAATATCAAATATAGCCAAAATATATTTCGATGTCAATGTGATAACTGATTGTCATATTAAACTAGACCCTAGGCTAGACAGCATGGTCTGTGAAGATTAGTCAAATGCAACATTTTGCAGAAAGAAATTGTTGTAATTAAAATTTATTTTCCTTATGGAAGGACTTATTGAGCATGCTTCAAAATATTGTTTGAAAAGATTATTAATGGTAGTAAATTTCTCTTATGTGAATGTTGACAACTGTGTGATTGTTATAACATATTCATGCCTTGCCAACCTCATCAAGACATTTCAACTTTTCTGAATCCCATTTGAACATTAACAGATGAGAAAATGTATCAATCATCAACCAGAATGCAAAACTCAAAAATCAAAGACATCCTCAGGCAATATTTCCTATCACATCAGACTTAGACAAGCCTCATCAGTGAGTGGGAATCTTACCCTCAGCTTACATGAGATTTCCAGGATCTTGCATCATACCTGCCAACTTTTCCAAATCTCCATGGGGGATCTTAAGCGCAAGAGGACTTAATGCTCCTCTTATATTGTCACAAGAGTTTTTAATCTACAACTATATTGTTTGAATGTGTATTTATGTGCTTAAATAGCATTTTAACTCATTTAAATGCCTGTTTTGAGGTGTTCAGTTTATATAATAATTTCAAAATTCAGGTCAACTCCACTCACGAGGGAAATCCCCCAAAAATCGTGAAGGTTGGCAGGTCTGTTGCATTCTTCCTGTTGTTAAGTTCTTCATTTTTCTTGACTAAATAAACATCTGAGGCCATAAAAAAGAATATGTTTGTTTGCCCTAACCCTACCTACCCAGAAAATAGCTGCCTACTCAAAATCTTTTATTGTCCTGATGTGAAAATGTGTATTAATCAGATAGGCATGAAGACTAAAAAACATCTGTCACTTCAATTTCTCTTTGCTGAAAAAAAAAAGAAAATGCCTACCTACCTACCCACTGTCTCTACCTTTTGGTAGGGTTTGGGCAAACCAAAATATTTTTAAGTGTGGCCTGATGTATAGAAATATTAATAAATATATGATCATGAAAATATTCAATGTACATGTATAGTTGCATAAAATCCAATATTCCTGAGGTAATATATAATTTACATAAAGATTAATTGAAATATACTGATTGGTTAAATGAAATACATTTTTTACTGACTATCTTTTTTATATATAAAAATATCTTAATGATGTCCATTAGCCCAAGTATTTACTTGCTTTGAAAATATTTTTGTAAAGATACAGACATTTTTTTTTTTTATTTATCTATTTCCATATTCATTGAACTGCCAAATCTGAATCACAACCCTAATTTGTAATATATTTTAAAAGTTCACTTCATAATGAACATTTGTTGTATGTTTAAAGTTGATGTGACAACAAACTACCTCAAATCAAAACTTGAATTTGGGTAAAATCAAAACCTTAACCTGACACTGGGGACAAACCCCAGACCGTAAAACAAAACTTTAACCTGACACTGGACAAACACCCAGACCGTAAAACAAAACTTTAACCTGACACTGGGGACAAACACCCAGACCGTAAAACAAAACTTTAACCTGACACTGGACAAACACCCAGACCGTAAAACAAAACTTTAACCTGACACTGGGGACAAACACCCAGACCGTAAAACAATACGGCCTTTGCTTTCATAGCTGAGTCATAAAAATGTGAGGATTTGCTAAAAATTTAATGCTACAAATTCTCCACAGCCCATTTGGTTTATTTTTGAATGTTACTTTTAGTAAACTGTTATATTCTTAAAGATCTTACAAAGAGGAAAGAAAAATAATATGCATTAAATATAGACATAATACATAAGAATTCTAAAGAGTAAATCAAATTTCATTGAAAACAGAAGAAGGAATTTTCATTACAAATATTTAAAAAAAAAAAAAAGCAACCAAACAAATAACACCCTCCCCTCCCCCCCAAAAAACCTACAAATATATTAGTGACCCTTAAAATCAATACTAGCCCTTGTTATATGCTTATTAATATTGAGTTTAACTTTTATTCACCCTAAAATTGGTGAAATTGAGTTTTCAAACGAGACCTAAGTGATAAAGGACGGAAAATGACAACAATGCTGTACCATTATATGATATTTATCAAATATTGGCTTTGTTAAAAGCTAAAAAAGAGAAAAAAAATATAATACAAATTAAACTATGTTCAGGCACATAGTAGGCTTAATAAATACATTTTATAAACATATACAACACACTACTGTACACTAAATATGAAAAATATTGGCATGATAGCTTCACAAAAAGTAAAAGTTTATACTACAGCCTATGAAGCCTTCATTGATTCTTGTTACAATTCTATAAAAACAGACTGCTAATGTTCTCAATCAGTCAATGTTATTTCATAAATCAAAATGGTGGACACAGATCAATGTTTCCTTCAATAAAATGGAATGACTAAAATGAGCTGTCTTTAAAGTACTAAATCCATACTAGTATCAAAGACTTCACTGTTTTGGGTAGAAATACAATTCTTTTGTTAACATTGAAGTTATACATGGGATCTGTTTCTTCCTGCTCATGTATGGATTGGACGTGTTAGATTGAAACTTGTAGGCCACAAGTTTGTTGACGCGTGTCAGGACACGGACCAGATCTAACTGACTACCATACTTCTCTAAAACAGTTGATAGGGCCTGAACAAACCAGGATCCATCTATGGAGTTTCTCCATGCATAGTAACCTGAAACATTTATAAATTATTTAACTTCTTCATATCAACAAAGCTGTTTTGGTCTATACATATGCCATTGCTTTTGTTGGTTATAGATTGATGGAGCTTGGTTGTAATTTGTTTTATGGCAGTAGGTTTTAAACTTTCAGCACCTATTTCTATTTAGCCATAAATTTTTCTTCCCTTTTCTGGTTAAACTGTTTGGTGAACAATAAACTTTTGTTTTGTAAAAGATATTAAAATTCACTATTGTTTTTTATACATTAAACAATTATTTTGCAAAATAAAGCTTTTAAGATACTATATTTGGGTGTATTAAACATACATTTAAAAGTAGACTGGTATTTTAGTCGCGAAGTCATAGATTCAAATAAAATCAAAAATGTTATGTTCCTTACAATACGATTGTTAACAGGAATTTACCCGAGGTAGGTTATTGATTTCATTTTTGTTAAAGATCTGATACTTTTCTTTTACTTTTTAAGTTCACCAACTGAGGCCTGTTGTAATGTCTTTCATAACTTTTGAAAAAATTTCCTCCTCTGTTCACTATGTCAACTGAAAATCACAATCATCCTTTAAAGTTAAGTTTCAAAATAGTATCTGATAATCCCACCAACCAACCAACATGGCTGCAATACCTTATATAGAACTTCAACTACAACTGAGCAGACTCCATGGCTTTTTTAGATTAGAGAGAAACATTATCCAATATTTTATAAGGTGAAAGGTGAGTCACATAGTCTCATTGGACCTCTAGTTTAATTTCACAGGACATGTGTTACTCATCATCAATAAGTGGAACTTGTTTCCTTAGTTTTTTGGCATATAAATTGTGTTGTATTCATTTGCATATTTCAAGAAAGCTGAAGTTCGATGTAAACGTTTTACAGGTCCTTACATAACCTGAAAAGGTCCTGGACCTTTGGCCTAATCAATTTTTATATTCTTTCAATACCATGAAGTTCACATACCTGGGACAACTGAATACGCCACTAAGAAGTCAGCTTCAGCAGGTATTTTATGAGTAGATATTTGACGATCTACATCCATTTCTCCTTTGGCGTCTGCTACATTCATTTCTACACCTTCATCAAACTCTGTACCTCTGCAGGCCTAAAATATCAAAAATAAAAAAAAAACTAACCTAAATTAGCAAAATGTACTCGTAATTCATTGATTACTCCTATATATTTTCATCATATACATATGGAGCAATTGATGAATATCATAGATTACTTCTACATGTTCTAAGGGGATAACATAATCCTGCTGTAAGGGGAATATACTCTCAACATGGGCAACAGCAATATATATGTTATTCCTTTAATATATGGTTACCCCCAATTGTTTTACCAGATACTTGTCTTATGTGAATTCACCTCAAGTCCTTCCATCTCCCATTTGTTAAATTGTTACATCATATTTACCTGTATTCCATTCTTTACTATAGATCTATGATGACTTATTTCATATACACTAATCTCAAGTTGTTTTTTATGAATGAGATACACTGGTTGACACAAGGTCAATTAAACTAGGTATTATGTTAAAAAATACACAAACCTTCAAAATTTTGAAATGTTCACTTTGGAGATAGTACAGTAGTCAGTGTTTTAGTAGGAATTATACTATTCTTTTAACTGTATAGTTTATGTTTATGAATGATGTAATAATACTAAGGTACCACTTCCTAGGGCGAAGTTGACCTTAGATGTATTTTGCTGTTCTAATTAGGTCCTTTTGTTTTTGATGCTCTTAATTTTATAAATATTTAGTTTCAACACTTCTGCAACTATTTCACAAAAAAGTCTTGAACATTTTAAAACATGTATAACTAGCGATCAATTTTAATCAGAAGAATTTTCATGAAAAAGGTATGTTATCTAGAGTGTTAACTAATGAAGAATATTTCAGAAAAATTTGTCATGCAAACTGATATTTATCGTTCATTCATATTACACAAGCTGACACAGAGATTGCAGGGCAGTTCATGATCAAATGTCATTGTAATTACCTAACTGAAAATTGTTTTACCTGAATAAAGAATACTTTAGGCTTCCCTGCCAGAGTTTCACAAAGGTTGCCTTTAAAAGGTTCCAATAATTTTTTAATCTCTATTTTTCCATTTTTACCATACACAATACCCTCTTCTCCATGACTGAGAATAGCACAGGCAAAACAATCATTCTCACTGTGGTCCATGTAGGCATCTACAATTAAAGGTATGCTGTAAAAAGAGCATTGATGAAATTCATTTCCTTTTCTGTCTAGCACACAAAAAAAACTCAAATGTCTGAGATATCAAAGAGCAATCTAAATATGCTGTATATATATTATAGAACAACTGTCTGTGATAATAATGTATTTACAGTTCTGGAGCAACTGCTTCTATTTACAGGTCCCATTATATCCTACAAATGGGGATTAGAATTACAAAGAAGTCTTGGTCTTTTCTAGACTGTCTTTGCCAGAACTACTTTCCTTCATGACTGAAGCATTTTGGTGGTCTGTGCATTCATTAAGGCTCAAAGTTTATGCACACTTGCCTTAATAAGTAAGCAGTAGTACCAAGGCACAGCTAGTTTGTACAATCATTGCATATTATTGCAAATAAAGAAAAATAATCAATTTTATGAAAATTATCAGTATGTGAAGAGTTAAAGATTTTATTAAATTAATTTCGCTAAAGGGGTTTTGTCCTCAAATTTCTCACAAACATACATTTCAAGTGATGGATTGACTGCTTACTTTAAATGCTTTTCTGGAGTTTCAAGACCTGATTATTCTCAAAATATTAGTACAACAAAATGTACTCACATTTCTTCATGATTTGCAACATTTCTTCTGTTGTAACATCATCTTCTAGCTCAACATCAAATCCTAACTCTGCAAATCTATTGGCTAAAGCTGAAGCATCAACATCAGTCCCATTACGTGCTCCTAGGCCAACGCCGGAGTCAAAGGTCTTATTGTTTATGATTACAGCATAACCTCTGTTCTTGCGATTCATTGGATAAATGTCTGCTTCAAATTCTTCTCTGGACATATGAATATTTACTGGCCTATAAAAGTATAGTTCAAAGCTTCAAAACAAACATATTTTGTATGCAACTATGCATAAACAAGTTCTACTGACTTTATAATGAATTTTTGTTTAACATTTTAGCATAGTTTATTTCAATAGGATTGTTGTGTGCTATTCTGATAGTTTCACTTTGGCTTTTTGGGATCTTGTGCATACATTGAACAGTAATGATAATTGGAGTGTTGTTGCTAAATGCTGCAAAGTGACTTTGTTTACTTTCTTTCCTAATGGTGGCTTCATTGGAAATCACACCACATCATTTCTAAATAAACTATTGTTTTTTCCTTTCAATCATGTGTCTGTTTTCTAAATTAAGGAAAACTGCTCTTGTTTTTTTTTTAACATGTAGTAAGCCTAACAGAATAATGCATTTGTCATTTCGGGGCCATGGGTTTTGCTCATTGCTGAAGGTGTACGGTGACCTATATACCTATAGTTGTTTACTTCTATGTCATTTGGTGTCTGGTGGATAGTTGTCTCGTTGGCAATTATACCACATCTTCTTATTTTTATATGAATGGATATATTTGCTTTTAATACATGCATACAGCAATTAGACAGCATCAAAACCACACAAATAATCCAAAGACATTTAGAGGTCAACATATGATCATCAATTGTCTATACAGTATGTCAAATTCTAAATCACCCAAAGTTGAAAGTATCTATAATAAAATATGCTTATCTCACTGCCAAATAGTACTGTTTATGCAATTAAGAAATCATATTTTATTGCTTACATTAAGGACACCCTTAAAAAATTCTTTGTTTGATGTTGCCTTCCCATGCCTTGTAGGGTTGGATAGATAGATAGGGATTTTAGGTTTTTTTTAAGGCCGTTACATGTTGTTAGACAAGAAAACGACGTTAGAGCAGGACAAAATCTTTAAAAAAATGGAAATGATTTGTGTCATAAAATTTTTCAGGTAGGCTGCTTTTTAGGTGGGGATGAAGGCAACATCAAACAATTTAAATTTTATTTTTGGCCTAATCTAATTAATTTCCAATGACTTAATCTACTGTATGATTTAAACATACACTGATTTTTTCCCAAAACTAAATGGAAAAGTATCCACTGTATCTTCCATATTCTTTGCATCTGTTGTGTCATTTTTGTCAGCTAAAAATATAAATCATAAAATAAAATGTTAAATACATGTTGTACCACCTAACATGCCTAATAAATTCAGATACTTGTTTTTGCAATTTTCAAAGTTTTCTGTGACTTTTAGCAAGGTCAAATGACTAATTTGGCCACCAATTGTGATGAACCAGTTTGGGCACGAAAGGCTTACTAGTTTGACCATCCAAACAGTGAGAATTTATTACAAATAATAGTTACTCATCTAGCCTCTTATCTTAGTAACATTTTGACAGATATGAGCATCTATGACATTTAAATCATGTTTATACAAGTCTAGCTTGATTCTTAAATGCTAAAATAGGAACTCCAGTGAGTAAATCACAATCCTATTTCAGATAAAAATTTTGTTATGTTTGTGTATATTCTTATTCATCTCTGCCATGTTTTCAGATCCTTGAAATTTGATATACAATTAAGTTACTAAGTCTGTCATTGTTTTCAATTCTAAGAAAATTGTTTTGACCCTTTACAGGTGACAATGCCTCAGGACATGTCTTTGGTCCTCAAGAAAACTTCAATAGGTATCAGGGACAAAAAAGAAGTCCAACTGGTCCTATTTTCACAGATCATCTCTCAATAATCTCCTGAACAAATTAATATCACACCTGCCAGTTATTAACTTTGTTCTGATGAAAAGACCTTTTTTGCTAATTTCAGAAAAGTTTCTTCATGGGAGAGATTCAGGTTCCCAGTATACTCCAATTCATATCTAAATTACTCAATGGTATGCAATAAATATGTTGTGATATTCAATTTTGGTGTTTATAATTCCAAATATATATAAGTAAATATAATATGTAGCTATAGATCTAATGTAGACTCGGCTTTATGCAGGCAGATAGATGGCTGCAGCAAAATATTTGTGTACTGCACAATTGTATTTTTGTTCACACTACAGGCAGTTAAAAATCCTACCCTGATTTTAATCTCTTCATCAAATGGATCAGAATTATACATTGTACTTTGTTAAATTTTCATGATCAACCATCCAAATAAGCCAAAAGCAACAAGTTTTACTTCATAAAAACTTGTAAATATATTATTTCATATTGTTTAATTCTTACTACAATGATATATTAATGAAAGAATACCTTCTTGGTTTAATCTTTATAAAACAAAAAAATGCATTACACCTGATAAGAGATTAGTCACGTACAATGTACTTCATTATTTTATGCCTCTTCATCATGCTGTACGTGACACATACCTTAGATTTTTTCTATCTTTACTTAAGTTAGAAGATATGAAACTTAGGGAACCTATTTAACTACTTTATATGCAAGTAAATAAGATAGCAGATATATTTCTTTTTATACAGCTTCTTGAAAAGGGAAAGTTGAACAAATGAAGATGTACATAAATTTTTACATTATATAACAGCAAGTATGAATATTTTAGAGAAAGCCCAACACAGAACTCAGTTTTGAGTCCCTTGTAGATAAGGAACTATAATTGTAATCTATGTTAAATCTACTGTAGCAAAAGGAACCTAAGACACACAAAAAATCCTTAACAAAAAGTATATCCCATGGACATTATATAAATACAGTGCTGTATGAAATATATAAAATAACTGGTGACACATGTACATAATAACTTCAGTTAAAATGAAAGTAAATGACAGATAAATTATCTTCAAATATATTAACTACAAATAATGACAAGGCATAAATAATGCAATTGGAGATTTCTTCCCAACAAAGGACAGTGGAAGATATTTAATTTATTACTTTACTTTCATTTCAGTTTTTACCTTTGTGTGATCCCTCCATGTCAACACTACTAATAAATGTCGATTTCAACGCTAATGTTTTTTTTATCAATTCTAGATATAAGATAAAAACCATGTGCAATACTCACCCATTTCAAATACTTTGTTTATGTTTCACTATTATGAATCAGCTTACAGAATAGTTATTTTTAGAATACAACTTTCTCAATGGTTATTTCCCCTTTGATTCTAATGATTTCACACTTCTAAAAATAATTGGTCGTGTGTGATAACATGTTAGCCTTGCATATGCTGTCTAAATTTAAAAAAAAAGGTTGTCAGGTATAACAAAATTTCTTTTAGAAAAGGATTCGAAATAGACAAAACTATTTGCTGATTTATTCCGCACTTGATTTACGTTTACTCACACTAAATGACTTCCTGTAAAGAGTTACCAAAGCGCTGTAATTTGAAGTTTCTCTTATTTTTACCTCAGAAAGGCCAAACGAGCTTTTCTCGGGAGCATTTCAAGATCAATTGTCGCCCGTCGTCATCGTCGTCGGCGTTGTCGTCCGTTAACTTTACAAAACTCTTCTAAGAAACCACTGGGCCAAATTTAACCAAACTTGGCCACAATCATCAGAGTATCTAGTTTAAAAAATGTGTCCGATGACTCCGCCTGCCAACCAAGATGACCGGCATGGTTAAAATAGAACATATATAATTTTTTACATTTTTTTGCATTATTTGCATATTATTTTGAAAACTATAATACTTTTAATAGATAGATAGATATAAACTTTAGAAAAAAATTATCAGCAGGATAAGATCTACAAATATGTCAACATGACTGAAATTGTCAGTTAACTCTTTATAGAGTTATTTCCCTTTAATGATGATTTTTACTAAAAAGTTGCCATTTTTGAAGTCTTAAGTCAGACCAGAGACATATAATACAACGACTATACTGCTGTTTTGTGGACTACAAGAGAGCGTTTGATAGTATAAATCGTACAAAACTATGGATGAAGCTTTCACGTGTAGGAATCCGTGGAAAGTTATTGACAGTTGTGCGCTCTATGTACGAAGTAACAAAGTCTTGTGTTCGTTTTAACGGTTCGTACTCTGAATTTTTTTAATGTCAAATCGGTTTACCACAAGGCGAGGTTTTATCGCCTATATTCTTCTCCTTATATGTGAATGACTGTGAAATGTCCTTTTTAATCGATGGATGCATTCCGCTTGAGATGCGAGATTTAAGTCTTTTTCTTCTAATGTATGCGGATGATATGGTGCTATTTTCAGAAACCGTTCAAGGTCTGCAGTCAATGCTGAATTCATTAAAACTATACACCGTGAAAAACGATTTAACAGTTAACATTGACAAAACTAAGGTAGTTGTGTTTCGAAACGGAGGTGTAATTAAGGATTGTGAGAGATGGTTCTACAATAATGAGAGTTTAGAGACGGTCAAGACTTTTGTTACTTAGGAATTAATTTAAAATTCAATGGAAAATTTCTATTTACACAGAAGAAGTTGGCTGAACAAGGTCGAAAATCAATGTTTGCCATGTTATCTACGTCAAGAAATTACCATTTAAATACTCAAACTCTCCTGTCTCTATTTGATGTGTACGTAGGTAGTGTAATTTCTTATGCATGCGAAGTCTGGGGATTTTATAAAGGTGATGATGTCGAAAAAGTCCACTTGCATTTTTGCAAAAGACAACTTGGTGTTAAACAGTCTACAAATTCTGATATGATATACATGGAACTAGGAAGACTTCCAATGATCGTTAAAAGGAAAATCCAAATTTTTAAATATTGGTTCAAAATTCTGTCAACAAATAACTGTATTTTAAGCTCTGTATATAAAGAAATGTGTATCGATATTGATCGAAAACTTTCAAAATTTGTAAATTGGGCAACGTTAATCAGAGATGAACTGAACAATATTGGACTTGGAGATATGTGGATTAAACAATCAGACCTCGTATTTGAGATTGATTTCCCTCTAATTAAACAACGACTTTTAGATAGTAAAAAACAGGAGATGTATTCGTTACTTGATAGCAGTAGCAAGTGTCGTATCTATTCTATAAATACATTATAAACAGTTTTGATTTACAATTTTATTTGACAAAATATTCCTGTTGTGTACCGAAGAGCTCTTTCAAAAATAAGACTTTCTTCGCATTCATTAGCAGTAGAAACTGGACGCTACCAAAGTATTGAGTTGTCACGTCGTATATGTACAATTTGCCGTCAGTGTATTGAAGACGAATTCCATTTCATCTTAGTGTGTCCGAAATATAAGGAACTTAGAGTAAAATTCATTAAGAAATATTACTGGTCTAGACCAAGTGTGTTTAAATTTATTGAACTTTTAAGTTTAAAGAACATCAAACAGTTAACCAATTTAGGAAAATACATTTTTACTGCATTTAAAATTAGAGACAATATTACATGAACATTCTCTGTCTGTTTAATTGTGTACTTTGTGAAAATTTGTATTGACACCGATGAACTGTAAAGTTCAAGGTAATAAAGAATAGAATTGTATTTTTGGAAAGAGTGTGGACACCTGTGGTGTGACAACTTCTTGTTTACAAGGTGTCAATTAAAACTCATTATTTATAACATGTTCGTGATTTACCTGGTCATCGAATAATTCAAACCTAATATACATGTCACACTGTGAAATTATGTCTCCGAGACAGGTGTATATTCAATAGAAACCCATTATGTAACTATCAAATAAAATGAACTCTGACACAATTTATAAAGTGTTAATTATTTAATATCAGTTTTTTTTTTAATACAATATCAAATTATGTCTCTTTTTCAATAATACAAATCTAAAATCAAAATTACATTAAAATAAATAATTATATAATATGTACTCAAATTATTTAATTAATTATGATAAATTTAACACTGAAACAGTTTATGTTATGCTTAAACATTCGTCCTTACTTCGAGTACTTTTAATACTTTTATTAATGACTTTATTACCTAAGGAGATCTCGCTTGGTTTAACTAGTGGCCGCGTGTTATTACGGGATTTTGCCGAGTTACGAATCTCTTGTATTATATGTCTCTGGTCAGACGCAGTTAGTCCTGTATCAAGCACCCCCTCCTCTGCATTAATTTCATAAGAAAATAAAGGCTTATCATATACTTTAGGGGTCCCAACCAATATAGAGCTATACTAAACTATCATTAACTCTAAACCTTACCCTAACCCTAACACTAGGCCTAACCCTTAAACCCAACTCTAACCTAGAGCAATTGCTGTAATTGTAACTGATCCCCTTTCCAATTGGACCATTTTTAACATGCATAATTTTTTTTTCTTTTTTTTTTATGACATATAATATATTATTATTGAATACTTTTCATTTTGTTCGAATAAATGGTCATCTGACAGATGTCCAATTACTGTTTGATGTTATAATGTCCACCTCTGAGATACTGGAAATAAAAAATAAAAAAATTACATCTTATAAATTTTCAATGTAATTTCAAAACTATTAGTAAAAAATCTGGTACATTGTAAATATGGGAAAACTTGTTTATGGGAGTGTTCACTGTTGTTCATGATCAGTACACATGTCTATTTTGCTTTTTTTGCGTCTGTATTTTGATTTTTTTATTCTTTAAGTCAATATTTTCCACCTGTTAATAATATAAGACCCCGTTTACACTTGTTAAAAAGATTGATCTTAAAAAGACCGATCTTGAGTTTAATGTAAACGGGAAAGATCGATCTTCAATCGGACTTAAAAAGTCCACCTCCAGAGGTGGTTTTAACAAGATCAATCTTATTTGAATCGATCTTTCTTCAAGTGTAAATGCTTAGATCGATCAGGAAGTGAATGTTATATTTAGATATGAAAATAAATCTGTGCATGTTCGGCGGCAAAAACACTCTTGTTTAAAAACGATGGTATGGATAAGAACAGTAAATATAGATTCTGCCAATTTTTTATCATTCTTCTGAATTGATAAATTATAATTCTTTGCTGCAAATCCTCATCTTCAAACACATTGACCTTTCATTTTTTTAGTGATAGTCTTCTCACATTTCTTTGTTTAATGACTTGTGACGTGCCAACCAAAAAGATAATTAATAATTGCATACAAAATTCCAATGATCCAACTATTTTCTCCATGATTTTGCAGTGCCTGTTGGAGATGCACATGTTAACATACATGTACTATTCTATTTTTACGATTATTTGTTTACGAAATGTAAAGTAATTAGGTCAGACTGGTTCTTTTTATGTTGCAGTGTAAACGAACTAGATTAAATAAGATCGATCTTGCTTGTGCAAATGTATACACAAACTGGTCTTTTTAAGATCGATTCAAATAATGATTGATTCAATTTCGTACAAGTGTAAACGGGGTCTAAGAATAAGGAGAGTGGTATGATTAAACATATCAACAAATGGATCTTGATTGCTATAATTCTAATTAAATCACCACTGGTATTTGCTGAGCAAAAGTGATAGCAACCAGGTTTTGATGGGTGATTATAAATTAAACCTACCACTTTAGTATGATCACTCATGTTTTTGCCACTTGTTTTGTTACAAACAAATGAGCTGATTGACTTAATGATAATAATTTCTGAAATTTTTCACTAATGTACTTTTTAAAAAAAAAAGTCTTCTGACACATGGGTAGGAAGAAAGAATTTTGTTTTTAGTTTTGCTGATTTTCACTGAAATTGTAAGGAATATTTTTAAGAGGCAAAAGATACAAAAGGGAGAATCAGAACTCAAATGTCTTAAAGGGGTTCATGACACAAAACTCAAATGTCTTAAAAGGGTTCATGACACAAAACTCAAATGTCTTAAAGGGGTTCATGACACAAAACTCAAATGTCTTAAAGGAGTTCATGACAAAAAACAAAAATAATGAAATGACAATCAAGAACTAAAAACTGAGAAACCCCCCCCCCCCCCCAACTTAAACAACCCCTTACAAACTGGGAGTGATCTCAGGTGCTCTGGAAAGGTAAGCATCCTGCTCCACATGTGGCTCAGAATGTATTTTTTAATATGTATTATAGATAATGAAACTATACAGTAAAAAATGTTAAGAAAAATTATCTGCGATCAGGTAGTACAGAAAGTAAAATTCCAAATGTTTTTCAGCACACCAGTGACCTGTTTAAAAAGTATTTACATTTTGTACTTTGGATAGATTGGTCTTCTCTCCTCTCAAGCTTTCACTTCATTGAACTTTCAGGGTAAGAGACACATGTATATCAAAGATTTAAATGCAGAATTATTACCAATTAGACCTGCACCGTCCATAAAAGACCAACAGGACGAGAATTGGAACTATGTAGTATTGTCATGCATGTGCAAGGGTTTCGTAATTTTCTTCTTGTCAATTTTAATCTGTTCTGCGGTTTGCAAGATAGTTCTTACCAAACAGTGTTTCCTTGTCGTTAAGATAATTATATTATTCACAATTAAAATCTCAGAAGTAATCATGAGGTTTATGCTTAAATTTCTTGAAAGTGAATTATTTTATATTTTTATTTGAAAATATGATTGACCTGTATCTTAGGACAAATAATAATGATGGGATAATAGAATGTATCTGGTAGTTACTAACCAACAGTGCACCAAATATGTAAGTTTTACTTTGTTATAATAAATGACCTTTAAAGTATTTTTATGACCTGGACTTTTTCCTGTCAAATGTAATGAAATGTGCACCTATAGAATTATATTTAGGTTCTGTATATTATGAATCCATAAAATTTCATGTAAACTATTTATTGGATAGATTGGGAACAATCCAGACAATTAATATATGTTTTTATTTTTATGTTTACAAACATGCACAGTTCTTTGCGGTTAGCTGTTAATCGTTCGTCAACATACCATACAGTAGATCAGTTATGCTTCACATGCTTAGGCCATTGCTAATGAAAAGGTATATAACTATTGAAATTTATATAATTGAATCATTCAGTTTCTAGGTCATGATTTAATCTTTTGAGTCTTTATCTTTTCCAAAAAAGTAGTAGGTTCGATAAGGCTCTAAAATGGTCCCTATTTCTAGGTAAAATCTCAAATTATGAATTATTGACCATTATCACACTGAATCATAGCTAAAACAATGACAAGATAGGAAATATGTCTGTTTGTTGAAAATTAACATCTTAGTGTTCTTTTCATGACGTCACAAATAGAACACATTTTGATTTTCCATGATAAATTCAATGAAAACGTATATTTCCATTGATTTTTTTGGGACTGGAAACAGAGTGCATGCTTATTATTCCAGATCTCATTAATGAATATGGAGTTTGTATCTGCACCTTGCTCTTATCTATTGGTTACTGAATTCAAGAAAAAATAGGTTACCTCTCAACAGTTTGTAGTAATTATTTTAAATTTCTGCTTAGAATATACAACTTTATGCTAATGGAAATTATCTTTGTAACAATGAAAATAGCTATACCACTTTGACACATCCAAATTCTTGAATTGTATTTACTGCATCTTTCAAGAAAAAAAAAGAGATTTAATAACATTGTTCTTTAAGCAATAGAAATTATGAAAACAAAACTTATAAGATTCTTCCTGAGGTCACATTTTTTAGAAAATATTGAGTTAGTTCCCTTATTACAGGATAATTAGAAAACCATAAATTGAAGATCAGCCACTGAAATTTTTTTAATTGGTTCTAAATTGGATAACAAACTTCTAACATTGTATCAAATATTTTAATTTTGGTAAATGATGTAATTAAACAAAATATGTGTGTTTTTGTCAGATTTGAAACATCAAAATATTCTTGATTTTGGTTTTATGGTTGTATGTCAAATTCATCTGTATTAAATAAAATATTACAGTACTAGTCATAACAAAATTACTTTTCAATTGACGTTTTTTTATTGTAAAGATATTGTCATTCTTAAAATAAAAAAATATATTTTCATATCAATTAAAATTGCATATTTTTTGTCTTTTTTCCATATTATATGTACATGTATATGTTAGATATATATATGCGTACAATGATTCTTATTTATTACATACATATAATGGCCTGACACTATATACAATTTTATTTTTCGTTTTAGTTTGATGAAATTCTATTTAATGGTTTGTCTTTTATGTTGATTTCAATGATAAAGGAGTTTTGTAAATATAAATTTATTTAATAAAGAAAGGCTCGTATTGATGATGTCCCTTTAAGTTTGAAATCAGAGTGAATACACATTGTTCTGCATGGCAAAATTTCTATATATCAATATATACTTGATTTACCCAAAGCCTTTGAAAATAAATTTTTGAATTCAATAGCAAATGATATGCATTTCTATAAAATATTGAGAAAATTTTGAATAATATGATGTATAGAAACGGAACAACAAATGAGTTATTGAATAAAATGATGTCATCTTATTTTTATTGGTTGTAAATGAAATATTATTGGAAGTGAAACTGAGGACTTTTCTTATATAAGGTTAGTGAGTCGTTTTCTTTTATATTTCAGGGAAAGATGGGCTGAAGATAAATAGCATACGATAGATGATAAAGAATTTCATTGACTGATGACATTTACAAATAATAGATAAAACACAATAATGGTACCAGTGTTTTTACAAGATATTGAGAACCTTATCTTCAGTTTTAAGTTTTTTATTGTGATAAGTAGAATGTATGCATGTACAATGTTTATAGGCAGTGTTTTCCCTAAAATTTTAAACAGCTTATTTATTCTTAAAAAGTAGAAGGCAGACATGCATCTTTAGTTAAGTATTTATGATAACTTATTAATTTACAGAAAAGTAGAGGGCTAAAAGTATGAAGGAAAAGATGATTTAGCCTTTTACTGCCTTCTAAAGAAAGCACTGAATAGTGTTGTAATATTCAGGGGCAGATCCAGGATTTTTGAAAAGGGGGGGGGGGCATAATTTTATAAAACTGATTCCTGTGTTAACAATTTTTTGGACGATTTTATGCTAAAAAAATCATATAAATCGTGAAAAACATGATATAATTATTTTTTTTGTCAATCAAAAGGGGAGGGAGGGGCATATGCCCTCTAAGTCCTCCAGATTGGCCACTGATATTATTACAAAAGTGTCTAAAAGAGGAGGGACATCAACACTATATAAATTCTTTTTCTTCGAAAATATTAATTATAATAAAAAATTTGAAGTAATATTTATCATGTCCATTATCCTTAAAGCTTATAAATGCTTATTTTCAGTCTTTCTGTAAAATCATTTGAACATTTGTGCATTATAAAAAATAAACAAATGGATAAGTTTTGCATTCAAGAGCAAGCATTTTATGTGAAAATAACAGAACGCCACTTAAATTTGAATAGAATAAGTAAAATTTTAGTTGTACTTAATTATTGTCTTTAACATAAAATATCGTAAAATCACATTTGATTCTTTCATGAAAGCTGTTGTACTAGTGCGTTTTGCAGATCCAAAAGTCAAAAATCCAATTTATTATGAAATTAAATTAAACCGTAGAATTTTAACATTTTTTTTTCAAAAATAAGCAGGAGTCTAAGAAAAACTGTTAGAAAAGTTAAGTTTTAAGTAACTCTTTCCAAAGTTTATAAAGCATAGGTTCTCAACAACAGAAGAATTTCCGAAAATGTAAAATAAAGCTTCTTGAATTCTCCCATTGACCTTAACTATACAACAGCAATAATAGCTTACTGGGGACATTAATGCATGAACTAAAGTCTCTGCAGCAACTATAATTCATTCACTTTTTAGAATGATAAAGGATTTTGGCTGTCAGACAATATATTGTACAGATTGTTCTCTATATTTGACAATCTGTAATTCGCTTTATTGTTGGACACCGATTTAAATACACAATAGATGTTCAAATAATTCACTTATCTGATTTGTCTATGATAAAAGGTTATAATACTATTTGAAGAATGGACAATACAGTTTGATAGAAAGTCTTCAGCAAATACAACACTTTTAATTAGTTTCCATTACCCTTCTGATATAAATCATTTCCCGTAAAGTCAGAAACTGCCCGATTGACTCCATTGTATTCTATCTACTGACATTCAGTTCACATTTAAACTCCTATGTCATATCTGTACAGCATACAAAAGGTATGCTACATGATATACCACTCATTAATAAAGTTAAGTGCCAAGGACTTTTTTTGAGAAGCTATATTTGGATATTACGATTTTGTCATGGTAGGTTTTTGTTTTTGTCAATATTTATTCTTTACAATGTGAAACAAGACATATCACTTCAGTTATAACAAATCTATTCATAAATCAATCTGTAATTTACTTAATGTGCATAACACTTTTGAGAGAAATATTTGAAAAAAGATAGAAGATTAATAGTATGTGTGTCAACGTATATTTGTTCCGCCTAACAGAACTTCCCCTGGAAACTTTGTTATAAACAATGCCATAATATCTGTTCCTATTGGAACAAATATTCTATACCCTTTATTCCGTAAGGTACAAATACTGTAATATTTGTTCTAGTGGAAATAATATTACAGAATATTATGAAGGAACTTATATTTCGTGACATGTGCTCCGTCATTTATTGAGATCTTAAGCTTTTATACAGTCTTCATGATAAACCATAAAACTACAGACCAGCCAGTAAAAATGTTGCTGGGCCGGTTAAGTTTTCCTGAAAAGAATCCTCACAAGCCACATAAATTAAATTTTATGAAAGACAGATTTTAGGGCTTGTCAATCAAAAAGTATTTCGTGAAGACTGTCTATAGTATTTTTTTAATATGTACTCTTTAGACAGCTTTTTTGAGATTTATAACTTCTAAATTAACTCAAATAACATTTCAGATCAATCTTAGTATTAGTTATTTGTTCTTAATCCAATTTGTTATTATGTGTATTGTATTTCTACAAGCTGTATGTTTCATTTGATAAATGTTGTTGACACTAAATGAGATTCGTGATAAAGTTGCCATTAATTAACTATAGGGGCAATAACATGGGAATCAAAAGCAGTAAATAATATCTTATTTTGATTTTTAAGGTACATGCTACATGTACTTTACCAGGCTTAAATTTTGTATGTGATTCACATACACATTGCTGAATCCAGAGGGGGCTTTGGTTCTGGGGTTGGAGAACCCTCTTTCTTTTGATTTTTTTTTTTAAATCATGTAAAAACTAGGCTTAACCACTACATCCTTTCCAGTATGAAACACCTTATAAAATGCCTATTTTGTTTATTCAAGATTGGCTGGTCTGTTTAAAGATGTATAAATATCTGCAGAAGGATAATGAATTTAAAAGGAGCCTAAAAGAATAACCTAAACAAAACTGTTAAATACAATAATGCTGTTAGTCTCTATAGATAGATTTTATTACAATGAAGATCATTATTGTTCTTCTAAGCTTTGTTTAGAACTGCAATGGTTAATTTTGTCAAGTACATATAGATAAAAGGATTTACTTAATGGTCTCGTTGTGACATCTTGTCATGATTCAGGAATTTTGTGAGATAAAACAAAGTTAAGATTGATTATTGTATGAAATTTAAAGAGAAGTTTATCTTTTGAAAACAGGACCTTGTAACATGAGACATGATTCACAATATTTAATGTTGAATTAAAACATTTAAGTATAATGAATAGCAAGACAAATAAGATTTCACCTAGAAGGAGAATTTCTAACAACATTATCAGGTTCATTCAACCTATGCCAACATTTTGAAATTTATGTATAAAATTTCATGAAAAAATGTTGGCATAGGTTGAATAATTTGTTACAGATTAAGTGTCATAAAAACATAAATTAATTAGGGTCTAATCAATTAACAACCAGTTTAAACTTAGCGTTTAAGTGTTCTCAATACCATTTTTATGCCCAACCTAGGGGCATTATATTTTTCGGTCTGTGCGTTCGTTCATCCGTTTGTCCGTCTGTCCCTCTTCAGGTTAAAGTTTTTGGTCAAGGTAGTTTTTGATGAAGTTGAAGTCCAATCAACTTGAAACTTAGTACACATGTTCCCTATGATATGATCTTTCTAATTTTATTGCCAAATTAGAGTTTTGACCCCAATTTCACGGTCCACTGAACATAGAAAATGATAATGCGAGTGGGGCATCCTTGTACTTTGGACACAATTTCTTGTTGTTACATGTAATAATAATTAAATTACATGTATGTTTCAGAAGAATCTGTTATTTTGATTAGATAACAACGTTTGTGCGTCATACTAAAATTAACCTTCATATCCCAATGAAATGTAACATTCATGATGACACGTGCCAAAGTGCAAAGGTTAATTAAAGAAATAAATGATAGAAATCGATTTTTCATGACCCGAGCATAAAAATGTAATTATAAGAATTGAATGCTTCTTTTAGTAATTTTATAGGGTTGTAAAAGTGTTGATCGTGCGCACATTTCTAGAATGCAGCGCTTCCTACAAAATGTGCTTTGGTCAACACTTTTACACCCCAATAAAATTACAAAAAGAAGCATTCAATTCTTAAGTGAAAATGTAGTTATTGTATGTGTTGAGGATCTCTATTTCATTTGGAATTAAAATAAAATCAATATAATAAAACAATGGCAAATAAAGATTTCTATAACTATATTAAAGGAAAAATCGTCTATTCATATAAAATATATACCAGTGTCATTCTCATGAATAATAAAATATATGCCATCAAAATATTTAATAACATTTCAAATAGATTCCTTCACATACATTAACATATACTGACTATCATGACTAAAGCACTATTGAAACACATATTTCATAAATACTGACAGACAAAGAATAAGTTAAAGTTCACTATAATTTCTCAAAAGTTATACATTTATTAATATGATTTATGTAGAAGATATGATGCTGCATCTGCATATTCAACAGGTGCCATAAAAATAAGGAGATGTGGTATGATTGCCAATGAGACAATATCCACCAAAGTTCAAATAAAGTGGATGTAAGCAATTATAGGCAACCGTACGGCCTTCAACAATGAGAAAAACCCATACCATTAGTCAGCTATAAAAGACCCAGACATGAAAAATATGAAACAATTCAATTGAGAAAACTAACGGCCTAATTTATAACAAAACTATTTACTTAATACAAATATGACAGACATGAACCAACGACAACCACTGAACTACAGGCTCCTGACTTTAGACAGGCACATACAGAATGTGGCGGGGTTTAATATGTTTGTGAGCGCTCAACCCTCCCCTAACCTGTGACAGTGGTGTTACAGCACAACATAAGGACAACTATAGTAATCAGTTGAAAAAGGCTTAACTCATCAGATCGATACAAAGCAGAAAAACATCAAACAAAAACACAGACTGGAGTTGGCAGGGTATTTATCCATCCCTAATCCCTAACAACAAAAAGGACACTAAGTACAGATCCTGAAAGTACTTGCAGTTACTGACAGCTAGTTTATAGCCAATAACAACTAATAAAATAAATCATGTATCATGTTGTTATCCTGGAGCCTCAGGTTTAGTTCAGCTAACCTGTTGTCATTTTCAATGTACTTTCTTTTGCGTTGACGATGTCTACCACCTGTTGAGTACTGGATTATTCTAAACTCAATAGCTGCTTTGAGTTTCTTCAGTAGATTGGGTGTGGGTTTTATACATGTTTTTTTAGTTTATGATGCCATCCTTCTAAGTGTTTGTTTGTTCTTGGCATACTGATAGTATCATCAAGTCTGGATTTAACTCATAGCTGGTACCCATTGTGGATTACAATTTGGTTGACTAATCTATTGGTAACCAACTGAATATCTAACTGGGCATTTGCAATACTGACTTGTGAAAGATGGATTTCCAAATTACAAATTAGCGACACAAAATGTAACTATAAATCTCGCAATTAAATTTAAAAGAAAAAAAAACAAACTCTAAGTACTTTCTCTACAGTAAAACTAAGTAAATAAAGGGTGCACTTCCCCACTGGAAAGCCACCCTCAACCAAATGTTATGAAACTTATACAAAAATCTTATTACCACAAAAAACAGATCAAGTTTGAATTTTGGTGGCGTCACTTTAACCGTTCAAGAGTTATGCCCCTTTATAAATGGAAAAATTGCAAAATTTTTAGTTTCCTTTCTCTAACTTAAGTTTGCCTCAACCAAATGTTATGAAACTTATACACAATGATTGTTACCACAAAACACAGATCAAGTTTGAATTTTAGTGGTGTCACTTTAACCGTTCTAGAGTTATGCCTCTTTATAAATGGAAAAATTGCAAAATTTTTAGTTTCTGTTCTCTTACTTAGGTTTGCCTCAACCAAATGTTATTAAACTTATACACAATGCTTATTACCAAAAAACACAGATCAAATTTGAATTTTGGTGGTGTCTCTTTAACCGTTCTAGAGTTATGCCCCTTTATAAATGGAAAAATTGCAAATTTTTAGTTTCCGTTCTCTAACTTAAGTTTGCCTCAACCAAATGTTATGAAACTTATACACAATGCTTATTACCACAAAACACAGATCAAGTTTGAATTTTGGTGGCGTCACTTTAACCGTTCTAGAGTTATGCCTCTTTATAAATGGAAAAATTGCAAAATTTTTATTTTCTTCTAAATATCAAGTAATTTTTAAAATTGGAGTTATCTTCCTTTGTCCATGATTATACTTGAATCAACTACAATCAATGCTTTATACAGTGCAATGTTTAATTTTGACTTCCACTGATAAAACACAGATCAAGTTGAATTTGGGTAGTTTCACTTTAACTATTATTGAGTTATGCCCCTTTATAAATCGAAAGATTGCAAAATTTTAAGTTTCCATTCTATAACTTAACTTTGCCCCAACCAAACATTATGAAACCTATACACAATATTCATTACCACAAAACTAAGATCAAGTACAAATTTTTTGTTTCCGTTTTCTAACTTTAGTTTGCCTCAACCAAATGTTATGTAACTCATACACAATGCTTATTACTACATAATACAGATTAAGTACGAAATTAATTAATGCATATAATGCGACCAGGTGAGTATCCCAATAATAACTTGTATTCTGAATTTCATACATATGTCTATATGCAGATTTTCCTGAAATCGCAATAATTAATCTTGCAGTTTTGTCCATTCTTTAAGATCGCAATAATAGATGCATGCAATCATTTCTGAATTAAGAGTATATTTTAACTTGGCTGTCCGTACAGATGTTCATCCTGGATTTGTTTTTTGCGAGGTTATCTTTTTGTTTTAATCCAGTTCTTAATCATTTATGGCGGTATATCAGTGATATTTCACCATTACAATACTGTTGTATAGTCCACTTAAGTATAGCTACTAGTGGCTAATCTACATTTCATGATTGAAAAACTTTTGTTGAAATTTATTTCTCACATTTACTTATGATACATAAATAATATCAATGATAAATCATCACTTAGTCCTCTTTTATGGCAACTGTGGGTAACATAAATGAATACAATACATTTTTATGTATTTTATGTTTTTGTATGACTGATAAGATGTACATCTACCTATGGTCAATGCTTTAATCTCCCGATGAAACTAAAAAAAAGTTCTTTCCATTACATTTTCCTGTTTAACAAAGAAAATTGTTACATGTATACCAGGGAAGCATGATTTTCCCTTCAAAATTACTATTGTGCAAGGAAACGTTGGTTGGCACAGTGATAATTTTGGAAGAAAATAATGCTCTACAGACACTTAAGTCAGTTTAGTTGCTTAAGGGAGACAATCAATTACCTATCTTTCATCTTATATGCCTAAATTATCTCCCCTATTCAACTTGATTCTATGGGAGATTGTTATTAAGAATTTTACTATTTTGTTAATGTAACCATACATTTGTTCTTCATGTTATCTATATCAGTTTGAAACGCTCTTATTCAAACAGTACTGTTGGAGCTTCAATTTGTTGTGTTATGGTTTTAATCCCATTTTCTTTTATATTCCAGAATTTTCCAAACAATAAATGTCTCTATCAGTAATGGATGCATCAACATTACCTAGGGTTAATGACAAGGCCCTGGAATTTGAAATTAATATAATAGATGCACAGTTTAATTTGGAAGGGAAATATTTCCTCAGATTGTCTGTACAAAGTTTACATACAAAGGATTATAGCAAGATTCAAATAAAAGAAAGCGGAGTTCCTTACTTTGAGAACCGATATGAAGGAGAGACAGACACTGTTAAACAGAAAGAATCAACAGCCATGGTCAAGTTTAGAGAAAAACAGTTTATTTTTAGACTTCCAATAGGTACTGGTACTTTTATTTAAGTCTTCAACTACACTTATGTAGCAACATAGGTCTTATATATAACAGAAAAAATTCGTAAGGGTTCCGCTGAACCCAGTGTCTCGCCTACTTTTGCTGTTAATCGCAGGCTCAACAAAAATGAGGAAAAAATAAATAAAAATATTCCTCTCTATACTATCTTTTGATTGTTAGTAGCTTCTGTCCAAGTTTGGTAAAAATCCAGGATAGTTTATGAATCTAATAAATGTTTTAAAAACTTAAACTGCAGACTGTATGTAATGTTAACTGGAAGAAAAACAAAGTCCATTTATAAGTAAAATACGGAAAAAATCAAACAAAATTTTAACAAAATTTCCTTCTAGATACTAGCTTTTAATCATAAACAAGCTTCTGTCCAAGTTTGGTACAAATCCAGGATAGTTTAAGAAAGTTGTTAAAATTTTAAAAACTTTAACCACTGAGTGAATGTAATGTTAACTGGCAGAAAAACTAAGTCCATTTATAAGTAAAATACGGAAAAAATGGATTTTTTTTTTTACAAAATTTACTTCTGGATACTATCTTATGATCATAAACAAGCTTCTTTCCATGTTTGGTAGAAATCCAGGATAGTTTAAGAAAGTTATTAAAATTTCAAAAACTTCAACCACAGAGTGAATGTAATGTTTCTTGGCAGAAAAACTAAGTCCATTTATAAGTAAAATACGGAAAAAATGGATTTTTTTTTTTACAAAATTTACTTCTGGATACTATCTTATGATCATTAAGAAGCTTCTTTCCAAGTTTGGTAGAAATCCAGGATAGTTTAAGAAAGTTATTAAAATTTCAAAAACTTTAACCACAGAGTGAATGTAATGTTTCTTGGCAGAAAAACTAAGTCCATTTATAAGTAAAATACGGAAAAAAAGGAATTTTTTTTTTACAAAATTTACTTTTGAATATTATCTTATGATCATAAACAAGCTTCTGTCAAAGTTTGGTAGAAATCCAGGATAGTTTAAGAAAGTTATTAAAATTTCAAAAACTTTAACCACAGAGTGAATATTTGTGGACGACGCCGACGGAATGTAGGATCGCTATGTCTCGCTTTTTCGACAAAAGTCGAAGGCTCGACAAAAATCATGACAGACACTTATTTTACTACTAGAAATGAAATAACCCTTTAGAACCAGTAGTATGAGAATAAATACTGTGGATTCATTTATTTTCATTGATACCAATTTTCGTTGTTTCAGGAAGAATTGTATTTTCGTGAATACTTGATTTAATGGTATTGCAAAAGTATACTTTCAAACCTATAGAAAATTTGTACTTTGTTGAACATTGATTTAGATTTGTGATTCACCTATACTTAAGAAATTATCGAAAAATAGTATCCAACGATGAATGAATCCACAATAGTTTCTTTTTAAACTTTTCACTATACTATGAGGATACAAGATTCTCTAATTTTTATGCTTTTTATGCCCCACCTACGATAGTAGAGGGCCATTATGTTTTTCGGTCTGTGTGTCCATTCGTTTGTTAGTTCGTTTGTCCGTTTGTCCGTCTGTCCCGCTTCAAGTTAAAGTTTTGGTCAAGGTAGTTTTTGATGAAGTTGAAGTCCAATCAACTAGAAACTTAGTACACATGTTCGAGGGTGGTAGGACTTTTATCGGGACTCCAGGATTGGGTGTTTTTAAGCTCGGGATTTCGGGATTGATCCTTTCGGGATCAGGGAATTCTTTTTTTCGAATTTCGGGATGTCGGGATTTAAATTTTTTTTTTAATTAGGGACCTCAGGATTCCATGTTTTTAAGCCTGGGATTTCGGGATCAGGACCTCTCCTACTCCCCCCTCATGTTCCATATGATATGATCTTTCTAATTTTAATGCCAAATTAGAGTTTTGACCCCAATTTCACTGTCCACTGAACATAGAAGATGATAGTGCGAGTGGGGCATCCGTGTACTATGAACACATTCTTGTTTCACATTTCTTGATGGGTGTGAGAAAAATATTTCTTATCTCTAGAGAAAACTTTGTTCTCAGCAAATGATTGGTAAAAATTTAATTATGACGTCAAATTTACTTGATTTCTACTGAATTTTCTATTCTGACACCATGAAAGAAGGCGACCATGTCTGATGATGTCACATATAAAGAACACAACTTTCTGCTAATATTTGAAAAGGAAGGTTAAACTTTGTTCAGATACCGTCTAAATATCGTTAGAGATACAGATTCCACCACTATAACTTGTGTATTACTATATTTCTCCACTCTCAACAGACGGCCAGCCTCACGCTTTGAATATTAAAAGTTAACTGTTTTGAGTGGAGAAATATCGTAACACACTTGATGCAGTGGTGGAATCTAATTTTTGTTTTCATTACTCTGAATATTGATTTATTGTCTGCTTAATGTCCAGTGGCAGATATTTTATGCATATTCAGGAAAAGAACAAATTATCAATTCATCTAATGGGTAGGCTCTGCAAAGTGGGTCTACCAACAAGCAAAATAGGAATAAAAGGAAATGCAGGATAAGTGTCAACAACACAAAAAAATCTAAAAGTCATTTTGATTTAGGGTGAAAATATGATCTTCAATAATAATCAAGTGTTTGAAGAAGAGTTGTGGAAATAATTTAGCACAGACTATCAATGATTTGCTGTTAACACCAAATATCTGTAAAGATTGAAAACATTACAAATAACTATCAATCACTGAATAGGTCTATGACGTGGGACAGGCAAAAGAATGTGGGTTGTTGTTGTTCAACCTGGTTTTCATCACTCAACCCTCTTCCTTGTTGAACCTTAATGGCAGTCTCATTAGTATTATGAATTTTTTGGAATATAGTAAATCAGGTTCTAGGTTAAAGAGTTGTTGCAAAGGTTCCTAACGTACAGAGCGAGTGGCACTCTATCTACAAGAGGCATCAAATTTAACGTCCCCATTCTGATCTGACATGGATGTGTACTCGTATATCCCGCACAGCCAAATGAATGCCCAACTTTGGCAAGGGTTTTACTGCCGGTTGGAAGAAGACAAAGAGTGACCATATTTCTAATCCCCAGTCACCCTTGGACAGGAGGGGTAAATATTGAACACCATTGGTGTATAAATGACTGCAATATATTTTTGTATATTTTAGGCTTTTGTATGAATGATAAAAATCATGATGTACATCTACTTGTGGAAGCATTTACCAGACCAAAGATTGGTGCAAAAGGTCGTAAAGTGGGAGAAGGAAAGTTTGCAATATACCCTCGTCCAAATGCTCCCCGAATTAAAGTAAATGTTGAACCTGGAGATGATTTCTATAATTATACAGACGTTATGTCACTTTTGAGGACAGTTAGTACAGACAGTGTTCAGATGCATTGTGGGAGAATCAGATGTACTTATGCTTTGAGGGAAGTTCTTACAGTAAAACCTAAGTCCCCTCCAAAGTCGCCCCCAAAGTCTCCTGTCAAAAAGCCTGTTCCAAAACAGAAAAGTCCAGAATTACGTGAAAAAGATGATAAAAACAAAAGTAATAGATTAGAACCACCACCGACACAAAGAACAATTACACCCACAGATTCATGGGGTGGGGATAATGTATCTATCAATGTTCCAGCTACTCCACCATTGCCACCACAGCTTGAAGGAAGAAAGGTAAGCAAAATTTTTTTAATTAACTGTAATTTCATATTTTTTCATGGTTGCCAACTTTTCATGAATATAGAAAAAATTGTAATTTGGTGGATATTTAAATTTGTGGATTTGCCAAAGTTTGCACATAAACTAATAAAAAAATTCTCTTTGTTGAACATTTAAATTCATGTTTTACCTTTACAGTAATAAATTGGATGGTTCAGAAATTTTATAAAATTTTGCTCTATATCATATATTGATTGGTTGATTGATGCATTCTAAAATCTAAATATAACATGCTCATAACTAGTAAATGTTGATGAAAATACCCTGTTATCTTCTATACAACAAGTTGGTGTAGTTGGATTTTAAACAAGCTTGCTTACAAGGTAACTGTTTCTGGAAAGACAATGTCGACTTGTTTCAGGTAGGGTGAAGGTTGGCGCCTATTAAAACGTTTAAACCCGCTGCATTTGTTTGCACCTGTCCTAAGTCAGAAACCTGATGTTCAGTGGTTGTTGTTTGTTGATGTGGTTCATAGAATCCTGTGCAAAACATGTAGACGAGACCATTGATTGGCGTGCTAAAATATCCCATTGACAGGGTCAGATTAGGTGAACGTTCGTCTGTAACGCCGACAACTCGTGACGTATTTATTATAAACATTTAAACTGTGGGGTTGCCAAAGGGTCTCAGTATATATACAAACTACAGTGCACAGTATATTATATACATATTTTATTTTCGATTATAAAAGTACGAAGTCGTCCATTACTATGTAAATTGGGTCGATCAAAAAAAAAGCTGAATATGTTTCTGTTGCCAAGGGTTTTTCACAAATATAGTAGTTAGCAGAAAAGTTCACCAAACTATACATTTCACCTATTCAAAAACTTAAATGCAAATTCCACAAGGCTTGATCCAAATAGCCTTTTTATTGTCTAATAACTTGCAAGTATGAAAAAGACAGGACAGAAGTATATTTTGTCTATATGTTTTGTGTACGCACACTTTTTAAAGTTGATCATGCATTCGTTCTAAAATAAAATTTTGACCAAATAAAAGTTAAAAGATGACATAATTGGACAACCGCAATTGTTAAATTGCTTTGACGTCCGAAAAAAAAGATAATAATCAACACATGCATTGTAACTTTTAAAGCCAGTTAAATCCTTTTTTTTTTTGCTGAAAGAACGTGCGATATCATAAAAATTGATTATCAAAACATAACAAAAACACAAGTAAAGAACGTTTAAGTATTCAATATAAATCAAAACACAAAGGTTATTCCTGATTAGTTTTTCGAATTATTTTATTTAGGCGTTGAGACCCTTTGGTGACCCCACAGTTTAAATGTCTATAATAAATACGTCGTAAGTTGTGGGCGTTACAGACAAACGTTCACCTAATCTGACCCAGTCAATGGGATATTTTAGCGCGCCAATCAATGGTCTCGGCTACACTGTTTTGCACATGATTCTAAGTGTTTCTCGTTTCTTGTTTTTTATATAGATTAGACCGTTGGTTTTCATGTTTGAATGGTTTTACATGGTTTTTGGGGCCCTTTATAGCTTGCTGTTCGGTGTGAGCCAAGGCTCCTTGTTGAAGGCCGTACTTTGACCTATCATGGTTTACTTTTACAAATTGTGACTTGGATGGAGAGTTATCTCATTGGCACTCATACCACATCTTCTTATATCTATTTACATTCCATTGATGAACACAACATTCTGACTGTCTATGCATTTTCTCCTGAATACAGAGAATCGGCATACATCAACGTTTGGTATTTATGCTTTCTAAATGGGAAATAAGTCAGTCTTGTAGAATGGAAAATACATTGAAATAAGAAAAATCCTGACTTAACACAACAACAAAAATAAATGTTTTTCTTGAAATATGAGAAGCTTTGAATTCTACAAAATCAGTTGTATTGCACATGTTTGTTCAGCTGTGATCAGAAGTTCAACTGTTGTATATCACACTACTAACAAAAACCCTGTAACTCAGTATCATTATATGGACATATTCTCTTTCTCAAGTAAATCCTACCTCATTTGATTAACAGTTATGAAAAGGAAAATTTGAACACAGTTTTGTTAATGTCTTATATTTATCATTGAAAGATGCATTTGAAAAAGATGCTTGTAGGAATGGTAAGTATAAATTCAATGTTACTCCATTTATGTAATGGGTCCTGTTATATCTATAATATTTCAGAAAATGGTGAGATTTCATCTTTCATTGGTATGAAATGGTTATGGAAGTACACCACTAATTCATGGCCCCATTGCTTTCTATGTTAAATTCCTCAATTTCAAGCAGACACAGCTCTTTTGTTTCAAGTTCAAATAAAGTGACAATCATTGCATGTCAAGGCAACACTTTATGGTGTCTTGTACTGGAAAAATCAACATACCTTTAATGGCATATAAAAAGAACTGGTTCCCGGAACTTCGGATGTACCAACACAGGTACTTCAGATCTGACATACAGGCAAAAAGTACCCTCTTTATAAAATTTGGTGCAGTTTTTTTAATATTCAATATATATTCAAAATTATAAGTCAAAAAGTGTTCTACAATGATCACCAGTCATTCAGCTTTCATTTGATACCAACAATACCTAAATATTCTACATATTTTGAAAGTTACACTCATGCGTAGGAACTATTATGTGTTAAATATGTACTACTTTCTGGTATGTGATTTCTGGCCGGGCCCGAATTAGTGGTGTTACACCTATAACAGAACCAAACTTTCTATACTGACTTCAGCATCACTTTGTTTCATTCTATGATCTATTTCAAGCAATAAAAAACACATAAAGCTTAAGTCCAAATACTATTTTACTAATATTAAGCTCAAATTCGACTGGTAGTAACATATAGGTTATTCAAAGAAAACTGCATATGGATATTATAAATGGCCAATATACTTATTTTATTCTCAATATCATTGTTGTATTTAATAATTTCTGTTAGGAAAACAATGTGCTTACCAATATTCATTTTTCACCAGAGTTTGTTCATTTAATAAAAATATATTAGACCAAACCTAAGCCATAATTGAGAAAATTGTCCCCCCTTTTTTCTTCAAATTGGAAAAGGGACATTTTTGGTATAAACAATACTTCAGTGGTACAACATAGATTATAAAGAGCAATTTATATATTTTTCAGCTGGATAACTTGCTAAACTGGTTCAAAATTGCATGTACAGTGAGATTTTGGAATTCTTATATGAGTATATACCAATTGGCTAGATTGTAAAAGGCTATCATAAGAAAACCAATAAAACTTGAAAAATCATAGGATTATTTGACCAAGAGCTATTTTTTTACTATAAAGAAGTCATTATATACATGTTTTATTGATTGCAATCCCAAATAATGCAAAAATAAGAATTTGGAGTCAAGTCTTAACTGCATGCATGTTGTGTGACCATAAAAGGCTAAAATACCTGATTATGTCAATTTAAGAGCTGAATTTTCCCATAAACAGAATTGTTCATCCAAAAAAGATGATTAAACATGTTTACTTACATCAAATATGACTTATTTTCATTGGAATAGGTACAACTTCTAAAAATTGAATTTCTGATGATTCTCTGTAATAGGAAGTACACCACTAATTCATGGCCCCATTGCTTTCTATGTTAAATTCCTCAATTTCAAGCAGACACAGCTCTTTTGTTTCAAGTTCAAATAAAGTGACAATCATTGCATGTCAAGGCAACACTTTATGGTGTCTTGTACTGGAAAAATCAACATACCTTTAATGGCATATAAGAAAGATCTGGTTCTCAACTTCCCTGAACTTCGGATGTACCAAAACAGGTACTTCAAATCTAACATACACGCAAAAAGTACCCTCTTTATAAAATTTGGTGCAGTTTTTTTAATATTCAATATATATTCAAAATTATAAGTCAAAAAGTGTTCTACAATGATCACCAGTCATTCAGCTTTCATTTGATACCAACAATACCTAAATATTCTACATATTTTGAAAGTTACACTCATGCGTAGGAACTATTTTGTGTTAAATATGTACTACTTTCTGGTATGTGCTTTCTGGCCAGGCCGAATTAGTGGTGTTACACCTTATAAATGTTATTAATTTTTGTTTGTGACTTACTTTTATTTGTTTCTAGCCTTTTTTAAGGTTTTACTTCATATTTGATAGGTTGGTTGTTTACATGTAAGTGTTAAAAGCCAAAAGAGCAGGAATTTTGTGATGTACTAGATTTCAGTTTTTTCATGCTAAATAATACTCTTAATTTACCATTAATGTAAAAATGCAAAAATAATTATCTGCAGACATTCATTTTCATATAACTCCTGCTTATAATTTTTATATTTTAAAATTCATAAATTTCTTTTTTTTAGAATACATCAAAAAACGTCTAATGTTTCCAAATATTAGTAGACCAACATCAAAAAATATATTTAGCTCCAGAGCACTTATTTCTTTTTGATAAGAATTACTTCATGTAAGCTGGTGAAGATCATTTGAAATATGAATTTGTAGATTCCTGAAAACCCATTACAAGACAAAGACAGGCATAGTTTTGAGATCAGTAAAAATTACAGACATGTAGCTCTCAAAGGAAAAGAACAAATTGATGTCATACTCCATGGTGCTAGCAATTTACCCACTACTCCTGATGGCCAGCTTCCTGTTCCATTTGGTGTTGTGTAAGTATACAGATATCATTGTAATCCATCAGGTGAAATGAAGGAGATAATATACTCCTGCTTATAGTCTAGTCTATCCAATACTAATATGCAGAGCTCTAGATAAGAATCTACAAATTGGTGTTTTTACCCACAATTGTTTACATAATAGAGTGAAATATTTTTATTTTCCCGCCGAGGCGGAGGGGGCATTAGGTGTTACCCTTGTACATCTGTCTGTACGTACGTAGGTACTTCCGTCCCAAAATTTGTTTCCGTTCCACATCTTTAGTTTGCCTCAACCAAATGTAATGAAACTTATACAAAATGCTTATTACCACAAAACACAGATCAAATTCGAATTTTGGTGGCGTCACTTATACTGTTCTAGAGTTATGCCCCTTTATAAATGGGAAAAATTCTGAATTTTTCATTTCCGTTCTCTTACTTTAGTTTGCTTCAACTAAATGTTATGAAAATTATACACAATGCTTTTTACCATAAAACACAGATCACTTTCGAATTTGGGTGGTGTCACTTTTACAGTTCTTTAGTTATGTTCCTTTATAATGTTATATGCAAGCAGGGTCATCATCTGTGTCCCATGGACACATTCTCCGTTTATTTCATTTGCATCATCAATTTTAACTCAAGAAACATTCATAATTTTCAAATGTATAATTTGGAACAAGATTTATTATATATATGCTTAATATTATCATATTAATGGTTACTTTCAGAAAAAGTAAAACAGATGATGACAAAAATGTGAAAACTGGTGCTACAACACACACATCACTGAGACCTACAACTGCTCCATCATGGGAAGAACTAGTCACAGTGAATTTTGAAGAAAGATCAGCGACTGATGAAGGTAGGTTTTGATCTTTCTTGAAGTATGTAATTCCCTCTTTAAGATATTGTTATATCTTTAGGCTTTTTATTTGTTCTTGTCATTAACCGGATTTAAAAAAAAAAATCGGTTATTAATTTGGTGATGTAAGGCGGGCAGGTGGGCAGGTGGCTGTCCGTGCATTTACTCATGAACCGTTCAACCAAAGCTTTTCAAATTTTAATATGTTGTTACTGAACACAAAATGGAGGTCAAGTTTAAAAATGACGATTTTTACTTTCACCGTTCTGGAGTTATGGTTCTTGAAAGATTGAAAAATGGTGTTTCCAGTCGTGTCCATGCTTTAACTCATGAACCGTTCAACCAAAGCTTTTCAAATTTTAATATATTGTTACTGATGACAAAATGGAGGTCAAGTTCGATAGTGACTATTTTCACTTTCACCTTTCAGGAATTATGGGTCTTGAAAGATTAAAAAATGGTGTTTCTTTTCATGTCCGTGCTTTAACTCATGAAACGTTCAACCAAAGCTTTTCAAATTTTAATATGTTGTGACTGATGACAAAATGGAGGTCAAGACTGATATTGATGATTTTCACTTTTACCGTCCATATTAAGGTTCAAAGGGTCCAAAATTAAACTTTGTTTGATTTCTTCAAAAATTGAATTATTGGTGTTCTTTGATATGCTGAATCTAATCGTGTATTTATATTTTTATTTTGGGGCCTGTTTTCAAATTGGTCCACATTAAGGTCCAAAGGTTCCAAAATTAAACTACTGTGAAAGTACTTTTATTCGTGGGGAACCAATTTTCGTGGTTTTCGAGGATGACTTTATCCACGAATTTAAGTGTCCAACGAAATATAACATCTGTTGTCCAATTCAAGACATGAAAAAGATTCCCATATAGGTTTGACTACCGATAAGATCTAGAGAATACATTGAATATCGGCAAATCTGAGACTACTATAATAGTAGTCTCAGGGCAAATGCACTATGAACTACAACTGCAGGCAGGATTATACCCATTTAATCTTTAAAAACCTAAACTGTACAATTTCTGATCTTTTAATGCTCAAAAAAAATATTTTTGATTGATGAAAGTCGGATTTCCGATGATTATATGCTATGATAAAGTGTTCATTTTATATCCTCATAATTCTTGTACAGGAAATAACAATTTCATGCTGGGCTTGCTTTTGATAAGAATTAGTTTTACAATTCAATGTACATTTATAGCATTTGTTTATGTAACTGTTTTTTTAAGTGACATGTTTATGGCCTAATTAACACTTTTGATGGTCTTTAATCTGTTGATCACTGATCTCAGATTAGTTAGTGTCATCACTACACGGGTGCAACAATTTAAATGTTTACTTTGCAATTTCCTTCAATCGAGACAATTTGTAAACTCGTTTTTTATGGCTTCAATTCTACACTCTATTTTTTTTTTTTTAGAAAACTAAAATCCACGAAATTAAAAACCCATGAACATGTAACATTTGCTCTAACCACGAAAATTGATAACCACGAATTAAAGTACTTTCACAGTATGTTTGAATTTTTTTTAAAAATGAACGGTTTAGGTATTTTGATGTGCTGAATCTAAGCAGATATTTAATTGATTATAATTTGAAAGTAGATATAACATCATATCTAATTTTAGAGAACTAATTTTTATTGGTTAAATCATATCTAATTTTAGAGAACTATTTGTATATCATTTATTCAGTTTGAGTTATTTCCCTTTGAACAGAAAATGAATAAGTATATATATGGATAAAATTAAACTGTTTCATTTCAACATAAATTAAATATATAGAGGGTTCTTTCAAATGCTGAATCTAAACCTGTATTTAAATATTGGATTTTTGGGCCCAGTTTTCAAGTTAGTCCAAATCAGGGTCCAAGGTTAAACTTTGTTTGATTTCAACAAAAATTGAATTTATGGGGTTTTTTGAAATGCTGAATCAAACCATGTATTTAGAGATTTTGGGCTCCTTTATCAAATTGGTTCACATTGAGTTCCAAAGGGTCCTAAATTAAACTTTTGTATGATTTCATCAAAAATTAAATTCTTGAGGTTCTTTGATATGCTGATTCTAACAATGTACTTAGATTTTGGATATTGGACCATAATAGGTAAATTTCCAATTTCAATTTTTTCAGTTCTGCGACCACATTCATTTTGTGTCACAAACCTATGCTGTGTCAAATATTCAATCACAATCCAAATTCAGAGCTTTTTTAAGCTTCAATGTAGTGTCCATACTTGCTCAACTGTTCAGGGTTCGATCTCTGCAAGGAAATCTGGTTTGCTGTCACTCTGACAGCCTTTTGTTTTTTATCTCGTTCGGTTATTAAATTGACTGATATTCCTGCATTAGGCATTGTAAAGGAATATTTTGGTGTCTGATTTTAAAAAAAGGAGCCATATGCAATTGGATGTCAGAAGTTAAAATTTGATATTTGAATGTAAGGGGAGAAAATTTGTATAGATTGGATTATCATTATATTTTTTCAGAAACTATATACAATAGATATTTTGGTAATATATAGGTTTATAATTACAAAATGTGTGTTCTAATTTACTCAAATAAAATTCTGAATGCATCTTTAAGTAACAGTTGGAATAAACAAAACTTATCATCATTGTGTATTTGAATGAGTGATGTGATTGCAGTGTTTTTAATGCAAGCTTTTTTACTTGTTGTCCAAGTTTTTTTGCTCATCTGGTCTGAAGATCAATGTGAGCGATTGTTATCACTTTGTGTCCAGAGTCCAGTCTATGTCTTTTAACATTTTAAGCTCACCTGGTCAGAAGGGCCAATGTGAGCCTTTGCCATTACTTGGCAGTTGTAGTCTGTCGTCATCTGTAGCTGTCTGTCGTCTTTTAACTTTTACAAAGATCATCTCTGAAATTACTGGGCCAAATTATAAGAAACTTGGCCACAATCATCAATGGGGTATCTAGTTGTAAAAAATGTGTCCAATGACCCTGCCTGTTGACAAGCATGGTTGTCATAGCTAAAAATAGAACATAGGGGGAAAATGAAATTTTTGTCTTTTATCTTGAAAACCACTTTCTGATGTTAAGAATGATTAGATCTTCCTAATGTCTATTGAGATCAAAACTGTCAGACGACTTCATATAGGAGTTAATGTCCTTTAAAGACAAATTTTACCGATTTGTTTCATTTTTGTCAAGCCTGCGACTTTTGTGGCAGAAAGCTCGACATAGGGATAGTGATCCAGCGGCAATGGCGGCGGCGGTGGCCGCGGCGTTAGCTAACTTCTTAAAAGTTTTATATTTTATACGGTGGAAGATCTGGATGCCTCATACTTTGTATATGGATGCCTCATGTTACGAAGTTTCCGTCAGTCACATGTCCAATGTCCTTGACCTCATTTTCATGGTTCAGTGACTACTTAAAAAAAAAGTTAAGATTTTTTGTAATGTTAAATTCTCTCTTATTATAAGTAATAGGATACCTATATTTTGTATGTGCGTACCTTGCAAGGTCCTCATGCCAGTCAGACAGTTTTCACTTGACCTCGACCTCATTTCATGGATCAGTGAACAAGGTTAAGTTTTGGTGGTCAAGTCCATATCTCAGATACTATAAGCAAAAGGTCTAGTATATTCTGTGTATGGAAGGACTGTAAGGTGTACATGTTCAACTGGCAGGTGTCATCTGACCTTGACCTCATTTTCATGGTTCAGTGGTTATAGTTAAGTTTTTGTTTTTTTGTCTGTTTTTCTTATACTGTATGCAATAGGTCTACTATATTTGGTGTATGGAATGATTGTAAGGTGTATATGTCTAGCTGGCAGGTGTCATCTGACCTTGACCTCATTTTCATGGTTCAGTGGTCAAAGTTAAGTTTTTGAGTTTTGGTCTTTTTTTCTAATACTATATGCAATAGTTCAACTATATTTAGTGTATGGAAATATTTTATGATCTATATGTCAGTCACACAGGTTTTATTTGACCTTGACCTCATTTTCAAGGTTCATTGCTCAGTGTTAAGTTTTTGTGTTTTGGTCTGTTTTTCTTAAACTATAAGCAATAGGTCAACTATATTTGTTGTATGGAAGAATTGTTAGCTGTACATGCCTGCCTAGCATGGTTCATCTGACCTTGACTTCATTTTCATGGTTCATTAGTCAATGTTAAGTTTACTTGGTTAATGTTAAGTTTATGTGACAGTTGTAATAAATCTTTATATTTAGGACTATCAACATAATATCAATGATTAGTAAAAAAGGCGAGACATTTCAGCGTGTGCACTCTTGTTGCCTATTATCTCGAAAATTATAATAGATAGACAGAAACCTTGAATTGCAAAAATGATCAGCAAGAAAAGATCTGCGAATGAGTCAAACATGAAAAAAATCATTAGTCTACACCTTATTGAAGTTATTGCCCTTTAATGATGATTTTTTTTCCCAATTTTTTGCATTTTTGCCTATTATTTTGAAAGCTATAATTGATAGATAGAAACTTTTTACAGCAAAAATGATCAGCAAGACCAGATCTACAAATAAGTCAAAATGATAGTAATCGTTAGTTGTCTCCTTATTGAAGTTATTGCCCTTTAATGACGAATTTTCCCAATTGTTTGCATTTTTGCCTATTATTTTGAAAACTATTGTAGATATGAACTTGATTGATATGGTCAACTATACATGATGGCAAACAATCCTTCTAAGTATGAGAATTTTCTGTCAAACTGTCAAAATAGTTACATAAACAAAGTGTTTTGGATGGACAGATACTACAATTATATTATCATATTCCCTCGGTTTTTTTTTAGAAGGTACTAACTAAGTGTTGTTACTGTGGTCCTAATGAAAACTCTTATATGACTTTTCTTTCATCTGATGTTAGTTCTCTCTTCAGATCTGATGAGTTAGTATTGCCTGGTGAATGATTCAGACTCCAGGGAGCCTCTTGTTTTATTAGAAGCTTAACCTTAACACAAAAACTTATTCATTTATTGCAGAAATTTCTGATTTTCAGTTTGAAAGATAAAATGTTAATAACAGGGTATCAGTAAAATATATTGAAAGAAAATAACACATTCAAACTGTTCAGGGTTCGTAACTCTAAACTTTCAAAATTTTACATGTAAGAAACATTTTAACTTATCAAATGCGTCTTACTAGAAACATTGTATAATAAGTTACCTTATAAAACATTCTGTAGTAAACCTTACTGTTACTTTACATTTAGTGTAAATAAGAATAAAATAAAATGATTGTCTAACTTTCCCTTTGCAGTATTAACAATAATAGCAGCTGATTATCCTTCTAAAGAGATGCTTGTTAAATATGAAATACCAATATCATACCTTCAGCCATTCCATCAGTATCATCTAGAGTTGGTCAAGGTATAGTATAATTATCTTATTAGTCCATATCTTGAGCTTTCCAAACATTTGGTCTCAACCAACCTGATGAGGGTTATCTAGAATCGTGTGCTGTGCTCATTAAAAAAGGTAGAAGGCACTTATAATGCAATGCATCTAATATTACTGTAAATTTACAAATTGTGGTGTGCATTTATTATTGTGACTGTTGAACAAAATGCTTCTTATAATAATGCTGTCAAGTTTTTATTTTTGCAAAACCTATCCTGTAGCAATTTTTTGCAATAATAAAAACATATGAAAAATTTCTGAAATTACAGTAAGAACTTTTTAATTATGGAAAAACATCTGTTAAATATAAATTGGCGAATCCGCGGGTGGGGGTTCTGGGGTTTGAAGCCCCTCTTTTTTTCTTTTGATTTTTCTTACGTGAAAGTTTCATGGTGTTCTCCACCCCCACCTCCCCAACCACCCCACCCCTAAAAATGGCTGAATCTGCATTTGAATATTAATTCAGCCAACAGATACAGAAAAAAATAAATTACTGATGTTATTACTAGTTTGAATAGATCATTTTTAAAACTTATATGCCGTTAACCAATGATTTATTTTGAATTGCATGATATAACACAGTAAATATTATGAATGTTTTAGCCTGTTAAAGGAATTCCCAATGGAGTGAGAACATATGCTACTATCACCAGGAAAACAATGCACCTACCCAAAGATCCGTCTTCACCTGATTATCTGGCTTTAGAGGTAAGTAAGGTGTTTATCACAGAAAAAAGTACTGTTTTCAATGATTTGTTTTTATAATTTATAGAAATGTACTCCATATTTTGAAAACGTTATATGGATTCCATTGATATATGGATGAAATGAATATTTATTAGATATTACCAATTCAATAAACTGTAGAGAAACAGTTTTCAAAAAGTTGCATCAAACATTTTTCAAGGTGGATCAATTTTATGTATTAGGTATTTCATTTAAATGACTACAGCAGATTTTTTTTTTAACAATAGATTGCAAGAAATATATAATCTTTAAAGAGAAGAAACCTTAATTTAAATCAGGAAAGATGATTATCTCCCTTGTATGATTTTATAATTTTTTAGGCTACTCTGAGATCTGTACAGAAACCATTACAGACAGCTAAAGGCCCATTGATTGCAGTAGCTAGAGTTATTCCTGATTACTATAATTACAAGTATGTATTGAAAAATATTATGATTATTCTGCCAATAAAAAAATTTTGGCAGTTACATAAGTTATATTTTTTGTATATTTGTATCTAAGATATGATAACTTTTAAATTTTTCCCTAGAGAAAGATATTTAGAAAATACTTATTGATGAATTATTAGGATTCACCAGAAATATGATTTATAAGAAGGATTTGCTATTCATTAAAGGTTTTTTGAGAATCCGTTTCATACAACTTAAGATAAAATACAACAACCCAAAGCTAGATATAGATAGTTACAGTGATTGTTATACTTAGCAATAGTATTGGTTTTTATTTTATATTTAAGGAACAATCAGCTACTTACTAACCCCAGATCAGCTGGCGTCACTATGAACAGTGTAACATTCCCAAATCCTCATCCATCATCATTTAGTGTTCCTCCTAGAAGTATGCATGGTTATCCTCAGGTAGGATATATATAAATCATTGTTTAAATCTTACGCAGTATTTCATATAGTTTTTAGGATAGCTCAACAGACTGCTTTAAATGTATACACTGATTTCATTACCACACTTGTACACCTTGTAAAGTGGTATGTTCATGGGGCTTTTTGAGAAAATAATTTGATAGTAAGTTATATACACCTTATCACTATTTGTCCGCCATTACTGGACATCACAAAGGTTCCCGTAAAATTTTCATGTCACAATAGAAAATATCTGACGCCACAATGGAAAAGAGATTGTTGTATGACGTTAATAGTTCAAGAGGCGCAGATTCTCGGGTCAAGCGGCGCAGATTTCCAAATAGCAATAAGGTCTATTGAAATGTTCATGAATTACAAGTATTTTTTCTCATTAGATTTTTGGTGAAATGAGTCACAGACTAAGCAATTTTATGTTAAATTGAGCACATAGATTAAAACACCCTTAAAAATAAACCTAAAGCAAAAAAGAAGTACAAATGAACAAGCAAACGATTAAAAAAGATGCTAATTACTTGTACAAATATATGTATCTTGATGGCAATGAATTAAAGTAAAGTTTTATAATTAGATAAGCCTGCCAGGAAGACCTGATGTACAGCCTGAATGGAATCATCCTTACTTATTCTGTGAAGAAAGAGACAAAGCAACAATGTTTACACCTAGTGCAGCATTAGTTCTAGAATATTATGAAGCAAGTGCAGGTCAGTTATTTGTATGCCAGCACCACTCAGTGGCCGTAGTATACTACTCAAAAAAAGTTAAGCAACACAACTTATGAATGAAAATAAAGTAAAATAAAATGTAGATTTATCTTTCAAGCTTGTGTTTTCTTAATCTTCAATCATTTGTGTATTCAAAAGTACTACAGTTATCTTGGTCAAATTTCAGACAGTTACACTGGTTGAAAACTTTGAGGGAAGGGGTCAAAATTGAAAGTCACAATTTTAATACTTTTTTGCACATGGTCTAGTTACAAATGCTTAAAATGGTCAATTGGACAAAGTGGTGAATCAGATGGCATAAATGATAACATATATTTCCCCTGAAATGTTTTTTTTTAAATTCAGAGGTTTTTTTTTTTTAACCCCCTAAATTTTTATCAAAATTTTAGATTTTTCTTTTTCTTTAATCAACTCAAATTCCTTCAAAACAGGAACGCTGTTTATTTCACCTCATTTTAAGATACTTCTACAAAGATATGAGTGCTCAAAGTTTGATTCCCATTAATCTCAATGGAAGTGTTGCAAAACTTTCTTTCAGTAGAAGATATAGTGTTATCCATGTCTGTGCTTCCAAAATTCAAAATTTTCCAGATTTGTGATATGATTAAAGCTGGATTGTCTGGTTGTGTATATGATTTTCTTCCTTTGCAATATAATTTCAGTTAATAACTATCTTGAATAATCAATTATGAAAACAGGAATATCTATTTGGAAGGAAATAAATAATTAATTCATCGTTTTACATTACAGCTATGTCGGATCAGTTTTGGAAGATGGTCAGTCCTGTTGGGTTTTCAGCTGTACCGTTAGACAAAGATATGTATAAGGAACTCACCAACAACAGAGCTAAACAAGGATTACGAATAGATGGAGTACCTATTCAGGTATGTACTATTAAAAAACTACTTACAGATTTTATTTACAGAGACACATTCATTAAAAAGATTGTTAGATTGTTTTCAAACCAAAGGCATTTTTCAATTTGAATGCTTTGATACTGTAAATTCAGATATAATTTTATTGTGAGGTTTTTATTAATACGAATAAGTGCTTTAATACTGTAAATTCTGAAATTATTGTGAGATTTTTTTTCATACGAATAATGCGACTGGGTGAGTATTGCAATAATATCTGGCATTATGATAACTGATACATATATCTGTATTCAGATTTTTCTGAAATCGTAATAATTAAACTCACATTTTGTCTTTTCATCAAAAATCGCAATAATAAATGCACACAATAATTTCTGAATTTGCAGTAGACAAATGAAGCATAAAAAGTAATTGATGGCTTCTTTTTTATATAGAATTTAGGAATTCAACAGAAATCAACCCATATTTTGTGCTTAGTAAAGCTTTTTAAAAATACTTACAAAAACTTTATTTTTAGTTTAAAGATGGGCCTTGTGCATTGTTTATTTCTATTATATGTTAAAACATTATTTGATATCATTTTTCTTTGACCTAAAAGTCATCTAAGGATAACAAAGTAAGTAAATTTGCATATAGTCATGCTAGAAACATAGTAGATAGTTTGAATTATCTCCCTTTATTATCGATTTTACTAGTATACTACTCTCCTTCTTTAAGAAGTTCTTCCTCTTGAAATTATACTACTGATTATATTCTATTGTATTAATGCATGATTATTTCGTCATTAGCTATCTACCATATAAGATGCATATATTTTTTATAAGAGCATAAAACATATCAACATATTTATCATCTTTTCTTGTGAATATTTTCATGTTTTGAAATATATTTTATATGTGCTAGATAAAGAAATAGGTTCACAAAAGACAAATATTGCCTTGAAAATTCTTAAAAATTCAACTTGGAACAACAGCTACAGCAATGTTTTATGACCTTGAGTGGCTATACAGCCCTTGCACTGTCGATATAAAAAAAAAAACAGCACTATTGTTTGAAATTTTTTTATTGCCCAATCAAAGATTTTGACTTTTGATGTCATTAAGACATAATCATGCACCCAGCTGATTCTGAAAATGTATTTTGTAATTAATTTGGGGATATTTAAATTGATTAAATTTTGTGTTTTGTGAGCATGTGTTTCTTTTAATTATATACCTGTATAAATCATTAAAGTACATATAGAATTATGCTTTTTTTAGGCAAACTGCTCTGTAAAGATTGAATAATAAAAATTTGGTATTTTTGATTTGATAAATATGAACATTACCGGTATGTAATATCCTTACTGCTGATTTTAAGCAGTTTTTCATGATTAGAAATATTAAAGGGGATTACTGAAAATTCTCTTTTGTCATTTAAGAATGTATATGTTTATCTTTTGGAAATTTTAAAATAGATTTAATAAGTTGTCGCCGAATTCATTTGGGAATATTTCTACATGACAATAGCTGGTATTTTCCCCCAAAGTTGATTCTTCTTATCTTACAGCAATGTTAGAAGATACTGCTACAAAATACATGTAGTTATAGCAGTGACTAAACCAAAAGAATGTATTAACAGTTAAACTGGTAAATTATGTTTCTCATGTTGAAGACCAAATGATTTTTATGTTGCTGTAGAAATGGTCTTACAAAGCCAACCATGTAACAGGTTTGGCTAGCCATAAAACCAGGTTCAACCCACCATTTTTTCTTAAAATGTCCTGCACCAAGTCAGGAATATGGCAGTTGTTATCAAATAGTCCGTTCCTATGTATGTTGGTGTTTGTTTTTGTTGCACTTCAGTGTTTCTGTTGTTCCGTTGTTTTCCTCTTATAGTTGATGTGTTTCCCTCGGTTTTAGTTTGTAACCTGGAACTTGTTATCTCTTAGTCGATTTATGACTTTTGAACAGCGGTATACTACTGTTCCCTTTATTTAAACTATTTTATATTGTTACTATAAACTTCATACACTGATCAATGTTGCTGCTATATTACAGGGAACAGAATATGTAACAATAGAAGGAAAACAGCCAACAGTAGGAATGATTCTCAGATTAATAACTACAAATGTAAGTTCCTATAGCATATTGAAACACGGTTAAGTATCAGGGCTCTCGGTCACAAAACTTTACTCAGAACTCGGAGTACAAAATTTGTGCTGGAAACACCAAATCCATGATTTTGATTGGTTGATTTCTGAGTCTTGAGTACGAAAATTGTGCTCGAAAGTTTTATGACCGCAAGGCCTGAACCATTTATAAGATATCTTGTACATATATTACATATATATATAGATTGAAATGTGACACAGGTGTCAATAAGACATCAACCCACATACAGAAGCAAACAAAATATAGACAATTCAATGTCAAAATACAAGTCTGTACCATACCCTTAGCTTTTATATCCTTAAGAGTCTATGCACTTCATGGATGACTGATCAATTGATTGCTGGCAGAAAATATTGCAAGTATATCTTCAGGACGTTATGCCTCGCTTTATACTAAATCACCATGCTGAGTTTGATTTTGAACATTTTAGCTGACAAGGTAATAGTTCAGAGGAAGACATGTAACCTTACTCAGATGTTTTACTCTGACTTCAAGCTAGAAAATCCATATTCCTAAATGATGTTTTTAAGGAGGAAAGTAGTAAATGCAAATGTTTAATTACAGATAAGAAAATAACACTAGTTTTTTTTCAAAACTTTTTGCATTTACCTCCTTTTGCTTGTAGGTTTAAGAAATAAAGGACACCAATTTGAAAGTATTCAAATTTGTCTCTTTTCAGAATCCAGATAGTATGGTGTCAACCAGTAATGTGGATAATCTACCAGAACTGAACCTGTTCCCTGAACCTCAGGGATATTATCGTACAACTAGTCCAGATATTATGTTAATAACACATACAGATGATCCGACCAATACAACTATGCAGGACTATTCACAGGATATTACTGTTGATTCTCAGGTACTGATGGAACCAGTTATGGAACCAGTAGGACCTGCTTATTATCTACAGAAGAAAGTCAAAAGACCAATGTCGGTAAGATTGAATATCTACAATATATGCAACACAAATCTTAAATTGTCAATTTTCAATGAAAATTATAGATGATATATTTTAATTTTTTATATGATATATGTCACAATTTGCACTTTTATTGTTCTTTTGTTAGTTAGTCAATAATGCACAAGCACGAAGAATGATTTAACTGTACATATTAGTTTCAACAATATTTTATTTTTCAAAAGCACACAAATTAAGAATATACCACAGAAAATAGGGATTTGGAAACAAGAAAAACTTATATCAATCCATCTCACTTGTTGACTATATTGTACTGTATATTCACTAGACATTTTTTGAATAAGTGTATATTTACAGGTTATTCTTCTTACAACTTACAAGAATAATCAACTTTATGGCATCAAATACTGTTTAGACCCCATCTGATTCCCCCAAAATTCTAGTTTCCACAGCATTGACACATTAAATCAGCTTTGTAAGCCTGGAAAGAAAGATCTGGTGAAATTCTGAAAACAAAAATAATTACTTGCTTATTTTAAGTCATCAAAAATGTTTTTTATTATCATAATTATCAATGTTAAAAAGCATTCCCATTTTTATTTGACTTGTCTGTAATTAGAAATAATTATCTTGTAAAAATGGAAAATTAATGATGATCTGTGCAAAGGACCCAACATATGATTCGTATAATTTTTGGTCATGACCCTTCAGAGTACCTCTGCTGTTGACAAATGCAAAATGTTAATTTTTTTATATTTACAAAATATAAAATAGTTCCTTGCATTACTACATGTAACTAAAAACTTATCATTGATGTTAAATATGGTAAATGTAATTTTTTGTCATGTAAAGAGGCTTAATTTTCAGCTAATAAAACCATTTCCCATATCATATGTTAAAAATTATGCCTTTAATAGTGACATGGTTACTTTAACTTTTTAGAACAAGCAAAAAAAATGTGTTTTGATTATTCTCTGAGGTAGAAAGTGACTAGCTATTAGCAACTTCTTTAACCAGTGCATAGTACCAAGTCTAAACAAAATTACATATTTGTTTACCACAATATTTAGTATTATATTGATAACATGAAATAGTATTAAATGTAGACAATGACTTTGAAAATAAATCAAATTTACATATTTCATATTTCATATTTCATAATATATATCAATATTCACAAGAACTACAAAATAATTAAGGCCTTCATTTTTGAACAGCCTCCTTTGATGTATAGAGTATACCATTTAGCTAGATATGATGAAAATCAGGTATTTTATGAAATTTATGCTAGTTTGCATGCTAATTAAATGACTTTTAGTCATTTTATAAACATTTTACCAAATAGAGTCTTTGTTCTTTATTTGCTTTGTGGTGAAATGTTTAATGTCTTTGGGTTATTAGAGGTATGTGTTAAAAATTAACTTTTTTAACCTGCTTTTGTTCTTTACTTTTAAATCTTTTAATAAATTGATTAATAGTGATCTCTTCTAAGTTTTTATATTGAGGTTTGCTTCTAAATTACCTCAGAAAATAAATCCAGAAAAGTGCTTCAGATGCATGAAATTATTCAGTGTTCTTTTCATTTATTTTGAGTAATGGTTGATCTATATTTGATCTACAGAATAAGCGTGAAAAATGGGAGAAGATAACAAAGAGAAATAAAAAATTATAAGTAAAAAAAAAAAAAACAGACAACATCATGACCAAAAAAAAAAACGCAAAAAGTTCATAAAACACTTCAGTGTACACAGAAAGCAAAAGATTCAGGACACAAACCACACTATGGACCCAGGTGCTCTGGAAGGGTAAGTACTCTTCCTCTTGATGACTTGTTCCTTTATCATATGAAGCAGACTTTATCCAGGAGCTTCTAAAAAAGAATGAAAGTAATCTAGCATTATTCTTTAACTTCAGTTTTTGCAATAAAAATGATGTAATCTCATTGAATAATTCAATGAATAGTGACTATGCAGATCCCATGTATGCAATCAAACTTTAAATAAAATATATCAACAATATATTTAAGTGTGTTTTCTATCTTGAATTACATCTAGAAGTTGAAAGGGAAGGTGGTTTGAGAACTAAAATTGATGACAGCAGAGGCAGATTTAGGAGGGGGGTCCCAGGCCCCCCCCCCTTTGTGGGAAAAATTTGGTTGATTATATAGGGAATCACTGAAGCATGACTGGAGTTTTATGGACACCATCATTATTAAGTTGACCTTTATGGAATATTTGTGGATGCTACAGATGACCACAGAAATGTTCCACCTTTCATATCCAAAATCTCATCTCTTGTTTTCCTTTTTATCATCTCCCATTTATCATCAGATATTTATGTACCATAAGCATGATAAGCAAAACATTGGTTCTGACCAGTGAAGCAAGAACTGCTAATCCTTCTAGAGTACCTAAGTTCATCACTAGTTATTGTTGGAGTTTGTGAAGCTCAATCTTTCCATGTATTGTTGTGTGGACTATTGTTTGTCTTTTTGTCATTTTTTTTTTTTTTTGCCATGGTGTTTTTCTTCTGTTTTTGCTTTTGATTTTCTTCTGTACTTGAGTGTATCCACTCAAATAGTTTAGCTGTTATATCAAATCAAGGTAAATTACGGTTACTCTCAAATGTTTATCTTTCTTTATTGAACAGTCAGAATGTTGTTAAATAATAATAAAAAACCTTATATGATACAAGGTCAAATTGAAATTATTTTATTTCTATACTGTGGTGTAAAATATTGGGATTGTTTGTTAAAAAAAAACAAGCCTGAGTGCTTATTCTTTATAAAAGCTAATAAACATAGCAAAAAAGGTGGATTCATTATAACCTTGCTTTGGAAGAAGAGGGGCAGGGTATACTGGTTTATGTCTGTCTGTCTTTCCTCTAATTTGTTTTTTGCATATTCCTAAGTAGATTTTTATAAGAGCTTCCTAATCTTTGGTATGCATTCAATGAAAATATGTTGACTTTCTTCAAATTAGACCTTTTTAGTTTTTATTATTCAGTACACCTTAACTGCTCTCACACACTCTCTCTCTCTCTATTTCTTTTTTTTTTCATTATCTCTCCCTTAATATTTCTGTCAATATTATTTTCCATCTTCTGGTAGGTTTATTGAAGTCTTTCAAATTGTAATGGTATTTGTATCCTGCTTGGTAATTACACTGTTTATTTATAGGGTATATTCTATATGAACTGGCACTCCATTTTAATTCACATTTTCACTAGGACCATTCCCTGAAAGGGACCTATATGAACTGGCACTCCATTTTAATTCACATTTTCACTAGGACCATTCCCTGAAAGCAATGACAAAATGAAATAATTGAAAACAACATGTTGTTGGATACAGCAATTAAATATATCAAAGAGTTTAAACCAGCTGAGGAAACTGGTACATTCAAAAATTATGTAAGAACAAAAATTAATATAACAAACTTCATAAAAAGAAAATTGGTCCTCTGTAAAAAAAAAAAGGAATGACATGCCAAGTGTATTTTTACAAATAGTTCAAAGTGAAAGCCAACAGGCATTTAAAGATATCTCCAAAAAATTGATATGAACATATGATTCCCTGTATTTCTAGAACTTTTTATTCAAAACGGGTGTCATGTTCATAAACTGCCAAAATGGTCCATAGTGCCATGAATTATGATGGTTATAAATTTAGATAAATATTATGTTTCTTATTTTATTAGAGGATTTTAAGACTTGTTTTCATCTGTGACTACATTGTGTAAGCTTTAACAGTTAAAGTTTATTATGATTATAACTTTCCTTTATATAAACTTGGACAAGTATTATACTAATATATTAGTACTAGATATAAACAAACTGTTAAGATAACCTAATTTCTTTGTATTCTTTTTTATTGATTTTTTTATAATAAAAGAATTTAATATCATTAATCTCATTCAAACTATACAAAAGAAGTTCTTCATATTAATCAGTGACAATAGAGTACCATTTACCATAATCTGGCAACAGTTTTCACAGCGGGAAATTCAAACAATTTCTTTTACTGTTTAAATAACTTCTATAGAAAACTTAAATTTATTGATCCAATCAAAATTCACCTTATAACTACCTGTTGAACTCAAGTGTAAACAAGTCCTGGTTACTAAGATGTACAGTGTAAACAGTATTATTTGAGTGTACCTGTATATTAAAATCTTAACTTTATTGATTTTCTTACCTGATCTAATTGGTTGTGCCTATCATCATGAAATATTCATTTAAAAAACAATAGACTTAAGATATCATGTATTGTTCTGGTCATGAAAAGTTAACATAGCATGGAGTATACACTTTAATTGAGGAGATTTATGATTCTATTTTGATGAAAAGGGAATACACATTATTTGACATGGAATTTAAAAGGTGACAAAATTGGAATATATTTGTGTATTATGTGTTAGGTCATCAAAGTATATTTACCTATAGCATTTGATTACATGCCAAGTTGAAATTATAGACAGAAAAGTTTTATAATACTGATTTGATTTACTGGATAAAGAAATATCTAGGACAGTTTTAAAAGCAGTTGAATTTTTTTTAAAGAATTCAAAATGGCTACAATGTATTATAGACCTTATACTACAGAGGTGAGTTTTATGTCTTGTCATGTGGAATAATTTGAAGATATTTATTTTTAATTTAGATATTAAATCTTTTATCTTCCTGAAGATATATGCTTCCATTTTACTGAATAGGAAAGTTTCTTTTGAATCCTTTAGATAATTTTGAAATATTCGAATGAAGCGTAAAGATTCTATCATAAAATCAAAGAAAGAGCTAAATTTTATTTTTCTAAATTTTTTATTAATCAAGTTTTAAAGGAAAAGATGGATAGCAGTGTATTTCTCAACACTTTATGACAATTAAAATGTATTTGGAGCAGTTTGCTTTAGTATGTTATTGTTGTATTTTGTTTGCTTTGATTGTGTCTTAAGCACACTACAGTAAATCATTTAAAAATAGAATTAAAGAATAAAGGTGCCTTATTACAGTTTTATAGTATTGTATATCAGTAAACTCCTTATGCTATTTACAGTGCACATGACACATGTTTCAGGAGTAACCTTCATCAGGTACATACAACACTACAGACAAATACACAAAATGTATAAAACTTTTATTTTGTTTTTTCTTCCAGCTATTATTACGGTTATGAGAAAAGTTAAATTTTCACTGAAAATGTTAAGTAATTTTATTATAACTACATTTCTGTTTTGAATACATTGTTTTATTTAATAATTTTTCACAGATAAACTGTGCTTTTTATATCATTTGTTTAAAAGTTTATTCATGATTTGCCTGCAATACTATTATATGAAACAGCAAATTTAATGCAATGACCTAGATTTAAAGTTAGAACAAGAATAGAATAGAGGGAAGACCTTAAAAACTTTTTGATATCTATCTGGTAGATTTTTAATGGCTCCGATGTTTGTCTTCTGGGATCTTATATATACATGTATCATCTCACAAAATCAAACTTTAAGTCTGTAAGATAAACAAGGTATAATACCTTTATTCCTGAATTATTTTTTTAAGACCCATGTTGAATTCATTTTAGCCCATCAAAGATGGAGAGATGCCACCATATGAAGCTGTGGAAACTGTTTTACCAGAATACCAGTACATATTTGTGGACCCAAATAGTCAGACTGGACAAAGGACAACCCAGAGTCCAACAATCCGAGTTAGACATCAACCACCAGCAGACACCACAATGCCTGGGGCCTATGGTACCTCCATAAGTGAAAGGTATGGATAAACAACTTCTGTAGCTTATATTTTGTTGTGCATTTTAGTCAAAAAAGGTATTTTTCATTTTTGATAATTTGGACAAAATAAGTAATTCCAAGATTATAATACAGTTCAGCACTTTATCTCTGCTTCCAATTTTTAAATGAAATTTTAAGCATGTGTGTTGCAATTTTTTATACCATTTGAAAATACATCATTGGACCTACAGATAATACTTGTACAACACAGTATATTACAGGTGTAGATGTTCCCGCAGTCATTTCTTCTTAAGCCATTCATTGAATCAAAATAATAAAGATAATCCATTTATCATAGGAACTTGATGCAATCCATGTTTGCCAAAAAAATATGAAAAGTTAAGTAAAGTATTGGAATGTGCTAGATCTTGATGAGCGGTGTTGCCTTTAGTTTTTTTTTCAAAGGCAGGTAGCTGCCAAAATTTAGTGAAAGATACATAATGTAGAAAGAAACAAACATCTCTCTTTTATGTCAAAATTTTAACACAATAAAAGGGAAAACATGTTTTTTTTTTTAAATTTCAATTGATGGGATTCTGGAAATTTATGTCACATGAGCTGCTCCGGATAGAAATCGTCCTTATGCAAATGAATATCAATATATCTGTTAACTTATTTCAGGTTGAAAAAATCTCTTACTGAACGTCTGTAACTGTTTGAAAATTGAGATGTTATAAAACCCTACAAAACAAACTAAAATTCATCTTTTATTTCGTATTTGAATGTTCCAAAATCAATCAAAGTCTTATACATGTATACATGCACTTGCATAAGGTCGATTTCTATCCGACTCAGCTCATGTTATGCAGGAAAAGCACTTTTAATAAAACTTTAGCTTTATTTCTTTTTATTCATATTTACGTCCATAAAATGAAAAACATGAAGTACAAATTATAACTTGGATGGGGTATGAACATGCCTATCTTCCATTATGCTATTGTAATGTATAAATGCAAGTAGTTAATGCAACCTTGTTTAAGAATATGAAAGAGATCATATTCACTTATCTCTAAAAGCTTCTACCACCTAGAAATTTGTTCTTGCATGTTACTTGTAACTAAGTCATTGGGAAATTTGTAAACGAAAGCTGTATTGATTTGGAAGCTTGAGTCCTTATGCTGACTAATTAAGAAATTATTTTTCTTTGCATGTTTACATGCAAATCAATTTATATTTTCAATAAACTAACAAGAAGATAAACATAGTTCTTGTGTTTATGAAAATAAATAATGTAAAATAATGCAATGCACTGCACTAAAAAGACAAATTGGTACTGCTGTTGTCTGTTCTATGGTCGGGTTGTTGTCTCTTTGACACATTCCCCATTTCCATTCTCAATTTTACTGTTAATTTGAAGAATTAGAATTAGTTTTGCCAACTCCATACTGTTTAATACAGTGCCCAAAATGATATAAAACTTTGTATAAATCTGCTTGTTTACAGTGTTGATTAGTAGATTAAAGAACCAACAAAATGACCAGCTGATATCTCAAACTTAAAAATATGTCAAGAGCGAAAATAAAGATTATGATGTGCAGGTTGAATCAAATGTAAAATTTAGCAAGTATCATATGATATTAGGCTGAATTTGATTCCCAAATAGGTCTTGGCATTAGTTCACTTGAATTAGAGATCTATTTACAATCAGTAATCTTGTTTACAGTATCAATCACAAGTAATTAATTTCGTGTAACTAGGATACTTTACCCAATGGACAATATAAGATTAGATAGACATTAATTCTATAAAAGGTACAGTAGATTTATGTTCAAATATTCAGCAAGTGTAATTGTCATATTTCACCTTAGTGAATACTCTAACTCGTTCTTATTACAGACATCGAAGACCACCAGATGATTTAGATAAAACCTCGTTATCTGTTATGGATCATCAAATGAGAGAATTGGAAAATTACCGATCGGCCGTTCATAAAATGGGCCAAGATATATTAGCTCTCAGGGCACAGATACAAGAGCTTGAGGCAAACAACAGTCAGTTACGTAGGGATTTGGCAAATTACAACGACGCAAGTAAACTGATGATTGAATCGGCAGAACTTGATGGCATGACAAAGCCAGAAATTATGTCAAGATATGGTTAGTAGCCAATCTTTATTTTATGTGGCTAATGCTCTTTCAGTAAATTCAAAATAAGATTACTTTATAGGTGATTCAATATTAAACTTCAATAAAGTCAATAAAATCAACATTAAATGTTAGTTTGATTGGAATGATAATGGCTTTATAATAGAAATAATGATCATTTCAGCTTGCTCGTATGTCTTTATATCAATTATTCTCAAATAAAATTAATTGTTGTAGATATTTATCAACAATATGTCTTTATTTTAGCTGGATTGAAACAAACATTACATTCACAGACAAATGATGTGAAAGCTTATAAAATGAAAGTACAAGCTCTGCAGAATGAACTTATAAAGGTTTGTATGAATTATCTCCCTTTAGTTGGAAATTTGTAATAAAGTTGATTTTAAAAATAAAAATAAATGGAATTAATATTAACTTAATGGCAGTGCTTCATACATTTTTTTACCTTACCTAATAGTATATTCATTCTTGGAGATGGTATTTTGACATTTACAGGTACCTTGATTTATTTGGCTTTAATAGATTGTTGTCTTTCAAATCTCCACTTTTATTTTTATGTCCAATTCTCCACCTCCCTTTCTCGTTAAATAATTACCATTTTTTTGTCATATCCGTTTTTTTTTAACCATTATCTTTCTAGAGCTAGATCCTATAAACCAAAAAGTCAAAAAATCCATATCAGCTTTTTCTACAATATGTTTGAGTGTTTGATTTATGGCTGAGGTTAACAACCTTGTTTGGATATGTTACCCACTCTCTGGACTATAAATGGTTTGCTTTTCTTAGATCTTAGAAATCTAGCAAAATTTTGGATGTCATATGATAGCTTGGTTGATGTACAAAAATCTGATAATAAAATATTGTTCAACTTGTATTGTAGAAAAATGATGCCCAGAAGAACTATTTACACATGACACACCAGTTTAACAAACAGAAAGAACAGCTTCTTAGAATGCAGGAGAAAAGTGCCAAATGGAAGAAAGTGGAAGAAACATGCCGTTCACAAGAAAAAGTTATAGAAAAGATGGAAAAGGTTCTAGATAAACAACATAGAGACAGATCGAAAAATCAGAAAGGTATGACAAGTTGTTATTATTAAAAAGTATAAATGTATTTGAAAATGAAAATGACTGATAAGCTGTTTGTAAAAATATTAGATGCATTAACAAAAAGGTTTTTGTTTATATACAGTGCAGAAACCTTTGGACAATTTTTCAATATGTTGAACTTATAATAAAAGCCTGCTTGTTCACTTCACTTTGCTACTTCAGTTGTAAATTATTTATATAATGGACAAATACATATGGGTCCAGATGTCTTGTTCCTTTATGGGTTGTTTGAAGCTTTTTATTTTATTTTTTTTAAACATGAAAAGATAAGATTGATTTCTAGAAAAAAAAAAAGTTTTGAAAAAAATTAAATCATATATAGGCAGATTTTCAGAGAATTTGTATTTTTACATGATTAAAAATTTTGTTTAATTTGATTTCAGATCATGCTGGTCAGGAAGCAAATGAAGCTTTATTACAAGAAAATAAACATTTACGTACACAAATAGAGGATCTTAAAGTAAGTTAGATTGAATGGTACCAAAGAAACATTTATTTCCTTCTTAGAGGCTGAGTGGCAAATGTTTTCTCCCATTTAATTCTTTTGTCATTCCAACTGATACGTGACTTTTGAGTATAGAGCTCATGTTTGGTATGTCATGTGTAAGAAGATGAATATTGATGAATTGCAGATCAAATTTGTTTTATTCCAATTGACTTACCCTTCCAAGAAATTCCAGCCATAGACTAAGAAAATAGAATTTACTCGCCTAGATTTCCTATGTCATGCATGAAATATATTGAACCTATTATTTGTGTGTACCTGAGGCTCCTAATACACCTTATCGCTATTTGTCCGCCAATACTGGACATCACAAAGGTTCCTGTAAAATTTTGACGTCACAAAAGAAAATGTCTGACGTCTCAATGGAAAAGTGATTGTTGTATGACATCAATAGTTCAAGTGCCGCAGATTCTCAGGTCAAGCGTAGCAGATTCCCAAACAGCGATAAGGTCTATTGAGTCAAATATCAATTTTGCATTTTCTTATGGTTGATATATTTATCATTGAGTTACAGCTCTATATTTGTTCATACAAAAATTGATCATAAGCACGTCCATCAATATGTAAAATGAGTCATAATTTATTTTCTGTACTTTTCTGAAAAGAATGATCTGTCTTTTTAGCTCACCTAAAGTGAGCTTTTCTCATCACTTGACATCCGTCGTAGTCATCCGTTAACATTTACAAAAATCTTCTTCTCTGAAACCACTGGACCAAATTTGACCAAACTTTACCATAATCATTGGGGTATCTAATTGAAAAAATGTGTCCAATGACCCCGCCTGCGAACCAAGATGGCCGACATGGCAAAAATTAGAACATAGGGGTAAAATGCAACTTTTGTCTATTATTTTGAAACCGTTATAAATAGAGGAAATCTGACAAGGGCAGAAAGGTTTAGAATGTTGAGCTCTACCAATTGTCTATTTATGTCAAAACTGTCAGGGGACTTCTTTTAGGAGTTATTGCCCTTCAATGACAAATTTTACCATTTTTGTTTTTCGTTTTTGCCTACCCTCTTTTGTGTTTTGAGCAAACACTAAAGAAGATAGAGAAAAACTAAACAGACAAAAGAATCAGCAATACAAGATCAACAAAAAAGAGATTTTTGTCATGAGTTCTATTCTTGTCTACAATGTTGGAGAGTGTCCTTTGTTGAATATGCACATAGACCTAGGTGAGCGACACAGGCTCTTTAGAGCTTCTAGTTTTGGTACAGGAATTGGTTCCTGGCATGGTAAATGATGTGTCTTTACAACGCAGCTTATATAAATAGCAGTAGCCACATCATAATGGTTATAGTTAAAAAGATGACAAATTTCTTTTTGGTAAAATCCAGGTACATTGTACATGAAACCTGAAGAAAGTCTAAACTATTCAAAACAAAAGCACTACAGAATGGAGCATACTCTCACAAACTCTTTTTTTCAGATGATATTCAATATGGTTCATTCCTCCTTATGGCAACCTATAAGCATTGAACTAAGTTTATTGAAGATCAAATGTTATCAGCACCTGTATAGCAATGGCAAGATACAGAAACTGTATCAGTTCTGCAACAATTGTAATAAAATTACTTTGGTATTCAATCCCAATTCGAAGGAGAGGGTGCGGTAAGGGCTAGTTTTGGTCTAAAATTGAAATACATCTGATGAAAGATTTTTGACATTTTTTAAACGCTTAAGTATCTACTTCAGTTGATTCAATTTGTTTATTGCAAAGAATTGAACTGATTTGGTCATTTAAGACGCTCAAATTCAAGCTTTAATATGAAAAATCTATCAAATATGCCATAAAACGTCACTTTTTAGATGGTTTTTGTCTAAAATGTAAGAGGCTGCATTGGTGTTTAGTCTCAACCTTTATATATGTGATGTATTATCATCAAATACCATATATATTAAAATATAAAGAGTGAACACAAATGCAGCCACTTCCATTTTAAACAATAATCGTCTTAAAATTAGCAGAAATGCTAAAATTGTGAAGATTTCAGTAATTTTGTATGAATTTATGATGCTAGTACCTGATGCATTAGCATTGTGTTGTCAAAAACAGCCAATATTTTTGAAACATAAGTATTCTACTTTCCAATAAAAAGCTAAAAGTTTACATTTCAACAAATTTGTAAAAATGCTATATTTTGAGGCCAAAAAGGGGTCTTACCCGGCCTACTCCTTTCTCAAAATAATTTTACATGTATTTTAGAATGATTTCTTTTATCTTTATAGGATCAGTTACGAGGTGCTGGTGGTCAGACAAATACTGGAAATGATTCAGATAAATTTGAAATGTATCAAGCCTTGGAGAAGTCAGAAGCCAGGATTGCCTCCCTTGAAAGACAGGTAATTATATTGATTTTACCCTTTGTATCCAATGAGATATAACATTTCTCCCTTCAGACAATTCATTTACAAATTTTAACCATGACATTTGAATATTATTTGAAATATTTGAGTATTAGATTATTTGAGAGTTTAGAAATAATTATTGCAATAAAAAATGAAGCTGAAGGAAACTCTATAGCCAAACAAAAGATAAGAGTGAACTAAAATTCTCCTGAAGGATAAGCAGTTCCTACTCCACTTATAAGTCATATTTAGTGACATAAAAAACATTTTCTATGAATATAAAACTATAAAAAGACAACAATATCCTGGATTACTGCAAGGAAATGCTTTATTCTGGTCTACATGTTTCGCCACTTACGGTGGCGTCTTCAGGACAATTTAGTGAGGAAACATTAAATTGTCCTGAAGACTCCACCGTAAGTGGCGAAACATGTAGACCAGAATAAAGCATTTCCTTGCAGTAATCCAGGATGTTGTCTTTTTATAGTTTTATTTTCCTGAGGTTTTAAGACAACCGCAGCATACTTCGGTATCCATCATGATTACTCTCCCAGCTTGTACTGTTAGAAGGTGTTGGTTCACTCGTGTATATTTTCTATGAATGTTCATTTGATGGTGAAATGAATTGCAAAATAAACAAAACTAAATTAGTTACAAAAAGTAAAATACCAAAAATACCAAACTCCAAGGAATATTCAATATGGCAAGTCCTTTATCAAATGGCAGAATCAAAAGCTCAAACACATCGAACCAATTGAAAACATCTGTCATATTCCTGACTTGGTACAGGCATTTCTTTATGTAGAAAATGATGGAATGAACCTGGTTTTATAACTGGCTAAATCTCTCACTTGTATTACTGTTGCATAGAATTCCATTATATTGACAACAATGTGTGAGCAAAACAAACATAATAGGTAAAACTGTAAAAAATTGGGGTACAACAGTCAACATTGTGTTATGATCTTAATCACTATAAAAACAAATAACTATATACCTTCTTTTTACAAATGTATAATGCTTTACAGTTAGCAGAAAATTCCAGAGCATGGGGTAGAGAGAGAGCTGATTTAATGATACGTCTCAATGAGGCAGAGAATGGATTTGGTAGAGCTAATGGAATGGTCTTACATGACTATCCGGTACATGTAAGTATTTCTATAAAGACCAATGTACCTGTCTATAATCTTATCTTTTTAAGTTTTTATGAAGTGAAGAATCATTTTTATTGGTGATAAACTGGTAAATTATCTGTTTTTATTCTAAAAAAGATAAGTCTTATTGGAGTAGTCCTATTATTAGAAATTTTTGTTTTTGCTGAAATAAACATTAACATCCTTGTAAAATACATTTTGTAAAAAAATATCTTTTTGGGTAAAGCTGTGCTCATATTCTACATATAGTTGACAAGATTTTAAAATGAGATTATTTTGGTAATTTTTGCTGTTTTACTCTAAATGCAAGAAGTTTGAAGCCCTACAGCGAATATGCAGGACAAAATTCAAAAATAAAGATACTCATGTTTGACTGACTAAAGTCTTATGAGCATCAGAAGGATGTAATTCAGTAGATTTGTAATTTTTTTTTATTTTTGAATTCAAGGGGCCAAATAAGTGCCCTTATCATACCTTCTCATTTGTTTGGTGATCCATCTAGGTGAAGTCTCTCAGCATTCTGTTCTGTTCCACAGTAGCATTATAGGTTTTTTGGTCTGAGATACTTTTTTCATTTTTATTTGTTTTTCTCGGAAGGGTAATCTATCTACCAGAAGGAGGAGCACTGTTTTAGGAAAACTTATAATATAAATTGTGAGTCAATGAGCACACTTAAAGGATTTATTTTTTGGATAGTCCATGAGCTGTGCTTTACTGTACCTCATTTGCAAACAAGTCTTACCTACTGTAAATTCAGAAATTATTGCGAGGTTTTTATTAATGCGAATAATGCGACTGGGTAAGTATCGCAATAATAAGAACTCACATTCTAATATCTGATACATGTATCTGTATGCAGCTTTTCCAGAAATCGCAATAATTAATATCGCATTTTGGTCCATTCTTCAAAAAGCGCAATAATAAATGCACGCAATAATTTCTGAATTCACAGTATATTCATTTAGTTTACTAGTGTACCAGCAAAATTGCACATTTATAATAATTTTATGTATAATTAACCAATTTATAAATAAATATACTGCAAAGATTTGATGTTAGTTGATGTCATTTTTTTTTTAAATGATGAACTTTTTTATTTTTTATTAAAAACATATACTACTAAAGCAGAATCATTAAATACAAATTTTTTTCTGGGTAATGAAAGAAGATAAATTTTGGCAAACTTCAAAATAGCATAGTTGAATTTGAAAATATATAGTTACATGTTTATACATGTGTTCTCACTGTTCTGGTATTTCACCAGAAAGATTAGCATAGAAAAAATAGTGGAGTCATCAAAAGATTTTAATTAACACTAATTCCATCCTCACCTTTTTTGTTTAATCCTTTATTAATGTAGCTGTTAAGATTGCTATACATATAGTTGTGTATCAAAACTTAAATTGATTTTCAATTTTTATAGTGTCAATAGATTACAGTTGATGAATTTTTTCTTTCTTTTATGTATACATGTATCATAATTTAGTCAGGTAAAGAAAAAAGAGTTCAATTAATCAGAGAAGGTTTTTCTTATAATAATCAAAACCTGCATATGTTTAAAGTAGCTGCATTACCTATTTACATGGTTACATACTTGAATATTTTTTTGTTTTTTTTTTATTTTCAGAATGACAGCTTAAAGACTCATAGAAGAAATAGTCCCCGTTTAACTCCTCTATATCGGTAGTATATAGAACAGTCAAAACATTTCCAGGAGCATTTAGTCCTGTTGATCAGGATTTCATCACATGAGGTGCTCAACTCATCATTACTCATCATTTATAATACTGTTGTAGGACTGGTTGTGTCCAAACTTTTTTTTGATTTACAAATATGTCTTCCAGGATATCACATCTTTGTAAGGCACTGCCAGATATAGACATTGGTTCCACATGATTTGTGTACAGCACTTTTTTATGAGCATTGAACAATTACTTAAAAGTGAAACATCATTAATTGACAACAATGTCTATTTGTATTGTAAATGATGTTGGAAATATGCAATAATTAAGATGTTAAAAGAAAACATACTCAGTAGATAAAAGATAGAAAATATAAGCATAGGGAAAGCTAAAGCTAATACCTTAAAATAGTTTAAACTGCTTCAGATAATATTTTTGTCTTTTAGAAATACAAATTATCCCTTATGATAATGTATTTGGATCTGAGAATTTATAAGATAATATGTACCAGTATGTTGTCTTATCACAGCTTTGTTCTCCTTGTCTAAAGTTCTTCTTAAATTGATCTTTCACATTGCAAGATGTGTTATTAAAACAAAGGATGTATTTTTCAGGGAAATTAGGTACTTAGCTAGTAACCTGATTTTTTCAAGCAAAAAAAAAACTATTTTTAAATATCTTTAAAATTTATAAAAATTTAGATTGCAATATTGAAGAGAAAGTAAATTTAAAATAATGTAAATTTGAAAAACATTATAATATTCAATTTCTTTCAAAACTGGTTAATTGTATCCCTTAAATAAAGATCTTTGTTCTAAGTGACATTTTTAATTTCATCAGACAGGTGACATATCAAGATATGGTATATACCTTGAAATGTCACTGAATGAAAATTAGTATAGTGCTTTTTTATAGAAGCATATGTGATACATAACTGAAGACATGCTGCTCTTTTCACACAAAAAAATTCAACAAGTAAAAATACTTTAACATCTTACACATTTCAGCATAACTTTTGATTATTTATAATTGAAAGATTTTTTGTGAAAAGAGCAGCAGAGTCGTAGATAATTATATTTACGATATATTTATTGTTATTTTGTTATATTGAACTGTGATACACTTAAGACTGTTAGATATTTATATTTTTGTTAAAATAAATTGATGACATATAACTTTCTTAGTTTCTTACTTTGCATGTCCTGTAACCTTACTTTGTTGGCTTGTAAGATTTGACATGTCTGAATGTCATACATGCAATGCACTGAAGAAAAATAGACCATCAATCTTGGAGGATACTCTTTTAAGGCAGTGTAAAGTGCCTTATTCTGATTAATGATCCACTTACAAATATGACTGCAATTTCTGTAGAACTGGTGGGCCAACAAGGAGTTACATACAATGTCAAAGCAAAGTACACCCCTACTTGCTATTAGACAATGATAAAGATTCATAGTATCCTGGAACAAAAAGTGACCGCCAGCCAGATCTGAAAATTACTTACAGGGTACAACTCATTCTAACAAAGTCTCAAACAAAATATAAAATTCTATAATTCTGAAGTGCAGTAACTTGCAATGAAAGTTTCAGTTGAATGGAGACAGACCAAAAAGGCAAATAGCATATCTAGACACAAAATTGCTACACACATTACTTGATAGAACCAAAAGCAAAAGAATAGCACTTTTGTTGATGGTCTTCATCTCAAAGGTAAAATGACACTTTCAATAGGGAGCAATAGCTCACACCTCAATATGGTCCCCAAGATCAATCCACACATGAATGTAGTGGCTTTCATCTTTATTGAAAAAGAAGATTAAATAGTAGAGAAACCATTCATATTTGTCAATAAACTATCCAACTAAAATAGGTAAACCTTTTAGATTTGATATCACCTACCACTATTGGTTGTCTGTTTCATTAATATTTACATAATAGAAAATACATAGACATATACATAATCTTCAAGATATCAGTTATTATTGAAACAGGACTGCTCACCCTGAAATGTTTCACCTCTTGATTATCTTAGAGATAAAGGTCTTACTACAGGTATTACAAATATTTACCACTATAAATGATTCATGAAAATGTAGTCAAAAGTCAAATAAACCCTATCCATCAAAAATGTTTCCCTTCAAATCATTCTATACACCAAATATAGTTTATCCATTACTTTTAGAGTAACTGAGAATGTGATGTACGAATGAAAACTACTGACTACTGTGGATTGGATACCAAATTACGTGGATTTTATGGGTAAAGTTAAACCATCAATTTAAATGTTGCACGAAATACAAATTTTCTATAGGTTTGTATGCTGACTTTGACAAAATCACAAAAATCAAACATCTGTAAAAATACAGTTTTTCATCATTCAAATATAGTTGACATTCAAGTATAGAAACAGATCCAATCATAAAAACTTAGTTGATTAAAGAACAAGGAATATGAGGACAAAAAGGTTAGATGTATGTCTATATTCCATTAATATTCAGATGAATATGTTCTTACTACCTTTATATATACTAAATATTGTTAACCTCTTACTACTAAAATCAGAGAAACACAAACTAAACATTGATCACTGAACCATGAAATAAGGTGATGATCAGGTAAGCCCATAGATGGGCATGATAATGATTTGAATGTTGAAAGTTTTGAGAATATTTAACTCTATGATAGAATGGACTGGAGAATTTAAGTGCATACTTGACTTTAATTGAAAATAAGTATATGTAATAGTTCATATGTATAAACGTGGGGTATACATCAATGAGACTGTAACGCAACCATACAAATAGTCCAAATACTTCTAGAGGTAAAAAATAAATGATTGCCTTTACAATTTGTTTAGCTATAAATAGTCCTGAGATTCAAAAAGTTGTGAACAAGTTTAACAGTCTATCAAAGATCTATCATGAGCACCAAATTCTTCATATAACAAAAAACATTAAGATATGACACAGTAAAAAACAAGCAAGGTCAAGGTTCTTAATTTGTGGCAGGCACAAAAACATGTCGCAGAGTCAAACTCATTTTTGATACCTCAACCCTCTCCTCTTTATAATCTCCATGTATGGTCTAATAATATGAATATAAAAGAGCATACAATAAAAAAAAATAAATAAGTATGATAGAACAACAAAAACACAAGAACAAACAAAGCTGGAAAATGTTACCTATTCCAGAGTCACGTCCTAATACCTTGTATATAGGAAGTGTCCCCCCTTGCCCCCGAGATTTTACTAGAAAAAAGTGTGATGGGATATATAATAGATTTCCTTAAATTTGTTTCACTTACATTTTCAAAATAAGAATCCTGATGAAATATAGCTTTTAAATATTTTTCTAAAAGTTAACATTTGTCCATAAAACCACGAGAAAAAAATTAGGATTATGAATTGCTTTTCAAGACATTGTGATACAAAGTTCCAAATGTTTGGGTTTTTTTTGTCAAATTTGTCATCAAAGGTAACCCAAAACTCAAATAAATTTCCTCTTTTAGAAATGTTCAGCATGCTTTTTTTATTTGTTTTTATGAACTGGAAACATACTTTTTCATCATATCCTAACTTTAAAAACATAAAAATCCATTATCAATAATAAATAAAAAGTTTGGATATACATATTTTAGTGTATTTCCCTATACTTCTTATCAATAATTTATTTGGATCCTTTAATTTCCAATTAGTTGATTGGAAAATTTTGATCTTTAATTACTAATTGATTGAAATCTTTTGATTTCTAATTATTAATTGATTGGTATCCTTTGATTTCCAATAATTAGCTAGTTGAAATCTTTTGATAGCTAATGATTAGACAATTAAAATATTATCAATTGATTATATTCCATGATCTCTAATTAACAAACAAACTTTAAAAAATAATTAATAAATTTCTTTTCTTTCAACATCTTAAAAGAAGTGAGCACTTTTCTAAGCAAACACTATAAACACAAGCCAACCTTAATTTTGAGTAAATATTTTATTTAAAAAGGAGATTCTTACCAAAATAAATCAAAATCATTCCAACTTCAGATCTCCATATACACTCAATCACAAATATAGCTATGGACTCCTCTACTATCATGTCTTATGCCCAGCAGTTGAAGACTTTACTCACATCACATGACCAAGCAGTCACCCAACTTAACTTATTAGGTAACTATTATTTACTTATTAACTGATAAAAAAAATAGTCATACTCTCTTGAACAAATTATAAACTTATATTTTAAAAAATAGATAGAAGGATAAACGCATTAACTTTTTGAAATTTTCAAATAAAGTACTTCAAGCACATGTACCTTCTCATTTTTAAAATAATAATATAAACAATATAGTATATGATATGGATACTGTAATTGATATGGAATTTTAACAATACTCTTTTGTTTACAGATAGTAAGATCCAGCAGCTTGACCACTACTTGTTTACAGCAGACATCAATGGTTCTCATGGTAACAGTCTCCGTCTCCAGACCCATAAGTCAACTACTCTTGGTATCCGCAAGATGTACAACCAGTACAGAGAGAAGAAATGGAACCAGATCCAAGAGTTATCTACCCTGATAATGAAGTCTGCCAACTCCACAGCAACATCATCAGAGACTGGCAACCAACCAGCCAGTCCATCTAGGAGACAACAACTTGACAATGACAGCACTGTCCAGTCACTTACAGAAGACTTCTGTGTTTTTTCCAGAGACATTTAAACTGATTTTAATTTTTATTTGTGTCTGATGTTACCATAGCTCTGAAAGTGCTTCTGATATATTCTATATAAATTGTATTGATACTTGTTTATGTATTTAGTGCTTAATTAAGTCTACATTTGCCATTAATAAAATATATTATATCAAAATGTTTTGTTTGACTCCATTTATCAAAAAGATAATTTTAGACTTCAACAAAAACAAGAATTCATCAATTAATAAAAACTTAATCAGATTTCAATAGATACTAACATCAATGAGGATTAAGACTAAGTGTGCTCAAGACAATATCAGAATATTCATAATGAAAAAAAGGCAAAAAGAACCACTGACTGGAGTCAGGAGGTTAGAAACTACATGTAGAAGATTCTTAAATTCAAGTGCATACATCAACCATCACATATCTACCCTGTATAAACTGCCATTTTTCACATCTTCAAGTCTTTTAATGTACAAAATGCGTTAAGAGCTTGTGCTCTTTGACAAGGACAGTAAAATGACTTTTCATTAAAGTACTTATAAAAATGATAACAGGAACTGTATAATAGACAACACCAACCACAAACACCAGACTCATTTTAAAGAAATTGGGCTTACAAAAACAAACAACAACAACAACAAACAACACATGGTCTAGATAGCTTGACTTGGTACAGACGCAATGCAAACTCATAATGGGAATAGTTTACATGCGCTGCATTTTTCAACTTTTACAGATTTGAAAACATGGCAAAGCATTCACTTTAAACTTTTCAGCTGTGGTTTCAGCAATATCTTATAGATGTGACTCAGACCTCAACATATAACTGTTTGAACCAACAGAAAATTGCCTAATGGAATCAGCTTTTCTGATGATTGTCTCCCTAGACAACTTCCCTATCTGGAACCCAACTTGAAACAAATGGCAGTAGATTTAAAGTCTTATAACAATTACTTAATTTATTTAGTAACAAGATTTCCATAACAATTGTCTTGTTGAATTGCAAACTTAATGTTCATGCAGTCTAGAAGTGTTCTGAATTGGTTTAACAACTTGCTTGGCAAAAATCTACAAAGCTTAAATTCACAAGCCGACATCACATTATATGTTGGATAACTGTATATTGTTTTGCTTCTTCATATCCCTAACTGTCCGTTTTCTGTGAGGTTTAATCCATAACAAGGACCTCTTTTAAACAAGTTGTCTTCAGCCTCATAAACAAATTTTTTCACTAGGTTCATTTTTTACCTGTAAAAATAATGAACAATACCTTATTATTATTATTCCAACTAACAAATAAATAAAAAATTAAATAAATTCACAACATTTCACAGATATGAAGTAAATGTTGAATTCTACTAACAGTTTGTGTAATTTGAACACAAAAATAAGTAGCTGCGTTAAGAGAGCATGATACATCCTTATTGTGCATCTTGAAATTGTTGCCTGAATAAAATGGGATATTTAAAAGGAATTTAATTAGACGAAATAGATTGTCCCAGTAGAAAACTTGCATGAGGATACCCTAAGGCATATATTACGTCAAATATGACTGTCAAAAGTCCCATAACTCTGGAATTACAAACTAAAACAAAATGCTCTGCAAGGCACAGCTTGATATGACTGCAGAGGTTGAACCCTGAACAGTTGGGGCAAATATGGACACAATATTCAAGCTTTATATGGCTCCGAATTTGGATTGTGATTAAATATTTGACACAGCAAAAAATTGAGCATAGGTCCTGACACAGAATGAATGTGGTCTAAGAACTTAAAAATTTGAAATTAGACATTTACCTATTAAGGTCCAATATCCAAAATCTAAGTACATGGTTAGATTAAGCATATCAAAGAACCCCAAGAATTCAATTTTTGATGAAATCAATCAAGTTTAATTTTGGACCCTTTGGACCCCATTTTGAAACAACTTGAAATCTGGGCAAAAAAATCAAAAATCTAAATACATGTTTAGATTCAACATATCAAAGAACCCCAAGAATTTAATTTTTGTTAAAATAAAACTAAGTTTAATTTTGGACCCTTTGGACCTATTTTGAAACCAGTCCCAAAATCCAAAATCTAAATACACAGTAAGATTCAGCATATTAAAGAACCCTAAGAATTCAAGATTTTGAATTAACCCCAATGAAATTGGTCAAGAAATAAGCAATTTATACAAAGTATTAGAAATTCTTTTTTTTGCCACTTTTTGGTCCCTAATTCCTAAATAGTTAGGGCCATAACCCCCAAAATCAACCCCAACCTTCCTTTTTTTGTTATGGAACCTTGTGGTACATTTTCATAGAGATCCATAAACTTATACTCAAGTTATTGTCTGGAAACCAGAAAATCCTTGTCAATCCTTTCTAAATGGTTTGGGCCATAACCCCCAAAATTAATCCCAACCTTCCTTTTGAGGTATGGAACCTTGTGGTACAATTTTATAGAGATCCATACACTTATTCACAAGTTTTTGTCCTGAATCAAGAAAAATGCTTGTTTTTGGCCCCTTAATTCCTAAATAGTTAGGACAATAACCCCCAAAATCAATCCCAATCTTTCTTTTGTGGTATGGAACATTTTGGTACAATTTCATAGAGATCCAAACACTTATACACAAGTTATTGTCCTGAAACAAGAAAAATGCTTGTTATTGCCCCTTTTTGGCCCCTAATTCCTAAACAGTTTGGACAATAACCCCGAAAAACATCAACCCAACTTTCCTTTTGTGGTATGGAACCTTGTGGTACAATTTCATAGAGATCCATAAAATTCATACTTAAGTTATTATCTGGAAACCAAATGTCTTCGGACAACAACGACATTGCCATATCATTACAGTAGACTCCGGCAAATCGGATATCCAAAATGTCAGCAAAAAATATCCCATTATTCGATATATTCAATTAGACAATAAATGTATATTCATTGAATACTCTGCAATAATGAGTTGACCTAATCCTGAGATGTAACTAGCCCTGACCACTGCTATTCATCACTCCGATGTTTGTGTAAAAATTTTATCAGCTGGTTATGTAATGCTCATATTTTTGTTTTTCAGTTTTTAAATCCTATATTTATTAAAATAAATCAAATGTCCTGAAATATTTATGTGTATAAATATCTACCATCCATAGTATGTGTCTTTATTTGTTTTATATACGAAGTAATATCCATATTTACATTTGTATGTGGTAAAATCACAGATAAGCCAATCGGGCTATAAATAGATTATAGCATGATCTGTCTCTAAACTGAAATCGAGTTTGTTATATATTTTATTTCTTTGAATAATCAAATTTATTGCATCAAGTTAAATTTTTCTGAAGACTGTTCATGTTTTGGTCATGGTTCTAGAGGCTTCCTCACATTCTGTAAACAAAAGAAAATGGCATCCTTGACATGTGGTCAAACCTACACGTTACAAAATTATAACTGACAAAAGTCAGACTTCTCTTGGCACTAGGGATTTATATGTATATTGCAATAAATTATTAAGAAGGAGGTACATTCAGTCTTAATTATATTTCTGATTCTGTGAGCACTTAGAGTTTTATCAAAATTCTCCCAATGTATTTCTCTTGTACCATATATCTTATAAATAAATTCAAACAATTTGAATTTTAAGGGCATCTAATTCGCATTACAAAGGAAGACAATGAATAAAGACAACACTTTATTAAGAAATAGTTCCTTTTATTAATTAAAAACAAAATTTTCTTGTCTGCAAGATTGTAATTGCGTAACTTACGGGTCCATTTCCTGTCAGAAAAACATTGAAAATATCCGATTGTGCATGGTTTTGAACAAAATTTCCTGAATATTCTTATCTTATTTGCCGATATGTTCTTTAATCCAATATTCAATTATACGATAAAATTAACATTAAAGGTATAGGGAAGGGTTTGGTGTTTTGAAATAATATTACAATAGCCGATATATTTGTTTATCCGATATCTGATTAGTTGGAGTCTACTGTATAAGGCAGCAAAATTTTTTGGTCATATAAAAATTTATAAAATTAAAAGAGAGTCTACATTCACCAGTCACAACAGCAGTGTTGGTTTTGTGGTAATTTGATCCAAGCATACTAGTTCTAGTGCATGACATTTAAATTTTTTTTTTATTTATATGATGTTCAAAAGTCCAGTAACTCTGGAATGACATATTAGAATTTTTTTAATTGAATGCATTATTCATCAATTTCAACCATTATTAAAAGATTTCAGTAAATCAATCCACGCAAACTCAATTTATGGTACAACATGTGAACAATTTACATAAATCTGACAATAAAAGTCCTCTTACTATAGAGCGAAAAACCTAAAAATGGAAAAAATCTAAAGGGAGCTTCCTTTTATCAATCCCTACAATGAGAAAATAAATACAGCCATACTGGAGTAAGTGAGTGATATGCGAAAAAATACCTTTAATCTAAAGGTTGATTCTTGTGTTTTTACTAGATGCAAATAATAACTACCTACCAACTTTAAACCATTTTGGTACACCTGGTTTCTGTTCTGTTGTATCTCTGGGTTGTCTAGGTCTATCTCCAGCACTTCTTTTGTTTGGCTGTGAACTTGATCCACTAGTTGTTGGTGTATTTTCATCCCCAGGAGTATCTTCCTTTGGAAAACTGACAACAAGAACAACAATTGAATTTTAATTAAAAGAACATGTAAATTTTTATAAATAAATGTGGATAGTATCCACATGTGGACACAGATGATGCCCCCGCTTGCATATCATATAGTTTTAAAGGGACATAACTGAAGAATGGTAAAAGTGACACTACCCAAATTTGAACTTGATCTGAGTTTTGTGGTAATAAGCATTGTGTGTAAGTATCATAACGTTTAGTTGAGGCAAACTAAAGTCAGAAAACGAAAACAAAAAATTTGTACTTTGTATAGGTTTCATAACGTTTGGTTGGGGCAAACTTAAGTTACAGAATGGAAACTAAAAATTTTGCAATCTTTCGATTTATAAAGGGGCATAACTCAATAATGGTTAAAGTGACACTACCCAAATTCAACTTGATCTGTGTTTTATCAGTGGAAGTCAAAATTAAACATTGCATTGTACAAAGCATTGATTGTAGTTGATTCAACTATAATCATGGACAAAGGAAGATAACTCCAATTTTAAAAATTACTTGATATTTAGAAGAAAATAAAAATTTTGCAATTTTTCCATTTATAAAGGGGCATAACTCTAGAACGGTTAAAGTGACGCCACCAAAATTCAAACTTGATCTGTGTTTAGTGGTAATAAGTATTGTGTATAAGTTTTATAACATTTGGTTGAGGCAAACTTAAGTTAGAGAACGAAAACTAAAAATTTTGCAATTTTTCCATTTATAAAGGGGCATAACTCTAGAACGGTTTAAGTGACGCCACCAAAATTCAAACTTGATCTGTGTTTAGTGGTAATAAGCATTGTGTATAAGTTTTATAACATTTGGTTGAGGCAAACTCAAGTTAGAGAACGGAAACCAAATTTGGGATGTACGGACGGACGTACAGACGGACAAGGGTAAAACTTAATGCCCCCACCGCTACGGCGGGGGCATAAAAAAGTTTTGTTAACAATTTTTTATTCAAATTTTCAAGTGTTTATTTTAGTTTTGGTTATAACTGATAAAAAGAATTGCATTACCAAACTAAACTAGAGAGAATAATTGTTATTGTGGATTAATTATTTGTGGGATATTTTCATGGATTCCGTGGGTATAGGTATAAAAATGCTCTATTCCACATTTTATTATAAAACTATCTGTACATTTCATTTATTAACTAATAGTAATATCTATTCATTTTTTCGATACTACACTAACAGACTTCATTACTGTTAAAATGTCAACTGAATTATTTGTTTTCTTTTTATTTCTAAACTTGACAAGTTAATTTACCATTTACTGACTACTTCATCAGCCTTAATTCTGGATCCTACTTCTTTTAACACAGCTCGGCTGAGATAATGCTCTGAAACTAAATAAATAAACTTTTATGTACAAATGCATTATATTTCAAGACTTTTCAACTTAAAATAAAACTGTTATGTAGGAAAGGGCCTCACCTGCTTTGCAATAGAATTAAAAACAATAATTGATGGTGTGTCATAGTATTCAATGTATATGAGGATGGATTTCAATTACCAAATACTTCTCTAACTTACTTGATAAAAAATAAACTGCTTTGCTGAGCGCAGCTGGATACCCCCGCAGAGGTCCAACCCTGAACAGTTGGGGCAAAAATGGACACAATATTCAAGCTTGATACAGGTCTGAATTTGGATTGTATTAAATATTTGACATATTATAGGTTTCTGAATAAATGTAGTCAAAGAACTTGAAATTGGTTATATGAATTGAATTTATATTCAATTAAAGATTTCTTGCTGTTGTGCAATACACTGTGCTGTTGCGCAATACTTAGTAAATCTGTTGTCAGACTATAAACATTTAAAGTTCAATTAATTCTCAATGTCATATTAGAAATTTATGAAAATGTAAAAAAACAATTCACCAAAGTTTTATGCAAATTGGTTAAAGCGTTTTTGAGTTAATGTCCGACAGACGGACGGACAGACGGACGAACAGACAGACAACGGTATACCATAATACGTCCCGTAAACGGGCGTATAAGAACTAAGGACTGGACAATGTTATTACTACAATTTTTTTGGAGACTAGAGTTATGACTAACAATCATTCTGAAATTGACTCTCATACAACAGTTTTCCCAAATATCAATGTTCTATCATGTTTATCATAAGGATAACAAATCAGGAAACTTGACATATTATGTATTATATACCAAATATGTCTCAACATTTTAAAGTTTGAAAGCATGACTAAGAAATAGGGCCCGTGTACTACTTGCAACTGAATGAAAAGCTTAAACTTCAAAGTAAAAAAATCAAAGTCACTAAAGTATTACCGAGTGAGAGGCCCATAACATTCGGTTTATTTGATTTGATTTGATGGTGTTTTAACGTCACTTTTAAGCACCGCTTTTGGGATATTTCGTGGCGGCAAGTTTTTATTGGTGGAGGAAGCCGGAGTGCCCCGAGAAAACCACGACCTTCGATAGGAAAACTGACAATCCTAGTCAATTAAGATTGGAGTCGAGTGCACCTGCATGAGCGGGGTATGAACTCACCTCAGTGTTGACTGGCTAGTGATTACAGTAGTAACTACTTAGACCACTAGGCCACCGAGGCCCCGAACATTCGGTTTAAGGTCAAGGAATAGTAAATGGGCTATGTCACAGATTTTGCTAAAATTTTGCATACATCTCTGGCTCTTTGAACCATAACTGAAAATCGAAAATATAATGTATTTATATCTTTTATTATCAGAAATATTACTGATTGAATTCTTTCAAAATAGGTGAACATTTGTAAAGAAAGCACATAAAACTGGCATTAATTTTTCTTTAAAATTTACCTTTAATCATCAAATCTCCAATTTCTAATACTAGATTTTTCTTAAAAAACTATATGTTGTTGATACATAAATTTCCGTTTTAAAGATGTAAAATAATGATAGGGTCACCGACTTCGTTTTTTACAGTACACATCATTCAAAGTGGTGTTCTATGTGAAAAAATACCACTAAACATCAAAATAATTGTAACATCATTGCGTTGCAAGCCGTAAAACTTCAATTTTTGACGTTTTTCACTACCCATTAGGTAACAGATTTATTATTAGACAAAGTTGTATGCAAAATTTAAGCAAAATCTGTGACATAGTCCATTTACTGTATCTTGACCTTAAAATGACATGCATGGATGTTTAATCAACATGACACCATTCATCGCAGAATCCAGCTAGTCCATTTTCATTTGAAGCCCTTTAGCTTATCTTGGTGCCTTGCCATTTTTACAGCTAATAATTTTGTGATAATAAAAACAATTTACCTCATATTGTGACAGTACCAAGTAAATAGTAGATGCATTTTTATAAGACATGAATGCCAGAAAAATGTCAACAAAGCATAAAAAGTACAGTCCTTGGAAACTCATTGGTTTTAATTTTTGTACAACAGAGGGCTCACGCCACTTGCCGACTAGGGGTAAGAGGTTGCTTTCCCGTCTGTTCAATTTGCTTTTCCTGACTGCCAAAAGGGATATCTAGTTGCCCAAGTGTTTGAAACAGTCCCTTTTTGTCATTTTTTTAAAAAATTTTGCCAAGTTAATGAAACATCAATTTTTCATTCAGAAGTAAAGAAATTCAAGATTTATACAATTTATTTCTTAAGAAACATTATGAAAGTACTGACTTTGTAAACTGGTCAAATGTTATTTCAAAGGAAAAACTGTTTATGCAAACAAATCAAACCATGTTGAACATGTAGAAGATAGCCCTGGAAAGGTTCGGGCTTTAACGCTTTTACAATGTATCCATGTACTTAAAATCAATATATTTTGTTCATTGTCTGGTGCAAACATTAGTTACCATTGAAGCAGGGAGACATATGGCTTCTTCGTGTGCATTCACCTGTTCCATGAGCATTTGACACATGTTTAACACTTATCTACCAATTAGTAATTGTACAATAAAAATCCTGAATTATTATTAAAATTTATATTTCAATGCAAATAAGTTTCCTACCTTTGTTTTCCTCTACTCCAAAGTAAACAACACAAGCTGGAGCTAACTTGGCCTGAATAATAAAAACAATCAAAAGGTTTTAGTAGTCCTCATTTTACTAACACCCAAGAAATTGTAAAAAAAGATACATTTGATATGGATATAAATAAAAGATTTTGGTTTGTTTGTTGGTGTTGAAGGTCACTTTCAGCTATCGCTGCTATCATTGGAGTCATTTTTCATTGGTGGAGTAAGCCTGAATAGTAATTTAGAAGCTTAAGTAAGTCATTATCGCAATCAATTTGAGAGAGCATAAATTCACGTTTTTCCACAAAACTCTGGTGTAAAATAATTTTTTTTACATTATCTGCTTCCTTGGATTTGAATATAAATATTTGGTTTGTTTAGAATCATTTATTGATTAAGATTTAAGAAGTAAGACAATTACAAGAAATACAAATCTCTATATATTTTCCTCAAAACATATGCTCTATGCTATTTTTATATAGCAGCTAGACTGGAAGTAAAAAAATGTTATTGTACAGTGAAACCTGTCTAAACCAACACTTTTGGGACTGAAGAATTTGATCGTTTTTGACAGGTTTTTTTTTTGGTTTTGTCAGGTTTGACATTTGAATAGAAAAGAAAAACAGTAATGAGAGGAATCATATTTTGATGTATGGATATGGCTATTTCCTGTGTCAAAAGTACAGTAAAACAACAAGATAGAGTTCCATAAAAAATATTTGAAATGCAAAACTTGTATTTCATCTTGGGAAATCAATTTCAAAATATGAAATCTGTGAAAACACTGGACATATGTGACAAAGACAATAATTTTCTGATTAGTATAGATTGTTTTTGACAGATTTTTTCGCAATACACATTCAGAGTAGGGACTTAAAAAGAGTTCTGTATTCGGTGTTGACAAGTGTTCAGTTAAGCAGTTTAAATTACAAGATGCAAATACGACAAGAAATGATTGTAACAGGATGCTGTTACGAAGTCTCCCAAACGAAGCTCCCATAATTCGTAATTCCCAGGGTCGCCTGACATTGAGCAAAGTCCAGTGAAAATTGGTTTGGTCTGGTAAAGTTATATGCATTAATGATGCCTGGGGACTAACCCTGTATATCATTCAAATCATCTTGGCATGACAAACCAGAATATATATGGTTTAGGGGTGGGGATCTTGACCACTTACAAGATATTATAACTTTCTTAAATGGCAGGGGGTGGGGGTGACCCCTGGGGACTAACCCTGTATTTTATTTGATGTGCTTTATCATGACAAACCAGAATATATATGGTTTAGGGGTGGGGATCTCAAGCATTTACAAGATATAAGAACTTTCTCAAATGGCAGGGGGGTCGGGATGACCCCTGGGGACTAGCCCTGTATGTCATTCAAACCATCTTCACATGACAAACCAGAATATATATGGTTTAGGGGTGGGGATCTTGACCACTTACAAGATATTATAACTTTCTTAAATGGCAGGGGGTGGGGGTGACCCCTGGGGACTAACCCTGTATTTTATTTGATGTGCTTTATCATGACAAACCAGAATATATATGGTTTAGGGGTGGGGATCTCAAGCATTTACAAGATATAAGAACTTTCTCAAATGGCAGGGGGTCGGGATGACCCCCGGGTACTAACCCTGTATATCATTCAAACCATCTTTGTATGACAAACCAGAATATATATGGTTTAGGGTAGGGATCTTGACCACTTACAAGATATTAGAACTTTCTTCAAATGGCAGGGGGTGGGGGTGACCCCTGGGGACTAACCCTGTATTTCATTTGATGTGCTTTATCATGACAAACCAGAATATATATGGTTTAGGGGTGGGGATCTCTACCATTTACAAGATATTGGACCTTTCTCAAATGGCAGGGGGTCGGGATGACCCCTGGGGACTAACCCTGTATATCATTCAAACCATCTAAGCATGACAAACCAGAATATATATGGTTTAGGGTTGGGGATCTTGACCACTTACAAGATATTAGAACTTTCTTAAATGGCAGGGGGTGGGGATGACCCCTGGGGACTAACCCTGTATTTCATTTGATGTGCTTTATCATGACAAACCAGAATGTATATGGTTTAGGGGTGGGGATCTCTACCATTTACAAGATATTGGACCTTTCTTAAATGGCAGAGGGTCGGGCTGACCCCTTGGGACTAACCCTGTATATCATTCAAACCATCATAGCATGACAAACCAGAATATATATGGTTTAGGGGTGGGGATCTTGACCACTTACAAGATATAAGAACTTTCTTAATTGGCAGGGGGTGGGGATGACCCCTGGGGACTAACCCTGTATTTTATTTGATGTGCTTTATCATGACAAACCAGAATATATATGGTTTAGGGGTGGGGATCTCTACCATTTACAAGATATTGGACCTTTCTCAAATGGCAGGGGGTCGGGATGACCCTTGGGCACTAACCCTGTATATCATTCAAACCATCTTAGCATGACAAACCAGAATATATATGGTTTAGGGGTGGGGATCTTGACCACTTACAAGATATTAGAACTTTCTTCAAATGGCAGGGGGTGGGGGTGACCCCTGGGGACTAACCCTGTATTTCATTTGATGTGCTTTATCATGACAAACCAGAATATATATGGTTTAGGGGTGGGGATCTCTACCATTTACAAGATATTGGACCTTTCTCAAATGGCAGGGGGTCGGGATGACCCCTGGGGACTAACCCTGTATATCATTCAAACCATCTAAGCATGACAAACCAGAATATATATGGTTTAGGGTTGGGGATCTTGACCACTTACAAGATATTAGAACTTTCTTAAATGGCAGGGGGTGGGGATGACCCCTGGGGACTAACCCTGTATTTCATTTGATGTGCTTTATCATGACAAACCAGAATGTATATGGTTTAGGGGTGGGGATCTCTACCATTTACAAGATATTGGACCTTTCTTAAATGGCAGAGGGTCGGACTGACCCCTTGGGACTAACCCTGTATATCATTCAAACCATCATAGCATGACAAACCAGAATATATATGGTTTAGGGGTGGGGATCTTGACCACTTACAAGATATAAGAACTTTCTTAATTGGCAGGGGGTGGGGATGACCCCTGGGGACTAACCCTGTATTTTATTTGATGTGCTTTATCATGACAAACCAGAATATATATGGTTTAGGGGTGGGGATCTCTACCATTTACAAGATATTGGACCTTTCTCAAATGGCAGGGGGTCGGGATGACCCTTGGGCACTAACCCTGTATATCATTCAAACCATCTTAGCATGACAAACCAGAATATATATGGTTTAGGGGTAGGGATCTTGACCACTTACAAGATATTAGAACTTTCTTAAATGGCAGGGGGTGGGGATGACCCCTGGGGACTAACCCTGTATTTCATTTAATGGGCTTATTCATTTAGAACATTTTAAATTAAAAACATTGTGTCTATCACAAACGGTTTTCAATTTATGATCATTTGAAAATTTAAAAAAAGTAATCCCATAGGGTTTTATAGTAAAACCCTCTTTTCTTTTTGCCCCTCAAAGTACCCCTTTATAAACCCCATTGCACAAACAAAACCCTGATTGCACCACTAGACATGTTAGTCTAACATATTGTAAAACCCTAAGTTAATCTGACAAGCAGTTTTGGAGAACGGGTGCGGACAAGTTCAAATTTAAAAGCGGCGGAAGAAGAAGAAGAAGAAGAATAATAATAACAAGAAATGATTGTAACAGGATGCTGTTACGAAGTCTCCCAAACGAAGCTCCCATAATTCGTAATTCCCAGGGTCGCCTGACATTGGGCAACGTCCAGTGAAAATTTGGTTTGGTCCAGTAAAGTTATATGCATTAGTGATGCCTGGGGACTAGCCTTGTATATCATTCAAATCATCTTGGCATGACAAACCAGAATATATATGGTTTAGGGGTGGGGATCTCGACCATTTACAAGATACTAGAACATTGGGGTTGGGGAGGAACCCCTGGGGACTGGCCCTATACGTCATTCAAATGTTCATTACATGACGAACAGGAATATATATGGTTTAGGGGTGGGGATCTCAACCATTTACAAGATATTAGAACATTGGGGGTGGGGGGAACCCCTAGGGACTGACCGTATACGTCCTTCAAATGTTCGAGACATGACAAATAGGAATATATATGGTTTAGGGGTGGGGATCTCGACCATTTACAAGATATTAGAACTTTCTCAAATGGCAGGGGGTCGGGATGACCCCTGGGGACTAAGCCTGTATATCATTCAAACCATCTTAGCATGACAAACCAGAATATATATGGTTTAGGGGTGGGGATCTTGACCACTTACAAGATATTAAAACTTTCTTAAATGGCAGGGGGTGGGGGTGACCCCTGTGGACTAACCCTGTTTTTCATTTGATGTGCTTTATCATGACAAACCAGAATATATATGGTTTAGGGGTGGGGATCTCGACCATTTACAAGATATGAGAAACTTTCTCAAATGGCAGGGGGTCGGGATGACCCCTGGGGACTAACCCTGTATATCATTCAAACCATCTTACCATGACAAACCAGAATATATATGGTTAAGGGGTGGGGATCTTGACCACTTACAAGATATTAGAACTTTCTTAAATGGCAGGGGGTGGGGGTGACCCCTGGGGACTAACCCTGTATAATATTTGATGTGCTTTACCATGACAAACCAGAATATATATGGTTTAGGGGTGGGGATCTCAACCATTTACAAGATATTAGAAACTTTCTCAAATGGCAGGGGGTCGGATGACCCCTGGGGACTAACCCTGTATATCATTCAAACCATCTTACCATGACAAACCAGAATAAATATGGTTTAGGGGTGGGGATCTTGACCTCTTACAAGATATTAGAACTTTCTTAAATGGCAGGGGGTGGGGGTGACCCCTGGGGACTAACCCTGTATAACATGATGTGCTTTATCATGACAAACCAGAATATATATGGTTTAGGGGTGGGGATCTCAACCATTTACAAGATATTAGAACTTTCAGAAATGGCAGGGGGTTGGGATGACCCCTGGGGACTAAGCCTGTATATCATTCAAACCATCTTACCATGACAAACCAGAATATATATGGTTTAGGGGTGGGGATCTTGACCACTTAGAAGATATTAGAACTTTCTTAAATGGCAGGGGGTGGGGGTGACCCCTGGGGACTAACCCTGTATAACATTTGATGTGCTTTATCATGACAAACCAGAATATATATGGTTTAGGGGTGGGGATCTCGACCATTTACAAGATATTAGAACTTTCTCAAATGGCAGGGGGTCGGGATGACCCCTGGGGACTAACCCTGTATATCATTCAAACCATCTTAGCATGACAAACCAGAATATATATGGTTTAGGGGTGGGGATCTTGACCACTTAGAAGATATTAGAACTTTCTTAAATGGCAGGGGGTGGGGGTGACCCCTGGGGACTAACCCTGTATTTCATTTAATGGGCTTTATCATTTAGAACATTTTCAATTAAAAAGATTGTGTCTATCACAAACGGTTTTCAATTTATAATCATTTGAAAATTTAAAAAAATAAAATCCCGTAGGGTTCTATAGTTAAACCCTCTTTTCTTTTTGCCCCTCAAAGTACCCCTTTATAAACCCCATTGCACAAACAAAACCCTGATTGCACCACTAGACATGTTAGTCTAACATATTGTGAAACCCTAAGTTAATCTGACAAGCGGTTTTGGAGAACAGGTGCGGACAAGTTCAAATTTAAAAGCGGCGGAAGAAGAAGAAGAAGAAGAAGAAGAAGAAGAAGAAGAAGAAGAAGAATAATAACAAGAAATGATTGTAACAGGATGCTGTTACGAAGTCTCCCAAACGAAGCTCCCATAATTCGTAATTCCCAGGGTCGCCTGACATTGGGCAACGTCCAGTGAAAATTGGTTTGGTCCAGTAAAGTTATATGCATTAGTGATGCCTGGGGACTAACCTTGTTTATCATTCAAATCATCTTGGCATGACAAACCAGAATATATATGGTTTAGGGGTGGGGATCTCTACCATTTACAAGATACAAGAACATTGGGGGTGGGGAGGAACCCCTGGGGACTGGCCCTATACGTCATTCAAATGTTCATTACATGACGAACAGGAATATATATGGTTTAGGGGTGGGGATCTCAACTATTTACAAGATATTAGAACTTTCTCAAATGGCAGGGGGTCGGGATGACCCCTGGGGACTAACCCTGTATATCATTCAAACCATCTTAGCATGACAAACCAGAATATATATGATTTAGGGGTGGGGATCTTGACCACTTAGAAGATATTTGAACTTTCGTAAATGGCAGGGAGTGGGGGTGACCCCTGGGGACTAACCCTGTATAACATTTGATGTGCTTTATTATGACGAACCAGACTATATATGGTTTAGGGGTGGGGATCTCGACCATTTACAAGATATTAGAACTTTCTCAAATGGCAAGGGGTCTGGATGACCCCTGGGGACTAACCCTGTATATCATTCAAACCATCTTCGCATGACAAACCAGAATATATATGGTTTAGGGGTGGGGATCTTGACCACTTACAAGATATTAGAACTTTCTTAAATGGCAGGGGGTGGGGTGACCCCTGGGGACTAACCCTGTGTAACATTTGATGTGCTTTATCATGACAAACCAGAATATATATGGTTTAGGGGTGGGGATGTCGACCATTTACAAGATATTAGAACTTTCTCAGATGGCAGGGGGTCGGGATGACCCCTGGGGACTAACCCTGTATATCATTCAAACCATCCTAGCATGACAAACCAGAATATATATGGTTTAGGGGTGGGGATCTTGACCACTTACAAGATATTAGAACTTTCTTAAATGGCAGGGGGTGGGGGTGACCCCTGGGGACTAACCCTGTATTACATTTGATGTGCTTTATCATGACAAACCAGAATATATATGGTTTAGGGGTGGGGATCTCGACCATTTACAAGATATTAGAACTTTCTCAAATGGCAGGGGGTCGGGATGACCCCTGGGGACTAACCCTGTATATCATTCAAACCATCTTAGCATGACAAACCAGAATATATATGGTTTAGGGGTGGGGATCTTGACCACTTACAAGATATTAGAACTTTCTTAAATGGCAGGGGGTGGGGGTGACCCCTGGGGATTAACCCTGTATAACATTTGATGTGCTTTATCATGACAAACCAGAATATATATGGTTTAGGGGTGGGGATCTCGACCATTTACAAGATATTAGAACTTTCTCAGATGGCAGGGGGTCGGGATGACCCCTTGGGACTAACCCTGTATTACATTTGATGTGCTTTATCATGACAAACCAGAATATATATGGTTTAGGGGTGGGGATCTTGACCACTAAGAAGATATTAGAACTTTCTTAAATGGCAGGGGGTGGGGGTGACCCCTGGGGACTAACCCTGTATAACATTTGATGTGCTTTATCATGACAAACCAGAATATATATGGTTTAGGGGTGGGGATCTCGACCATTTACAAGATATTAGAACTTTCTCAAATGGCAGGGGGTAGGGATGACCCCTGGGGACTAACTCTGTATATCATTCAAACCATCTTAGCATGACAAACCAGAATATATATGGTTTAGGGGTGGGGATCTTGACCACTTAGATATTAGAACTTTCTTAAATGGCAGGGGATGGGGGTGACCCCTGGGGACTAACCCTGTATTTCATTTAATGGGCTTTATCATTTAGAACATTTTCAATTAAAAAGATTGTGTCTATCACAAACGGTTTTCAATTTATAATCATTTGAAAATTTTAAAAAATAAAATCCCATAGGGTTCTATAGTAAAACCCTCTTTTCTTTTTGCCCCTCAAAGTACCCCTTTATAAACCCCATTGCACAAACAAAACCCTGATTGCACCACTAGACATGTTAGTCTAACATATTGTGAAACCCTAAGTTAATCTGACAAGCGGTTTTGGAGAACAGGTGCGGACAAGTTCAAATTTAAAAGCGGCCGAAGAAGAAGAAGAAGAAGAAGAAGAAGAAGAAGAAGAAGAAGAAGAAGAAGAAGAAGAAGAAGAAGAAGAATAATAATAATAACAAGAAATGATTGTTACAGGATGCTGTTACGAAGTCTCCCAAACGAAGCTCCCATAATTCGTAATTCACAGGGTCGCCTGACATTGGGCAAGGTCCAGTGAAAATTGGTTTGGTCCAGTAAAGTTATATGCATTAGTGATGCCTGGGGACTAACCTTGTATATCATTCAAATCATCTTGGCATGACAAACCAGAATATATATGGTTTAGGGGTGGGGATCTCGACCATTTACAAGATACTAGAACATTGGGGGTGGGGAGGAACCCCTAGGGACTGACCGTATACGTCATTCAAATGTTCGAGACATGACAAATAGGAATATATATGGTTTAGGGGTGGGGATCTCGACCATTTACAAGATATTAGAACTTTCTTAAATGGCAGGGGGTGGGGATGACCCCTAGGGACTAACCCTGTATTTCATTTGATGTGCTTTATCATGACCAACCAGAATAAATATGGTTTAGGGGTGGGGATCTCGACCATTTACAAGATATTTGAACTTTCTCAAATGGCAGGGGGTCGGGATGACCCCTGGGGACTAACCCTGTATATCATTCAAACCATCTTAGGATAACAAACCAAAATATATATGGTTTAGGGGTGGGGATCTTGACCACTTACAAGGTATTAGAACTTTCTTAAATGGCAGGGGGTCGGGATGACCCCTGGGGACTAACCCTGTATATCATTCAAACCATCTTAGCATGACAAACCAGAATATATATGGTTTAGGGGTGGGGATCTTGACCACTTACAAGATATTAGAACTTTCTTAAATGGCAGGGGGAGGGGGTGACCCCTGGGGACTACCCTGTATTTCATTTGATGTGCTTTATCATGACAAACCAGAATATATATGGTTTAGGGGTGGGGATCTCGACCATTTACAAGATATTAGAACTTTCTCAAATGGCAGGGGGTCGGGATGACCCCTGGGGACTAACCCTGTATTACATTTGATGTGCTTTATCATGACAAACCAGAATATATATGGTTTAGGGGTGGGGATCTTGACCACTAAGAAGATATTAGAACTTTCTTAAATGGCAGGGGGTGGGGGTGACCCCTGGGGACTAACCCTGTATAACATTTGATGTGCTTTATCATGACAAACCAGAATATATATGGTTTAGGGGTGGGGATCTCGACCATTTACAAGATATTAGAACTTTCTCAAATGGCAGGGGGTAGGGATGACCCCTGGGGACTAACTCTGTATATCATTCAAACCATCTTAGCATGACAAACCAGAATATATATGGTTTAGGGGTGGGGATCTTGACCACTTAGATATTAGAACTTTCTTAAATGGCAGGGGATGGGGGTGACCCCTGGGGACTAACCCTGTATATCATTCAAACCATCTTAGCATGACAAACCAGAATATATATGGTTTAGGGGTGGGGATCTTGACCACTTAGAAGATATTAGAACTTTCTTAAATGGCAGGGGGTGGGGGTGACCCCTGGGGACTAACCCTGTATTTCATTTAATGGGCTTTATCATTTAGAACATTTTCAATTAAAAAGATTGTGTCTATCACAAACGGTTTTCAATTTATAATCATTTGAAAATTTAAAAAAATAAAATCCCGTAGGGTTCTATAGTTAAACCCTCTTTTCTTTTTGCCCCTCAAAGTACCCCTTTATAAACCCCATTGCACAAACAAAACCCTGATTGCACCACTAGACATGTTAGTCTAACATATTGTGAAACCCTAAGTTAATCTGACAAGCGGTTTTGGAGAACAGGTGCGGACAAGTTCAAATTTAAAAGCGGCGGAAGAAGAAGAAGAAGAAGAAGAAGAAGAAGAAGAAGAAGAAGAAGAATAATAACAAGAAATGATTGTAACAGGATGCTGTTACGAAGTCTCCCAAACGAAGCTCCCATAATTCGTAATTCCCAGGGTCGCCTGACATTGGGCAACGTCCAGTGAAAATTGGTTTGGTCCAGTAAAGTTATATGCATTAGTGATGCCTGGGGACTAACCTTGTTTATCATTCAAATCATCTTGGCATGACAAACCAGAATATATATGGTTTAGGGGTGGGGATCTCTACCATTTACAAGATACAAGAACATTGGGGGTGGGGAGGAACCCCTGGGGACTGGCCCTATACGTCATTCAAATGTTCATTACATGACGAACAGGAATATATATGGTTTAGGGGTGGGGATCTCAACTATTTACAAGATATTAGAACTTTCTCAAATGGCAGGGGGTCGGGATGACCCCTGGGGACTAACCCTGTATATCATTCAAACCATCTTAGCATGACAAACCAGAATATATATGATTTAGGGGTGGGGATCTTGACCACTTAGAAGATATTTGAACTTTCGTAAATGGCAGGGAGTGGGGGTGACCCCTGGGGACTAACCCTGTATAACATTTGATGTGCTTTATTATGACGAACCAGACTATATATGGTTTAGGGGTGGGGATCTCGACCATTTACAAGATATTAGAACTTTCTCAAATGGCAAGGGGTCTGGATGACCCCTGGGGACTAACCCTGTATATCATTCAAACCATCTTCGCATGACAAACCAGAATATATATGGTTTAGGGGTGGGGATCTTGACCACTTACAAGATATTAGAACTTTCTTAAATGGCAGGGGGTGGGGTGACCCCTGGGGACTAACCCTGTGTAACATTTGATGTGCTTTATCATGACAAACCAGAATATATATGGTTTAGGGGTGGGGATGTCGACCATTTACAAGATATTAGAACTTTCTCAGATGGCAGGGGGTCGGGATGACCCCTGGGGACTAACCCTGTATATCATTCAAACCATCCTAGCATGACAAACCAGAATATATATGGTTTAGGGGTGGGGATCTTGACCACTTACAAGATATTAGAACTTTCTTAAATGGCAGGGGGTGGGGGTGACCCCTGGGGACTAACCCTGTATTACATTTGATGTGCTTTATCATGACAAACCAGAATATATATGGTTTAGGGGTGGGGATCTCGACCATTTACAAGATATTAGAACTTTCTCAAATGGCAGGGGGTCGGGATGACCCCTGGGGACTAACCCTGTATATCATTCAAACCATCTTAGCATGACAAACCAGAATATATATGGTTTAGGGGTGGGGATCTTGACCACTTACAAGATATTAGAACTTTCTTAAATGGCAGGGGGTGGGGGTGACCCCTGGGGATTAACCCTGTATAACATTTGATGTGCTTTATCATGACAAACCAGAATATATATGGTTTAGGGGTGGGGATCTCGACCATTTACAAGATATTAGAACTTTCTCAGATGGCAGGGGGTCGGGATGACCCCTGGGGACTAACCCTGTATTACATTTGATGTGCTTTATCATGACAAACCAGAATATATATGGTTTAGGGGTGGGGATCTTGACCACTAAGAAGATATTAGAACTTTCTTAAATGGCAGGGGGTGGGGGTGACCCCTGGGGACTAACCCTGTATAACATTTGATGTGCTTTATCATGACAAACCAGAATATATATGGTTTAGGGGTGGGGATCTCGACCATTTACAAGATATTAGAACTTTCTCAAATGGCAGGGGGTAGGGATGACCCCTGGGGACTAACTCTGTATATCATTCAAACCATCTTAGCATGACAAACCAGAATATATATGGTTTAGGGGTGGGGATCTTGACCACTTAGATATTAGAACTTTCTTAAATGGCAGGGGATGGGGGTGACCCCTGGGGACTAACCCTGTATTTCATTTAATGGGCTTTATCATTTAGAACATTTTCAATTAAAAAGATTGTGTCTATCACAAACGGTTTTCAATTTATAATCATTTGAAAATTTTAAAAAATAAAATCCCATAGGGTTCTATAGTAAAACCCTCTTTTCTTTTTGCCCCTCAAAGTACCCCTTTATAAACCCCATTGCACAAACAAAACCCTGATTGCACCACTAGACATGTTAGTCTAACATATTGTGAAACCCTAAGTTAATCTGACAAGCGGTTTTGGAGAACAGGTGCGGACAAGTTCAAATTTAAAAGCGGCCGAAGAAGAAGAAGAAGAAGAAGAAGAAGAAGAAGAAGAAGAAGAAGAAGAATAATAATAATAACAAGAAATGATTGTTACAGGATGCTGTTACGAAGTCTCCCAAACGAAGCTCCCATAATTCGTAATTCACAGGGTCGCCTGACATTGGGCAAGGTCCAGTGAAAATTGGTTTGGTCCAGTAAAGTTATATGCATTAGTGATGCCTGGGGACTAACCTTGTATATCATTCAAATCATCTTGGCATGACAAACCAGAATATATATGGTTTAGGGGTGGGGATCTCGACCATTTACAAGATACTAGAACATTGGGGGTGGGGAGGAACCCCTAGGGACTGACCGTATACGTCATTCAAATGTTCGAGACATGACAAATAGGAATATATATGGTTTAGGGGTGGGGATCTCGACCATTTACAAGATATTAGAACTTTCTTAAATGGCAGGGGGTGGGGATGACCCCTAGGGACTAACCCTGTATTTCATTTGATGTGCTTTATCATGACCAACCAGAATAAATATGGTTTAGGGGTGGGGATCTCGACCATTTACAAGATATTTGAACTTTCTCAAATGGCAGGGGGTCGGGATGACCCCTGGGGACTAACCCTGTATATCATTCAAACCATCTTAGGATAACAAACCAAAATATATATGGTTTAGGGGTGGGGATCTTGACCACTTACAAGGTATTAGAACTTTCTTAAATGGCAGGGGGTCGGGATGACCCCTGGGGACTAACCCTGTATATCATTCAAACCATCTTAGCATGACAAACCAGAATATATATGGTTTAGGGGTGGGGATCTTGACCACTTACAAGATATTAGAACTTTCTTAAATGGCAGGGGGAGGGGGTGACCCCTGGGGACTACCCTGTATTTCATTTGATGTGCTTTATCATGACAAACCAGAATATATATGGTTTAGGGGTGGGGATCTCGACCATTTACAAGATATTAGAACTTTCTCAAATGGCAGGGGGTCGGGATGACCCCTGGGGACTAACCCTGTATTACATTTGATGTGCTTTATCATGACAAACCAGAATATATATGGTTTAGGGGTGGGGATCTTGACCACTAAGAAGATATTAGAACTTTCTTAAATGGCAGGGGGTGGGGGTGACCCCTGGGGACTAACCCTGTATAACATTTGATGTGCTTTATCATGACAAACCAGAATATATATGGTTTAGGGGTGGGGATCTCGACCATTTACAAGATATTAGAACTTTCTCAAATGGCAGGGGGTAGGGATGACCCCTGGGGACTAACTCTGTATATCATTCAAACCATCTTAGCATGACAAACCAGAATATATATGGTTTAGGGGTGGGGATCTTGACCACTTAGATATTAGAACTTTCTTAAATGGCAGGGGATGGGGGTGACCCCTGGGGACTAACCCTGTATTTCATTTAATGGGCTTTATCATTTAGAACATTTTCAATTAAAAAGATTGTGTCTATCACAAACGGTTTTCAATTTATAATCATTTGAAAATTTTAAAAAATAAAATCCCATAGGGTTCTATAGTAAAACCCTCTTTTCTTTTTGCCCCTCAAAGTACCCCTTTATAAACCCCATTGCACAAACAAAACCCTGATTGCACCACTAGACATGTTAGTCTAACATATTGTGAAACCCTAAGTTAATCTGACAAGCGGTTTTGGAGAACAGGTGCGGACAAGTTCAAATTTAAAAGCGGCCGAAGAAGAAGAAGAAGAAGAAGAATAATAATAATAACAAGAAATGATTGTTACAGGATGCTGTTACGAAGTCTCCCAAACGAAGCTCCCATAATTCGTAATTCACAGGGTCGCCTGACATTGGGCAAGGTCCAGTGAAAATTGGTTTGGTCCAGTAAAGTTATATGCATTAGTGATGCCTGGGGACTAACCTTGTATATCATTCAAATCATCTTGGCATGACAAACCAGAATATATATGGTTTAGGGGTGGGGATCTCGACCATTTACAAGATACTAGAACATTGGGGGTGGGGAGGAACCCCTAGGGACTGACCGTATACGTCATTCAAATGTTCGAGACATGACAAATAGGAATATATATGGTTTAGGGGTGGGGATCTCGACCATTTACAAGATATTAGAACTTTCTTAAATGGCAGGGGGTGGGGATGACCCCTAGGGACTAACCCTGTATTTCATTTGATGTGCTTTATCATGACCAACCAGAATAAATATGGTTTAGGGGTGGGGATCTCGACCATTTACAAGATATTTGAACTTTCTCAAATGGCAGGGGGTCGGGATGACCCCTGGGGACTAACCCTGTATATCATTCAAACCATCTTAGGATAACAAACCAAAATATATATGGTTTAGGGGTGGGGATCTTGACCACTTACAAGGTATTAGAACTTTCTTAAATGGCAGGGGGTCGGGATGACCCCTGGGGACTAACCCTGTATATCATTCAAACCATCTTAGCATGACAAACCAGAATATATATGGTTTAGGGGTGGGGATCTTGACCACTTACAAGATATTAGAACTTTCTTAAATGGCAGGGGGAGGGGGTGACCCCTGGGGACTACCCTGTATTTCATTTGATGTGCTTTATCATGACAAACCAGAATATATATGGTTTAGGGGTGGGGATCTCGACCATTTACAAGATATTAGAACTTTCTCAAATGGCAGGGGGTCGGGATGACCCCTGGGGACTAACCCTGTATTACATTTGATGTGCTTTATCATGACAAACCAGAATATATATGGTTTAGGGGTGGGGATCTTGACCACTAAGAAGATATTAGAACTTTCTTAAATGGCAGGGGGTGGGGGTGACCCCTGGGGACTAACCCTGTATAACATTTGATGTGCTTTATCATGACAAACCAGAATATATATGGTTTAGGGGTGGGGATCTCGACCATTTACAAGATATTAGAACTTTCTCAAATGGCAGGGGGTAGGGATGACCCCTGGGGACTAACTCTGTATATCATTCAAACCATCTTAGCATGACAAACCAGAATATATATGGTTTAGGGGTGGGGATCTTGACCACTTAGATATTAGAACTTTCTTAAATGGCAGGGGATGGGGGTGACCCCTGGGGACTAACCCTGTATTTCATTTAATGGGCTTTATCATTTAGAACATTTTCAATTAAAAAGATTGTGTCTATCACAAACGGTTTTCAATTTATAATCATTTGAAAATTTTAAAAAATAAAATCCCATAGGGTTCTATAGTAAAACCCTCTTTTCTTTTTGCCCCTCAAAGTACCCCTTTATAAACCCCATTGCACAAACAAAACCCTGATTGCACCACTAGACATGTTAGTCTAACATATTGTGAAACCCTAAGTTAATCTGACAAGCGGTTTTGGAGAACAGGTGCGGACAAGTTCAAATTTAAAAGCGGCCGAAGAAGAAGAAGAAGAAGAAGAAGAATAATAATAATAACAAGAAATGATTGTTACAGGATGCTGTTACGAAGTCTCCCAAACGAAGCTCCCATAATTCGTAATTCACAGGGTCGCCTGACATTGGGCAAGGTCCAGTGAAAATTGGTTTGGTCCAGTAAAGTTATATGCATTAGTGATGCCTGGGGACTAACCTTGTATATCATTCAAATCATCTTGGCATGACAAACCAGAATATATATGGTTTAGGGGTGGGGATCTCGACCATTTACAAGATACTAGAACATTGGGGGTGGGGAGGAACCCCTAGGGACTGACCGTATACGTCATTCAAATGTTCGAGACATGACAAATAGGAATATATATGGTTTAGGGGTGGGGATCTCGACCATTTACAAGATATTAGAACTTTCTTAAATGGCAGGGGGTGGGGATGACCCCTAGGGACTAACCCTGTATTTCATTTGATGTGCTTTATCATGACCAACCAGAATAAATATGGTTTAGGGGTGGGGATCTCGACCATTTACAAGATATTTGAACTTTCTCAAATGGCAGGGGGTCGGGATGACCCCTGGGGACTAACCCTGTATATCATTCAAACCATCTTAGGATAACAAACCAAAATATATATGGTTTAGGGGTGGGGATCTTGACCACTTACAAGGTATTAGAACTTTCTTAAATGGCAGGGGGTCGGGATGACCCCTGGGGACTAACCCTGTATATCATTCAAACCATCTTAGCATGACAAACCAGAATATATATGGTTTAGGGGTGGGGATCTTGACCACTTACAAGATATTAGAACTTTCTTAAATGGCAGGGGGAGGGGGTGACCCCTGGGGACTACCCTGTATTTCATTTGATGTGCTTTATCATGACAAACCAGAATATATATGGTTTAGGGGTGGGGATCTCGACCATTTACAAGATATTAGAACTTTCTCAAATGGCAGGGGGTCGGGATGACCCCTGGGGAATAACCCTGTATATCATTCAAACCATCTTAGCATGACAAACCAGAATATATATGGTTAAGGGGTGGGGATCTTGACCACTTAGAAGATATTTGAACTTTCTTAAATGGCAGGGGGTGGGGTGACCCCTGGGGACTGACCCTGTATTTCATTTGATGTGCTTTATCATGACAAACCAGAATATATATGGTTTAGGGGTGGGGATCTCGACCATTTACAAGATATTAGAACTTTCTCAAATGGCAGGGGGTCGGGATGACCCCTGGGGACTAACCCTGTATATCATTCAAACCATCTTAGCATGACAAACCAGAATATATATGGTTTAGGGGTGGGGATCTTGACCACTTAGAAGATATTAGAACTTTCTTAAATGGCAGGGGGTGGGCATGACCCCTGGGGACTAACCCTGTATTTCATTTGATGTGCTTTATCATGACAAACCAGAATATATATGGTTTAGGGGTGGGGATCTCGACCATTTACAAGATATTTGAACTTTCTCAAATGGCAGGGGGTCGGGATGACCCCTGGGGACTAACCCTGTATATCATTCAAACCATCTTAGGATAACAAACCAAAATATATATGGTTTAGGGGTGGGGATCTTGACCACTTACAAGGTATTAGAACTTTCTTAAATGGCAGGGGGTCGGGATGACCCCTGGGGACTAACCCTGTATATCATTCAAACCATCTTAGCATGACAAACCAGAATATATATGGTTTAGGGGTGGGGATCTTGACCACTTACAAGATATTAGAACTTTCTTAAATGGCAGGGGGTGGGGGTGACCCCTGGGGACTACCCTATATTTCATTTGATGTGCTTTATCATGACAAACCAGAATATATATGGTTTAGGGGTGGGGATCTCGACCATTTACAGGATATTAGAACTTTCTCAAATGGCAGGGGGTCGGGATGACCCCTGGGGACTAACCCTATATATCATTCAAACCATCTTAGCATGACAAACCAGAATATATATGGTTTAGGGGTGGGGATCTTGACCACTTAGAAGATATTTGAACTTTCTTAAATGGCAGGGGGTGGGGTGACCCCTGGGGACTGACCCTGTATTTCATTTGATGTGCTTTATCATGACAAACCAGAATATATGGTTTAGGGGTAGGGATCTCGACCATTTACAAGATATTAGAACTTTCTCAAATGGCAGGGGGTCGGGATGACCCCTGGGGACTAACCCTGTATATCATTCAAACCATCTTAGCATGACAAACCCGAATATATATGGTTTAGGGGTGGGGATCTTGACCACTTAGAAGATATTAGAACTTTCTTAAATGGCAGGGGGTGGGGATGACCCCTGGGGACTAACCCTGTATTTCATTTGATGTGCTTTATCATGACAAACCAGAATATATATGGTTTAGGGGTGGGGATCTCGACCATTTACAAGATATTTGAACTTTCTCAAATGGCAGGGGGTCGGGATGACCCCTGGGGACTAACCCTGTATATCATTCAAACCATCTTAGGATAACAAACCAAAATATATATGGTTTAGGGGTGGGGATCTTGACCACTTACAAGGTATTAGAACTTTCTTAAATGGCAGGGGGTGGGGGTGGCCCCTGGGGACTAACCCTGTATTTCATTTAATGGGCTTTATCATTTAGAACATTTTCAATTAAAAAGATTGTGTCTATCACAAACGGTTTTCAATTTATAATCATTTGAAAATTTTTAAAAATAAAATCCCATAGGGTTCTATAGTAAAACCCTCTTTTCTTTTTGCCCCTCAAAGTACCCCTTTATAAACCCCAATGCACAAACAAAACCCTGATTGCACCACTAGACATGTTAGTCTAACATATTGTGAAACCCTAAGTTAATCTGACAAGCGGTTTTTGAGAACGGGTGCGGACAAGTTCAAATTTAAAAGCGGCGGAAGAAGAAGAAGAAGAAGAAGAAGAAGAAGAAGAAGAATAATAACAAGAAATGATTGTAACAGGATGCTGTTACGAAGTCTCCCAAACGAAGCTCCCATAATTCGTAATTCCCAGGGTCGCCTGACATTGGGCAACGTCCAGTGAAAATTGGTTTGGTCCAGTAAAGTTATATGCATTAGTGATGCCTGGGGACTAACCTTGTTTATCATTCAAATCATCTTGGCATGACAAACCAGAATATATATGGTTTAGGGGTGGGGATCTCTACCATTTACAAGATACAAGAACATTGGGGGTGGGGAGGAACCCCTGGGGACTGGCCCTATACGTCATTCAAATGTTCATTACATGACGAACAGGAATATATATGGTTTAGGGGTGGGGATCTCAACTATTTACAAGATATTAGAACTTTCTCAAATGGCAGGGGGTCGGGATGACCCCTGGGGACTAACCCTGTATATCATTCAAACCATCTTAGCATGACAAACCAGAATATATATGATTTAGGGGTGGGGATCTTGACCACTTAGAAGATATTTGAACTTTCGTAAATGGCAGGGAGTGGGGGTGACCCCTGGGGACTAACCCTGTATAACATTTGATGTGCTTTATTATGACGAACCAGACTATATATGGTTTAGGGGTGGGGATCTCGACCATTTACAAGATATTAGAACTTTCTCAAATGGCAAGGGGTCTGGATGACCCCTGGGGACTAACCCTGTATATCATTCAAACCATCTTCGCATGACAAACCAGAATATATATGGTTTAGGGGTGGGGATCTTGACCACTTACAAGATATTAGAACTTTCTTAAATGGCAGGGGGTGGGGTGACCCCTGGGGACTAACCCTGTGTAACATTTGATGTGCTTTATCATGACAAACCAGAATATATATGGTTTAGGGGTGGGGATGTCGACCATTTACAAGATATTAGAACTTTCTCAGATGGCAGGGGGTCGGGATGACCCCTGGGGACTAACCCTGTATATCATTCAAACCATCCTAGCATGACAAACCAGAATATATATGGTTTAGGGGTGGGGATCTTGACCACTTACAAGATATTAGAACTTTCTTAAATGGCAGGGGGTGGGGGTGACCCCTGGGGACTAACCCTGTATTACATTTGATGTGCTTTATCATGACAAACCAGAATATATATGGTTTAGGGGTGGGGATCTCGACCATTTACAAGATATTAGAACTTTCTCAAATGGCAGGGGGTCGGGATGACCCCTGGGGACTAACCCTGTATATCATTCAAACCATCTTAGCATGACAAACCAGAATATATATGGTTTAGGGGTGGGGATCTTGACCACTTACAAGATATTAGAACTTTCTTAAATGGCAGGGGGTGGGGGTGACCCCTGGGGATTAACCCTGTATAACATTTGATGTGCTTTATCATGACAAACCAGAATATATATGGTTTAGGGGTGGGGATCTCGACCATTTACAAGATATTAGAACTTTCTCAGATGGCAGGGGGTCGGGATGACCCCTGGGGACTAACCCTGTATTACATTTGATGTGCTTTATCATGACAAACCAGAATATATATGGTTTAGGGGTGGGGATCTTGACCACTAAGAAGATATTAGAACTTTCTTAAATGGCAGGGGGTGGGGGTGACCCCTGGGGACTAACCCTGTATAACATTTGATGTGCTTTATCATGACAAACCAGAATATATATGGTTTAGGGGTGGGGATCTCGACCATTTACAAGATATTAGAACTTTCTCAAATGGCAGGGGGTAGGGATGACCCCTGGGGACTAACTCTGTATATCATTCAAACCATCTTAGCATGACAAACCAGAATATATATGGTTTAGGGGTGGGGATCTTGACCACTTAGATATTAGAACTTTCTTAAATGGCAGGGGATGGGGGTGACCCCTGGGGACTAACCCTGTATTTCATTTAATGGGCTTTATCATTTAGAACATTTTCAATTAAAAAGATTGTGTCTATCACAAACGGTTTTCAATTTATAATCATTTGAAAATTTTAAAAAATAAAATCCCATAGGGTTCTATAGTAAAACCCTCTTTTCTTTTTGCCCCTCAAAGTACCCCTTTATAAACCCCATTGCACAAACAAAACCCTGATTGCACCACTAGACATGTTAGTCTAACATATTGTGAAACCCTAAGTTAATCTGACAAGCGGTTTTGGAGAACAGGTGCGGACAAGTTCAAATTTAAAAGCGGCCGAAGAAGAAGAAGAAGAAGAAGAAGAAGAAGAAGAAGAAGAAGAAGAAGAAGAATAATAATAATAACAAGAAATGATTGTTACAGGATGCTGTTACGAAGTCTCCCAAACGAAGCTCCCATAATTCGTAATTCACAGGGTCGCCTGACATTGGGCAAGGTCCAGTGAAAATTGGTTTGGTCCAGTAAAGTTATATGCATTAGTGATGCCTGGGGACTAACCTTGTATATCATTCAAATCATCTTGGCATGACAAACCAGAATATATATGGTTTAGGGGTGGGGATCTCGACCATTTACAAGATACTAGAACATTGGGGGTGGGGAGGAACCCCTAGGGACTGACCGTATACGTCATTCAAATGTTCGAGACATGACAAATAGGAATATATATGGTTTAGGGGTGGGGATCTCGACCATTTACAAGATATTAGAACTTTCTTAAATGGCAGGGGGTGGGGATGACCCCTAGGGACTAACCCTGTATTTCATTTGATGTGCTTTATCATGACCAACCAGAATAAATATGGTTTAGGGGTGGGGATCTCGACCATTTACAAGATATTTGAACTTTCTCAAATGGCAGGGGGTCGGGATGACCCCTGGGGACTAACCCTGTATATCATTCAAACCATCTTAGGATAACAAACCAAAATATATATGGTTTAGGGGTGGGGATCTTGACCACTTACAAGGTATTAGAACTTTCTTAAATGGCAGGGGGTCGGGATGACCCCTGGGGACTAACCCTGTATATCATTCAAACCATCTTAGCATGACAAACCAGAATATATATGGTTTAGGGGTGGGGATCTTGACCACTTACAAGATATTAGAACTTTCTTAAATGGCAGGGGGAGGGGGTGACCCCTGGGGACTACCCTGTATTTCATTTGATGTGCTTTATCATGACAAACCAGAATATATATGGTTTAGGGGTGGGGATCTCGACCATTTACAAGATATTAGAACTTTCTCAAATGGCAGGGGGTCGGGATGACCCCTGGGGACTAACCCTGTATTACATTTGATGTGCTTTATCATGACAAACCAGAATATATATGGTTTAGGGGTGGGGATCTTGACCACTAAGAAGATATTAGAACTTTCTTAAATGGCAGGGGGTGGGGGTGACCCCTGGGGACTAACCCTGTATAACATTTGATGTGCTTTATCATGACAAACCAGAATATATATGGTTTAGGGGTGGGGATCTCGACCATTTACAAGATATTAGAACTTTCTCAAATGGCAGGGGGTAGGGATGACCCCTGGGGACTAACTCTGTATATCATTCAAACCATCTTAGCATGACAAACCAGAATATATATGGTTTAGGGGTGGGGATCTTGACCACTTAGATATTAGAACTTTCTTAAATGGCAGGGGATGGGGGTGACCCCTGGGGACTAACCCTGTATTTCATTTAATGGGCTTTATCATTTAGAACATTTTCAATTAAAAAGATTGTGTCTATCACAAACGGTTTTCAATTTATAATCATTTGAAAATTTTAAAAAATAAAATCCCATAGGGTTCTATAGTAAAACCCTCTTTTCTTTTTGCCCCTCAAAGTACCCCTTTATAAACCCCATTGCACAAACAAAACCCTGATTGCACCACTAGACATGTTAGTCTAACATATTGTGAAACCCTAAGTTAATCTGACAAGCGGTTTTGGAGAACAGGTGCGGACAAGTTCAAATTTAAAAGCGGCCGAAGAAGAAGAAGAAGAAGAAGAATAATAATAATAACAAGAAATGATTGTTACAGGATGCTGTTACGAAGTCTCCCAAACGAAGCTCCCATAATTCGTAATTCACAGGGTCGCCTGACATTGGGCAAGGTCCAGTGAAAATTGGTTTGGTCCAGTAAAGTTATATGCATTAGTGATGCCTGGGGACTAACCTTGTATATCATTCAAATCATCTTGGCATGACAAACCAGAATATATATGGTTTAGGGGTGGGGATCTCGACCATTTACAAGATACTAGAACATTGGGGGTGGGGAGGAACCCCTAGGGACTGACCGTATACGTCATTCAAATGTTCGAGACATGACAAATAGGAATATATATGGTTTAGGGGTGGGGATCTCGACCATTTACAAGATATTAGAACTTTCTTAAATGGCAGGGGGTCGGGATGACCCCTAGGGACTAACCCTGTATTTCATTTGATGTGCTTTATCATGACCAACCAGAATAAATATGGTTTAGGGGTGGGGATCTCGACCATTTACAAGATATTTGAACTTTCTCAAATGGCAGGGGGTCGGGATGACCCCTGGGGACTAACCCTGTATATCATTCAAACCATCTTAGGATAACAAACCAAAATATATATGGTTTAGGGGTGGGGATCTTGACCACTTACAAGGTATTAGAACTTTCTTAAATGGCAGGGGGTCGGGATGACCCCTGGGGACTAACCCTGTATATCATTCAAACCATCTTAGCATGACAAACCAGAATATATATGGTTTAGGGGTGGGGATCTTGACCACTTACAAGATATTAGAACTTTCTTAAATGGCAGGGGGAGGGGGTGACCCCTGGGGACTACCCTGTATTTCATTTGATGTGCTTTATCATGACAAACCAGAATATATATGGTTTAGGGGTGGGGATCTCGACCATTTACAAGATATTAGAACTTTCTCAAATGGCAGGGGGTCGGGATGACCCCTGGGGACTAACCCTGTATTACATTTGATGTGCTTTATCATGACAAACCAGAATATATATGGTTTAGGGGTGGGGATCTTGACCACTAAGAAGATATTAGAACTTTCTTAAATGGCAGGGGGTGGGGGTGACCCCTGGGGACTAACCCTGTATAACATTTGATGTGCTTTATCATGACAAACCAGAATATATATGGTTTAGGGGTGGGGATCTCGACCATTTACAAGATATTAGAACTTTCTCAAATGGCAGGGGGTAGGGATGACCCCTGGGGACTAACTCTGTATATCATTCAAACCATCTTAGCATGACAAACCAGAATATATATGGTTTAGGGGTGGGGATCTTGACCACTTAGATATTAGAACTTTCTTAAATGGCAGGGGATGGGGGTGACCCCTGGGGACTAACCCTGTATTTCATTTAATGGGCTTTATCATTTAGAACATTTTCAATTAAAAAGATTGTGTCTATCACAAACGGTTTTCAATTTATAATCATTTGAAAATTTTAAAAAATAAAATCCCATAGGGTTCTATAGTAAAACCCTCTTTTCTTTTTGCCCCTCAAAGTACCCCTTTATAAACCCCATTGCACAAACAAAACCCTGATTGCACCACTAGACATGTTAGTCTAACATATTGTGAAACCCTAAGTTAATCTGACAAGCGGTTTTGGAGAACAGGTGCGGACAAGTTCAAATTTAAAAGCGGCCGAAGAAGAAGAAGAAGAAGAAGAATAATAATAATAACAAGAAATGATTGTTACAGGATGCTGTTACGAAGTCTCCCAAACGAAGCTCCCATAATTCGTAATTCACAGGGTCGCCTGACATTGGGCAAGGTCCAGTGAAAATTGGTTTGGTCCAGTAAAGTTATATGCATTAGTGATGCCTGGGGACTAACCTTGTATATCATTCAAATCATCTTGGCATGACAAACCAGAATATATATGGTTTAGGGGTGGGGATCTCGACCATTTACAAGATACTAGAACATTGGGGGTGGGGAGGAACCCCTAGGGACTGACCGTATACGTCATTCAAATGTTCGAGACATGACAAATAGGAATATATATGGTTTAGGGGTGGGGATCTCGACCATTTACAAGATATTAGAACTTTCTTAAATGGCAGGGGGTGGGGATGACCCCTAGGGACTAACCCTGTATTTCATTTGATGTGCTTTATCATGACCAACCAGAATAAATATGGTTTAGGGGTGGGGATCTCGACCATTTACAAGATATTTGAACTTTCTCAAATGGCAGGGGGTCGGGATGACCCCTGGGGACTAACCCTGTATATCATTCAAACCATCTTAGGATAACAAACCAAAATATATATGGTTTAGGGGTGGGGATCTTGACCACTTACAAGGTATTAGAACTTTCTTAAATGGCAGGGGGTCGGGATGACCCCTGGGGACTAACCCTGTATATCATTCAAACCATCTTAGCATGACAAACCAGAATATATATGGTTTAGGGGTGGGGATCTTGACCACTTACAAGATATTAGAACTTTCTTAAATGGCAGGGGGAGGGGGTGACCCCTGGGGACTACCCTGTATTTCATTTGATGTGCTTTATCATGACAAACCAGAATATATATGGTTTAGGGGTGGGGATCTCGACCATTTACAAGATATTAGAACTTTCTCAAATGGCAGGGGGTCGGGATGACCCCTGGGGAATAACCCTGTATATCATTCAAACCATCTTAGCATGACAAACCAGAATATATATGGTTAAGGGGTGGGGATCTTGACCACTTAGAAGATATTTGAACTTTCTTAAATGGCAGGGGGTGGGGTGACCCCTGGGGACTAACCCTGTATTTCATTTGATGTGCTTTATCATGACAAACCAGAATATATATGGTTTAGGGGTGGGGATCTCGACCATTTACAAGATATTAGAACTTTCTCAAATGGCAGGGGGTCGGGATGACCCCTGGGGACTAACCCTGTATATCATTCAAACCATCTTAGCATGACAAACCAGAATATATATGGTTTAGGGGTGGGGATCTTGACCACTTAGAAGATATTAGAACTTTCTTAAATGGCAGGGGGTGGGCATGACCCCTGGGGACTAACCCTGTATTTCATTTGATGTGCTTTATCATGACAAACCAGAATATATATGGTTTAGGGGTGGGGATCTCGACCATTTACAAGATATTTGAACTTTCTCAAATGGCAGGGGGTCGGGATGACCCCTGGGGACTAACCCTGTATATCATTCAAACCATCTTAGGATAACAAACCAAAATATATATGGTTTAGGGGTGGGGATCTTGACCACTTACAAGGTATTAGAACTTTCTTAAATGGCAGGGGGTCGGGATGACCCCTGGGGACTAACCCTGTATATCATTCAAACCATCTTAGCATGACAAACCAGAATATATATGGTTTAGGGGTGGGGATCTTGACCACTTACAAGATATTAGAACTTTCTTAAATGGCAGGGGGTGGGGGTGACCCCTGGGGACTACCCTATATTTCATTTGATGTGCTTTATCATGACAAACCAGAATATATATGGTTTAGGGGTGGGGATCTCGACCATTTACAGGATATTAGAACTTTCTCAAATGGCAGGGGGTCGGGATGACCCCTGGGGACTAACCCTATATATCATTCAAACCATCTTAGCATGACAAACCAGAATATATATGGTTAAGGGGTGGGGATCTTGACCACTTAGAAGATATTTGAACTTTCTTAAATGGCAGGGGGTGGGGTGACCCCTGGGGACTGACCCTGTATTTCATTTGATGTGCTTTATCATGACAAACCAGAATATATGGTTTAGGGGTAGGGATCTCGACCATTTACAAGATATTAGAACTTTCTCAAATGGCAGGGGGTCGGGATGACCCCTGGGGACTAACCCTGTATATCATTCAAACCATCTTAGCATGACAAACCCGAATATATATGGTTTAGGGGTGGGGATCTTGACCACTTAGAAGATATTAGAACTTTCTTAAATGGCAGGGGGTGGGGATGACCCCTGGGGACTAACCCTGTATTTCATTTGATGTGCTTTATCATGACAAACCAGAATATATATGGTTTAGGGGTGGGGATCTCGACCATTTACAAGATATTTGAACTTTCTCAAATGGCAGGGGGTCGGGATGACCCCTGGGGACTAACCCTGTATATCATTCAAACCATCTTAGGATAACAAACCAAAATATATATGGTTTAGGGGTGGGGATCTTGACCACTTACAAGGTATTAGAACTTTCTTAAATGGCAGGGGGTGGGGGTGGCCCCTGGGGACTAACCCTGTATTTCATTTAATGGGCTTTATCATTTAGAACATTTTCAATTAAAAAGATTGTGTCTATCACAAACGGTTTTCAATTTATAATCATTTGAAAATTTTTAAAAATAAAATCCCATAGGGTTCTATAGTAAAACCCTCTTTTCTTTTTGCCCCTCAAAGTACCCCTTTATAAACCCCAATGCACAAACAAAACCCTGATTGCACCACTAGACATGTTAGTCTAACATATTGTGAAACCCTAAGTTAATCTGACAAGCGGTTTTTGAGAACGGGTGCGGACAAGTTCAAATTTAAAAGCGGCGGAAGAAGAAGAAGAAGAATAATAATAATAAGAACTGAGCAAAAACAATAAGTCTTCCCAAACTTCGTTTGGGAGACTTAATAAGAACTGAGCAAAAACAATAAGTCTTCCCAAACTTCGTTTGGGAGACTTAATAAGAACTGAGCAAAACCAATAAGTCTTCCCATGGGAGACTTAAAAATACAGCTGGATATTGATATAAGATTGGTTTAGCATGAAATTCAATTTGTGAGGGTTCTGTTAAGACAGTTTCCCTGTATCAATATTCAACAGCTTTCTTTCTTTTTCTTTAAAAGTATTAAACGTATCTTACCTCTATCATTGTAGCTGCATTATCTTTCAAAAGTTTTTTTGGTGGAGCTGTGTCTATTACAAAATTAAATATCATTTCTTTACAGGGGAGATAATGCAGATCTTATTGGTCAATGAATATATGTACAGCATATGTTTGTAACATAACAATTACTGATCAGGATTATAAAGGTCAAGGTTGAGAACTTGACATTTGGTGATTTTGATTTTGATGATAGATCTTTGATACTGTGGATTCTTTATTATTCTTTGGATACCAATTTTCGTGGATTTCGTGGGTACAGGGTAACCATGAATTTAAATGTTCAACAATTTACAAACTTTCTAAAGGAATGTATGCAGACTTTGCCAAAACAACGAAATTGTATGCAGACTTTGCCAAAACAACGAAATTAAATATCCAGGAAAATGCAAGTTTTCCTCAATCCACGAAAATTGATACCCACGAAAATAAATGAATCCACAGTAGTCTTTTCTAGACTCAGGATGATTTACAAGAGCTTGACAATCTGTATAGACACTCGTCTTTTCATGAAGACCATATGTTAAACTCTTGCTGTCTTTTGGTTGTGACGTGTTGCTGTTTCATTGATGTGATATGATATTTCCTTTTATTCATGATTTTTAAAGTATTTTTAATTAACATGCAGTACTTTTTTTTCTGCAAAACCCTAAATCCCCTAAAAAAACTTATCTATACAAAACAATTTTTTTTCCGAATTGCATATATATATATATAAAAAAGAATTATTATTATGATCGGATAAAGTTTACATTGATCTTAAAAAGAAAACTTATTAAAAGACATTATTTGTTCATATATATCTTACACAAATAAAAGTTCAGATCTTTATCTTCAAGGTAACTTTTAACATACTTCTTGATGGCAAACACTGAAAAATATAAACATTCAAAAACATTCAACATGTATAAAATTATAAAACTGTTACAATAATGGTTCATTATGGATATGGTTCTGATTTTTGGTGGAACTGGGAATTATGCACTGTTAAAGTACATTTTGGAAAATGATTTTTTTTAATTTTTTAATAAGAGGGACTGTACTGTTCATGAGTGAGAAGATTTTTTTGTGATGTCTATTTTCCCTTATGACCCTCTTTCCTAAATAAAGGTAAATCTATGCATTCTTCAGAATATTTTAAGAACTTTAATTTAATGCCTTTGAATTGTGTTTTATCCACAGAAAAACAAAATTTTAACAAATACAATTGATCCAGATTAAACCAAATAATTGTTTTCCATCATGATAGCTGCTGTTGATGCACTAAACAATACTAATAAATTATTAAATATTATGTATAGATGTATTTGTAATAAAAAAAAATGGAGAATGTGGTCATGGGACACAGATGATGCCCTTGCTTGCATATAAATTTTTGATATTCAATTATCACTAGATTAAAACCTTTTAACATTTCTTGATGAAGACCTTTTGATTACTTATTATTACTTGATTGAAACATTTTAAAATCAAATATTACTTGATTGAAACATTTTAAAATCAAATATTACTGGATTGAAACATTTTAAAAACAAATATGACTGGACTGAAACATTTTAAAAACAAATATTACTTGATTGAATCATTTTATAATAAAATATTACTTGATTGAAACATTTTAAAATCAAATATTACTTGATTGAAACTTTTTAAAAACAAATATTACTTGATTGAAACCTTTTGAAATCTTATTATTACTTGATTGAAACCTTTTGATATCTGATTATTACTTGATTGAAACCTTTTGATCTTTTATCAGTAATTGATTAATATCCTTTGATCTCTAATTACTAATTCATAATACAAAATGATTATTCAATTGTGTTTTCTTTTAAATGCTTGATTGAAGTGAATACTTTTCACTACAAACACAAGCCAATTCTAATTTTGAGAAAATATTTTTATCTTAAATAGGGATCCATATCCATGGGAGTCATAAACTTTCAAACATCAGTTCTTCTCATAACACACAAACACCAATACAACTATGGACTCCTGCACTATCTTGTCTTATGCCCAGCAGCTGAAGACTTTACTCACATCACATGACCAAGCAGTGACCCAACTTAACTTACTAGGTAGCTTTTCCTTTTCTAATTCAAATTTAATTTAAGGTTTTCATTTCAGAGTGGTAAATTTGAAAATGCAATTCATATGTCATTAAATTAAATTAATAAAATAAAATAATGATATCTACAGTAAATGTTTTCAAACAAAACTTTCATGATTTATACTTTAATGTCAATTTTAAATATCAAAATTTCTATCAAATATGTGAATTCTAATATATATAAATAACTATTTTATGGATTTTTAACAGTATTCTTTTTTATTTACAGAAAGTAAGATCCAGCAGCTTGACCACTACTTGTTTACAGCAGACATCAATGGTTCTCATGGTAACAGTCTACGACTGCAGAGCCATAAGTCAACTACACTTGGTATCCGTAAGATGTACAACCAGTACAGAGAAAAGAAATGGAACCAGATCCAAGAGTTATCTACCCTGATCATGAAGTCTGCCAACTCAACAACAACATCCTTAGAGACTGACAACCAACCAGCCAGTCCATCCAGGAGACAACAGTTTGACAATGACAGCACTGTCCAGTCACTTACAGAAGACTTCTGTGTTTTTTCCAGAGACATTTAAACTCTCTTTAAAACTGAATATTTTGAAATAAAGTGCTTTTTGATATTATATTTGCTGCAAATTTTATTTTATGTGCTAATATCATTTTTTGGGTAACATTTGTGATATTTTTGTGAATGTTTAGTGCTTTATTTATGTGACATATCCTTATTAAAATATATGAAATGAAAAAAAAATCTTATTATTAATAACAATCATCAACAACATAACTGTACATATATATATATAATATAACAAAGTACACTGTTTATGAATTCATATTAAATAATCAAAAAAAGACATTTATACATATGTGTACTTATCTTAGATAAAAACATACCAGTTTCTCTAGGTCTGAACAGTCCCTGAAGAACAAGTTTGTCAGCAAACTGTATCCGAATAACAACCCTTTCATATTTATTATACTGTTCCTCTAACTTTTGTCTTCTCATGGATTGGGTCATCAAAAGCTGTTCTTCTTCACTTAAAAAAATGGGAATAAAACAGTGAATAAATTCAATATAATTGCACAAGAAAGTTTGTTAATCATGATTGATGATATCGGTCTTTATTCCACAAAATAGACATAAATTGTTTTTTTAAAACAAAAATAAACCAGTTATACATTTAAGATAAATGGATCAAATTTTTTTCAAAAAGCTTTACAATGGACTTTTCAACTATAAAATGTATGGATTTTTTATATGGCACTTTGCAGACTTTCAGATTAGCAAGAAGTTGCAATCCCACTTATTTTACATAATAACAAAACAAAATTGGTCAAGCAGGAAGAGACTGCCTAGAAGTCCTGAAAATCACTCACATAATACAACTCATCATTATAAATTTCAAGGCCTAATTTCAAATCTTTCAAGAATAAACAGGAGCAGCAATATATAACAAAATAAAATGCTCCGCAGGGCGCAGCTTGATACGACCGCAGAGGTCGAACCCTGAACAGTTGGGGGAAGTATGGACACAACATTCAAGCTTGATACAGCTTTGGATTTGGATTGTGATTAAATATTTGACACAGCATAGGTTTCTAACACAGATTGAATGTGGTCTAAGAACTTAAAAATTTTAAATTGGACAATCACCTATTATGGTCCAATATCCAAAATCTAAATACATGGTTAGATTCAGCATATCAAAGAACCCCAAGAATTCAATTTTTGATGAAATCAAACAAAGTTTAATTTTGGACCCTTTTGACCTCAATGTGGACAAAGTTGATAACGGGGCCCAAAAATCAAAAATCTAAATACATGGTTAGATTCAGCATATCAAAGAACCCCATATATTCAATTTTTGTTGAAATCAAACAAAGTTTAATTTTGGACCCCGATTTGGACCAACTTGAAAACTGGGCCCATAATCAAAAATCTAAATACATGTTTAGATTCAGCATATCAAAGAACCCTAAGAATTCAATTTTTGTTAAAATCAAACTAAGTTTAATTTTGGACCCTTTGGACCTTAATGTAGACCAATTTGAAAACGGAACCAAAAATTAAGAATCTAAATACACGGTTAGATTCGGCATATCAAAGAACCCCAATAATTCAATTTTTGATGAAATCAAACAAAGTTTAATTTTGGACCCTTTTGACCTCAATGTGGACAAAGTTGATAACGGGGCCCAAAAATCAAAATTCTAAATACATGGTTAGATTCAGCATATCAAAGAACCCCATATATTCAATTTTTGTTGAAATCAAACAAAGTTTAATTTTGGACCCCGATTTGGACCAACTTGAAAACTGGGCCCATAATCAAAAATCTAAATACATGTTTAGATTCAGCACATCAAAGAACCCTAAGAATTCAATTTTTGTTAAAATCAAACTAAGTTTAATTTTGGACCCTTTGGACCTTAATGTAGACCAATTTGAAAACGGAACCAAAATTTAAGAATCTAAATACACAGTTAGATTCGGCATATCAAAGAACCCCAATAATTCAATTTTTGATGAAATCAAACAAAATTTAATTTTGGACCCTTTGGACCTCAATGTGGACCAATTTAAAAACGGGGCCCAAAATCCAAAAACTATATACACGGTTAGATTCAGCATATTAAAGAACCCCATGAAATCAAGAATAAAACCCCATTGAAATTGGTCAAGAAATAAGCAATTTATAGGAAGTATCTTCTTTTGCACAATCCTGTGCTATTAAATATTTCTTGCTATTGCGCAATACTGTACAATTGACAATTTCTTGCTATTGCGCAATATTGTGCTATTGGATATTTCTTGCTATTGCGCAATACTATGCAATTGAAGATTTCTTGCTATTGCGCAATACTGTGCAATTGAAGATTTCTTGCTATTGTGCAATACTGTGTAATTGAAAATTTCTTGCTATTGCACAATACTTATTATATAATAATTTACACATCCTGTTTGGTGTGTATCTCCTACCATATCATTATTATTTGATTTTAAATATAAATCAGAAATAACCAACTTAAAATGGAAAATTTTAAAAGAAACAAAAAAGGAAAAAAAAATAAATCCCCCCCCCAAAATTTTTTGAACCCCCATTATGATTCATCACCCCCAAACTCAATCCCAGCCTTCCCTTTGTGGTATGGTACCTTGCAGTACAATTTCAGAGAGATCCATACACTTGAACACAAGTTATTGTCTGGAAACTAGAAAAAAATGTGTTTTTTGGCCCCTTTTTGGCCCCAAATTCCTAAACGTTTAGGGCAATTACCCCCAAACTCAAACCCAGCTTTCCCTTTGTGATATGGAACCTTGTAGTACAATTTCAGAAAGATCCATACACTTACACACAAGTTATTGTCATGAAACTAGAAAAATGCTTGTTTTTTGCCCCTTTTTTGGCCCCTAATTCCTAAAATTTGGAGGCAATTACCCCCAAAATCAATCCCAGCATTCCTTTAGTGATATGGAACCTTGTGGTACAATGTCAGAGAGATCCATACACTAACACACAAGTTATGTCTGGAAGTTACAAAAATGCTTATTTTTGGCCCCTTTTTGGCCCCTAATTCCTTTACTGTTATTACCATAACCCCCAAAATCAATCCCAACCTTCCTTTTGTGGTATTGAACCTTGTGGTAAAATTTCATAAAGATCCATTCACTTAAACTAAAGTTAGAGTGCGAAAACCAAGCGTCTTCGGACGACGCCGGACGACGACGACGCCGGACGACGACGCCGGACGACGACGATGCCGGACGACGACGACGCCAACGTCATACCAATATACGACCACAAAAATTTTTTTGCGGTCGTATAAAAATACATGCTCATATCAAAATTCAAAGTATTGAAAAAACAGAAAGTGACTGTCCACAAATCAGAAAATCACTTACTGTAAATTCAGAAATTATTGCGAGGTTTTTATTAATGCGAATAATGCGACTAGGTGAGTATCGCAATAATAAAAACTCGCATTTTGATAACTGCAACATAGATCTGTATGTAGATTTTTCTGAATTCGCAATAATTAAAATCGCATTCTTGTGTATTTTTGCAAAATCGCAAAAATAAATGCACGCAATAATTTCTGAATTTACAGTATATGGCACAAATATTATTAATATACCCTAAAAAAATAAAGTAAATAAACTGTTGACACAGAAATATGTCTTGCTTTTTGTAATTTGATAGTAAAATGCAAATGTTGAAATTAAAATGGCAATATTTAAACATGTAAACTATGCAAAACATTCAAGGTCAATGAACCATGACTGAAGGTTCAGGGCCAAATAACTTCAATGGAAATAAAAATTGCCAATGCTTATAAAAATGCATACCATACCAAATCACTGACACTTCAGAGAAAGGTTATCAAAACAAGTGAATCTGTGAGCTATTGCTCACTAATGATACCCCGCCGGTAAAAGTATAAGGTAAACAGGAAGTTGTTGAATGATGAATCTGAAAATGCATCACACGGTAGAGCTGACTCATATAAACCCTGAAACCAAATTTCAGAAATCCTTGTATTGCAGTTCCTGAGAGAATGTGACGAAAAATTTTCAACTTGGCCTTCATGTGTAAAATGATACAAGTGTTCGGTAAACAGGAAGTTGTTGAGTGATGAATCTGAAAACTTCACACAGTATAGCTGACTTACATAAACCCTGAAAACAAATTTCAGAAATCCTTGTACTGTAGTTCCTGAGAAAAATGTGACGAAAAATATTCATGGGACGGATGGATGGACAGACAGAGGTAAAACAGTATACCCCCACTTTTGTAAAGCGGGGGTATAATAAAAATCAACTGAAATAATTGGTTTTTGTTTATCTTTTTTTAATGTAAGAAATTATTGAGAAATTCTGGAAGAAAATAAATGTTCTCTCTATTCAAAAGTATTTGTCAACCGTTTTTTCATGTCTGAACCTTTTTTACATTAAACAATAAATATTTTTAGATATTCCCTATTTTCTGAAAATATTGATACATATAAATATACTGTGGATTCATTTATTTTCGTGGGTATCAATTTTCGTGGATAGAAAAAAAAAAGACGTTTCGTGGTATACGTAAATTCGTGGATCGCTGATTACAAAAAAAAAAAATTCAGATTTCTTTTTGATTTTGGAGATCATATAAACTCCTTGGTTTGATCAATAATAAAACAAACAAAAAAGAAGGAATTCATTGAAAAAGTTTTGAATTGTCAAAATCCTCGCTTGGTCATTCTAGGTTAAAGCGTTCATTGAAAACTTCTATTACAATAATGGACAGAGACAACTAATTATTTGTTTGTTTTACAATTTATAAATTCTTGTCGGAATTTTATAAGGCATTCAAAACTCTATGATTGAAAGCTCATTTCCCTAATCACGATATAATAAACAGTCATATAAGTAAAAGGTGTGAAAATAAATGTTCCTGTCATAAACAATATTACCTACGGGCAATATCCCTGTACTTAATCCTATTGATTTTTGATCACCAGTAAACCAAACTATGACACGGTGATTAACAACTTGCAGTTATTTTCCATGTACAGTTTTAATCAAGGAGTAGGGCCACGAAGGGTTAAAAACGGCCCTGTCTCAGAAATTGCCGAAATTACTGCAGAAGGATCACTAACTATTGTAGTTCTTAAAACGATAACCATTAGACATGTAACTGTGTTTGTATAATTTCCCAGGGCGTCAGAAAAGACCAAGGTACAATGGTATTTTAGCAATTTGCGCGTAACGTTAAAATTGTTTTCATTAACGTTCTAGTAACTTTATAATCATTTTACCACAAGAATTTTTTTATTAAATATTTCTTGAATCTCGTCAATATATCTTTTTTTTCTAACTCTATTAATAGAAACTAACTAATATTAACGTTTAAGCTGCAAAAAGAGCTTCAATTAAATTTTGTATAAAAGAGGGACGAAAGATACCAGAGGGACAGTCAAGTATAAGTGGCCCAAATACTTGTTTTCTGTATTGATATTCATGAAATAGAAATTGCAGATACTATGTAAACAAGCA